TTCCCCCTGCAAGAGTGAAAAATTGGTCACAGGTCCTTTGCACGACAGGAAGGACACCAACCACGGCATGAACTGGAATGAATTTGGTCGATTCTACGGGAGACGTATTTTTAGTTCAAATGCATTTGCCAACCCATCTCACGGACCATTAGATGATAATTCACAGTGGTGAATTATTGATTATAATTTTACTGCAGAGAATTATTACATGGTGGGGGGCCTTTACAGGACTAAAAGAAAAAGGGGAGCGTTTTCAGGTTGCGGGCGATCAAAACTTTGGCCACTGCTCGAGCGAATGGTAACCAAGGAGAAACTCGCTGGAAACAGATGAATTACGATGGAAAGCGACAATACAAAACAGCTTCTAGGCCGTAACAGTAACCAAAAAAAGATATTCATTTCAAAAAGGAAGCAAATTATGTATGCACGCCACAGGGAATATTAATTTGACATAGGAGAACGAGAAATATGAAACTGATAGTGTGCTTGCTAAACTGTTATGTAATAAACCATTGGACATTTACCTTGCCTTTAAACAGATGTACGTGGATGAATAATAGAACCATAGGAACAGGAGTAGGCCATTCAGCCCTTTGGGTCTGTTCTGCCATTCATGGCTGACCTGTATCTCAACTATGTGGAAATAGCGAAGCTTTCAATAGTGGGTCATACAATAGTGCGATATAGCTGCAGCCAATATTGAGTGAGCAGAAATCAATGCATGTTGATCCATGCAAATATGGGAATAATTCAGCGAGACATGTAGTCTCAACCAATTACGATGACCCCCGTCTATTCACAAGTAGAATAGCATTTCTTGCAGTCGTCCGTATAACCAGTCCTAGTGCCTTTTTTATGTAAATATATCGTAAAAAATTAAATAAACGATGCAATAAATTTGTTGTCTATTTAAAAAAAGGTGTGTACAATAACTCGCCACCAACTGGGCAGGGCAATGCACCCACTTAACTGCACTGATATGGCTAAACACCCCCCCCCCCCGCACACACACACACACACATCATAGTGTGTCTGTCTGTTACTCGCCTCCAAATATTGTACTGCCTTGACACGTTGCTCAAACCACGTGCTGTGAAATGCAATGACTTGCGGTGTTAAGAACCTAAGAATTTGCTCGGTGATAGCAGACCGAGGTCCATCCTTTTCACCTTCCACCGTCCTGGCAGTCGCCTGACATGTCGCGCCCCAAACTACATACTGTATCTATCCCCAGATATTGTTTTCTAGCAGAAATCGATCTCATTTGTTCTTGAAACAAAACTACATTTTCTGCTTCCAACGTCTGTCTGTCTGTCTGTCTGTCTGTCTGTCTGTCTGTCTGTCTCCCTAGGGAGCCTGTTCCATAAGTTTACTACTCGCTCACTGTGAAGAGCTTTTTTTTGTTCATCTCTCGCCCCCAGCACACACACAGACGCACACAAGAGACACACAGAACTCCCCATTCAATCACACCTCTGAAAAAACGCTGTGCTTTTAATAATAATAATAATAATAATAATAATCCTTGCATTTGATTTAGCGCCTTATCACATCTACGAGACGTCTCGGTCTCAGCGGGCTCGACTGCAAAGGGGTAGGAGAGAGAAGAGAGGAGGGGATGGAAAAGGGAAGCCAAGGAACATTTGTGGCCAGATCACACCAAGGCTCAGAATAGTGTTAAACCGTGCTAAATCCTCATTAGCCTTGGCTAACCAGCCAAGCCGCTCGCCAAGCCACAGCCGCTCTCTCTCTCTCGCACTGGCTTGAAACGCACACGTAACCGACATGTCCAAGTGCAATTGCATTGTAAAATTCATGCCATCACTAATGCTCTGCAGACATATAAAACGTGCGTAACCCATCCATGACCATATCCCAGCCAGTTAGCTCCCAGAAGAACAGAAAATATAACAGGGATTTATATTCTATCTCTCTCTCTCTCTCTCTTCTCCCCCCCCCCAACCCCACATCCCCCCCCCCCCACACACACACAAAAAAAAAATTAGGAGGGGTCATGTGAATAGAATAAAAGGCAACAGAGAGTGGGTGAGCTTTCATTCCATCATTCAATTGCTTGCTGCTTTCTGTAGCTGTCATCCAAAGTCAGCTTTCAGAAAATATCACAGGCTTTCCCACCACTGCCCCCAACCCCCCCACCAAAAAAAAAGGAATAATAATAATAATAATAAGGGTTAGGTGAATAAGGGACAGCAGAGTGGGCTATTATTCCACCATTCAATTGCCCCTTTCCACCCCCCCCTCCTGTGTTAAACCCCCAGGTACACAAACCACTGCGTCTTTTTGAAACGACCATTTATATATTAAACCCATTCATTTGAGGCAATGCAGTACTCTTTCACATTCCACACGTCCTTCTTTCAAAACCTTTCAAATATTTAAGGCTAATATATTTCTCTCTCTCTCTCTCCAACACCCCCCCCCGCCCCATACACACACACACACACACACACACATCTCCCACCAACATGCATTTATTTCATCAGTTCAGCTTCATCTCAATAAAGCAAAGTGCTATTCAATTTCTCTCTCTCTCTCTCCAAAAAAAACCCCCACTTAACTTCACAAAACATATGACAGCAAAAAGAAATGAGAAATGAACAGCTGAAACCACCCCCCACCCCCCACCCCATGCACAAATTTAGATGATTTTTTAAATCACCCTTAAACCCCCCCCCCCCACCACCAAATTAAGATGCAAACCCATTACCACAAATGCACACATATTAAGAGCTGAATAAACAGCAGTGACCAAATTATAGGTGACTGAAGGAATTGTCCAGTTCTTTTCTAAAAAAACTAGATTTTTTCTGGAGGGAGGGAGGGAGGGGGGGGTAAAAAAAAGAAATTTCTCTCTCTATATACACATACACACACACACACATACATATATATATATATATATATATATAAACTGCATTAAAAAAAAAGGTACCACTTTAAATCGAAATGTTTTTTGTGTTGAAAAATATATATATATTTTTATGTAACCCACACGATGGTGACTTTTGAAACCAAGTGAACGTGATGTACAAACAGATAGTGTTATAAAAGGAAAAAAGCTGCTCTTCCTATCTCACATGATGTCCTGCAAGGCTGTATCCCATCTTGACGTGCATTTACGTGGTTATAACATGTAACAGAAGGTGGGTGGGTGTTTATATGGGTATTTATTTTTTTGGGGGGGCTTTATTTGCAAACAAAACCACACACAATGAACATAATAATACTAATACTAATAATACTAATAATGATAATACTAATAATATCAGAAATGTGGTGTGGATGATCAGAATGTATCCCCATTCCAAACCCCCCCCTTTTCCTAATAAAATAACACACACACACACACACAGAGAGAGAGAGAGAGAGAGAAAAATATATACTTTTCAAATCAGACCCAAATAAGCTGAATCTTGCATGATTTTCAGGCAGCAGATCTTGAGAGAGACACATCACTCTCTCACACACACACACACACACACACCACTTATTATTTGATGTACAGATCATATCAAACACACATTTTTTTTTTTTGGGGGGGAAAGGAGAGAGAGAGAGAGAGAGAGAGAGGGGGTGGGGGGGGGGAGAGAAAGAATGTCTACCATTTGCAATATGTGCAATATGTCATTTTTCTCTGCACTAAAATAAAACCCCCTTTTTTTCCCCCCCCTGTTGCTACAGAACTGAGAGAGGGGGGAAAACAGAGAGAGAGAGGGAGGGAGGGAGGGAGAGGGAGGGATGGAAAGAGAAAGAGAGAGGGATAGAAAGAGAAAGAGAGAGAGAGAGAGAAAGCTCTCCACACTGTGGAAGGTGGACTCGTACATTTCGATTTAAACACAATCTGAGTCTGTCATCTGTCTCTTGCACATATCCCCCCCATCCCCCCATCCTCCCCCCATCCCCCCCATCCTCCCTCTGTCCCCCCATCCTCCTCCCCCCACTCCCACCCCCCCCCCCCCCAAAAAAAACCAAATAATCCATCATCAAAACAGAGAGGGAGGAAGGAACAATACTGATTTGCATTAAAAACCTTCCCAACTGCTGTGTCTAATATAATATTATATATATATATGTATACACATGTGGTGAAACCCCCTTTTTTTTGCTGTTTTTTTTACTGCACAATGTATTAAAAGCCAAGAAATGTCCAGACAGATCTCATCAGGACCAACACCCCCCCCCCCACCCCCCTCCCCCACACCCCCCCTCCCCACATACCCATAACCCCCTCTCCCCTCCCACACCCCCCTCCCCCCCCACAACCCCCCTCCCCCCCACACCCCCCTCCCCCCCACACCCCCCTCCCCCCACACACCCCCCTCCCCACACACCCCCATAACCCCCTCTCCCCTCCCACACCCCCCTCACACCCCCTCTCCCCCCAAACCCCCCCATAACCCCTCTCCCCTCCAACACCCCCTTCACCCCATAACCCCCTCTCCCCCATAACCCCCTCTCCCCCCAACACCCCCTCTCCCCCCCAACACCCCCCCATACCCCCTCCCCCCATAACCCCCTCTCCCCCAACACCCCCTCCCCCCATAACACCCCTCCCCCCCACCCCCCCCATAACCCCCTCTCCCCCATAACACCCTCTCCCCCCAACACCCCCCCCCATACCCTCTCCCCCCAACACCCCCCATAACCCCCTCTCCCCCCATAACACCCTCTCCCCCAACAACCCCTCTCCCCCATAACACCCTCTCCCCCCCAACACCCCCTCTCCCCCCCATCACCCCCCTCATCACCCCCTCTCCCCCCATCACCCCCTCTCCCCCCTCTCCCCCTCTCCCCCCCACAGCACATCATGAGAAAACAGTAAATGCAACTTATTACATACATCTGAACCAACACCTGCAGATACAGAACATAGAGAATACCCCCCACCCCCCCCTCCCCCCCCCCTCCACCCCCTCCCCCCCCCTCCCCCCCCCCTCCACCCCCTTCCCCCCCCACCCCCCCCTCTCCCCCCCCAGTACCTTCTCTGGCTTTCAGTAGGACGGTGTTGGCGACGATGTTCTCCAACTCCATTGACCTGCGGGGAGACGCAGCTCAGCACCGCTCCTCTCCTCCTCTCCTCTGCTCTCTCCTTCTCTCTCTCCTCCTCCTCCTCTCTCCTCCTCTCTCTCCTCTCCTTCTCTCTCCTCTCTCTCCTCCTCTCCTTCTCTCTCTCCTCCTCTCCTTCCCTCTCTCCTCCTCTCTCCCCCTCTTCTCTCCTCCTCTCTGTTCTGTGTGTGTGTGTCCCTCTGTGTGTGTGTGTGTGTGGGTGTGTGTGTGTGTGGGTCTGTGTGTGTGTGTGGGGGGGGGTCTGTGTGTGTGTGTGTGTGGGTCTGTGTGTGTGTGTGTGTGTGTGTGTCTGTGTGTGTGTGTCTGTGTGTGTGTGTGTGTGGGTCTGTGTGTGTGTGTGTGTGTGTCTGTGTGTGTGTGTGGGTCTGTGTGTGTGTGTGTGTGGGTCTGTGTGTGTGTGTGTGTGTGTGTGTGTGTGGGTCTGTGTGTGTGTGGGTCTGTGTGTGTGTGTGTGGTGTGGGTCTGTGTGTGTGTGGGTCTGTGTGTGTGTGTGTGGTGTGTGTGTGTGTGTGTGTCTGTGTGTGTGTGGGGTCTGTGTGTGTGTGTGTGTGTCTGTGTGTGTGTGTGTGTGTGTGGGTCTGTGTGTGTGTGGGGTCTGTGTGTGTGTGTGTGTGTGTGGGTCTGTGTGTGTGTGGGGTCTGTGTGTGTGTCCCTTCGCTCTTTACGTGTCGGAGGAGCGCACCGACTCACCGGGACATCACCCTGACAGCCTCCCCCCACCCCTCCCTCCCCTCCCCCTCCCCTCCCTCCTCCCTCCCCTCCCCTCCCCCACCCCACCCTCCCCTCCCTCCCCCCACCCCCTCCCCTCCCTCCCCCCACCCCTCCCCTCCTCTCACTGCCCCCTCCCCTCCCCTCCCTCTCACTGCCCCCCTCACCCCTCCCTCCCCTCCCTCCCCCACACCCTCCCCTCCCTCTCACTGCCCCCACCCCTCCCCTCCCCTCCTCCCCCACACTCCCTCCCCTCCCCCCCACTCCCCCTCCCCTCCCCTCCCCTCCCTCTCACTGCCCCCACCTCCCTCCCCTCCCTCCCCTCCCTCCCCCCCACCCCCTCCCCCCCCTCCCCCCTCCCCCCCCCACACCCCTCCCCTCCCCTCCCTCTCACTGCCCCCCCCCTCCCCTCCCCTCACTGCCCCACACCCCTCCCCTCCCCTCCCTCTCACTGCCCCACACCCCTCCCTCCCTCTCACTGCCCCCCCCCCCCCCCCTCCCTCTCACTGCCCCCCACCCCTCCCCCCCTCTCACTGCCCCCCACCCCTCCCCTCCCTCTCACTGCCCCCCACCCCTCCCCTCCTCTCACTGCCCCCACCCTCCCCTCCCTCTCACTGCCCCCCCCCCTCCCCCTCCACTGCCCACACCCCTCCCCTCCCTCTCACTGCCCCACACCTCCCCTCCCTCTCACTGCCCCACACCCCTCCCTCTCACTGCCCCCCCCCTCCCTCTCACTGCCCCACACCCCTCCCCTCCCTCTCACTGCCCCACACCCCTCCCCTCCCTCTCACTGCCCCACACCCCTCCCTCTCACTGCCCACTCCCCTCCTCCACTCGCCCCCCCTCCCTCCCTCTCACTGCCCCACACCCCTCCCCTCCTCTCCCTCTCTCTCTCTTCCTGATGCCGGACTCCTCCTGTGTGGGGGAGTGGTGTACAGTCTCTCTCTCTCTCTCTCTCCCCTCCTCCCCCACAGCCACAGACCTGCGGGGATTTACACGTCCCAATTTGCGCAGTCGTTGCTCACTCTTCCTCTCCTCCCTCCTCCCTCCTTCCCTCCCTCCCCTCTCCTCCCCCTCCTTCCCTCCTCCCCTCTCCTCCTCCTCCCTCCCTCCCCCTCCTCCTCCCTCCTTCTCCCTCCCTCCTCCTTCCCCTCCTCCCCCTCCCTCCCCCCCTCCTCCTCCCCCTCCCTCCCTCCCTCCTTCTCCCTCCTCCCTCCCTCCCCTCCCCTCCTCCTCCCCTCTCCTCCCCTCCCCCTCCTGCCTCCTCCCTCCCCCTCCCTCCTCCCTCCCTCCCCTCCCTCCCTCCTCCCCTCTCCTCCTTCCCCTCCTCCCTCCCCTCCCTCCCTCCTCCTCCCTCTCCTCCCTCCTCCCTCTCCTGCCTCCTCCTCCCCTCCCCCCTCCTCCTTCCCTCCTTCCACTCCCCTCCCTCCTCCTCCCCCTCCCTCCTTCCCTCCTCCCCTCCCTCCCTCTCCTCCCATCCTTCCCTCTCCTCCCTACCTCTCCTCCCCTCCTTCCCCCTCCCTCCCTCCCCTCCCCTCCCTCCTCCCCCCTCCCTCCCTCCCTCCTCCTCCCCCTCCATCCCCCCTCCTTCTCCCTCCCCTCCTCCCCTCCCCCTTCTCCTCCCTCCTTCCCCTCCCCCCTTCTCCTCCCCTCCTTCCCCTCCCTCCCTTCCCTCCTTCCCTCTCCTCCCCTCCCTCCCTCTCCTCCCCTCCCTCTCCTCCCCCTTCCCCTCCCTCCTCCTTCCCCTCCCCTCCCTCCTCCTTCCCCTCCCCTCCTCCTCCCTCTCCTCCCCTCCTTCCCCTCCCTCCTTCTCCTCCCCTCCTTCCCCTCCCTCCCTTACCCTCCTTCCCTCTCCTCCCCTCCCTCCTCTCCTCCCACCTTCCCTCTCTCTCCTCCCCTCCCTCTCCTCCCCCTTCCCCTCCCTCCTCCTTCCCCTCCCCTAACTCCTCCTTCCCCTCCCCTCCCTCCTCCCTCTCCTCCCCTCCTTCCCTCCCTCCTCTCCCTCTTCCTCCCTCCTTCCACTCCCCTCCCTCCTCCTCCCCCTCCCTCTCCTCCCCTCCTTCCCCTCCCCTCCCTCCTTCCTTCCTCCCCTCCTTCCCTCCTCCCCTCTCCTCCCTCCTCCCCTCCCTCCCTCCCTCTCCTCCCCTCCAGTTTGCTGGGAGTTGTAGTCCCGAAGTGCTGAATCCCCCCCACCCCAACCCCCCCCCCCACGTACACACAAACACAGACAAAAAAATGGCACAGTCACTACGCTTCGCGGAGTACTGTCCTTACGTCTCAAAGACGCGATACCCTGGGGGGCAGGGGGGACGGACTGGGGGGCCGCGGGGGACATGGGGGCCAGGGTAGGGGGGGCCGGGGGCTACATCGGACAATTCTAATTGCAAGGATAATTATTATTATTGTTTGATTCCCGCGGCGGGTCGTCGGGCGAAACGTTGGGCGAGTCTCCTCACTGCGCGCACACGCACGCACGGCCCCCGTTTACCCCGACAGCGAAGGGGAACCCAGTTGTTAGTCCCTCGACCGATGGCGCAATAAATCCCCTTCAACGGAATAATTTGTGGTCAACTTCAAATCCACGACTGTTGGTGCGGTGCGGACGTGGCCGGGCGCGCAATTGGGCCGCCCTGGCCTTTCGCCCCCAAGACACCCAGCCTCGCGGTGTGCTCCGCGAAGGGCTTCGAGGCGTCTCGAGGTACGCGATAAGGCGCCGCATCGCACGCGAGGATCATTACCGTCACGTCACTGAAGGCGTCCGACCGACCCCAAGCAGCGCTCGAGATTCACGATCGGCCAAGAGCGACACGGACTGCGAATTTTACTTAAAAACAATGAAACGGCCTTCCGTTTGCGGAGTGACATGTGTCAAAAGTGCTGCTGCCAACCAAAAATAAGTAATTATTTCCAAATGAGTTGTTATTTGATGTCAAGAAGCGAATACCACAATGATTTGTAATGTTTGACATATATCCTGAAGTGCTTTTTTTTTTTTTACGCACTCGGGGAAGAAGAATATTTGCAGATGGCCGTTTTCTCTTCACTGGAAGCTTTACGTATTGTTACGTCTTATTAATTTCGTCCCTTTCAGCACATTAAACGTCAATTGGTGGGACCCCGGACTGCGTGGAGATCAAATACGTTCCATTCTGGATAATAATAATCCCTGCATTTGATACAGCGCTTTCCGCGTCAGGAGGACATTTCAAAGCACTTCACTGTATATCTAGAGTGTAGTGACTGTGCATTTTTAGGCAAGCATGACAAACAATGTGCGCGCGCAGCAGTGTGTCCCACAAACAGCCACGAGCGATGAAGTGTCACATCCGATAACGAAGGGGAAAATGACGGATGGAAAGTTTTCCGATAGAATGACTTTGCCGGTGTCGATGCAAATCCAAGAGGAATGAAACCACCATTCAGGCCAGGGAGGGGCAACAAAGAATTCCCCAACGTTGATTTATTGGGCTAAAACCAATCGCGTTTCCTTGCCTGGGTGTGATCCGTTTGTAAGATGTGGAGACGAGATAACAGTTAAAGGGCAAGATCCAGTATCGGAGGCACAAAACATCTCAGGGATGGGCTGCATTACTAAGCTGACTAAGTTGGTCAAGGTTGTTGAAGGTAGCGAAGGTTGCAGGATGGGAGACTGTCCAAATGGTTGACGAGGAGTATCTGAGTCACTCTGGGAGGTGATACAGTATTCACATCGACGGGAATGATGATTTTCGGCAGAGATGTTGAATTTGGACAGAATTCGATAGTTTTATCCATTCTCCCCCACCGCCACTCTACACACAGCTACATCTCTTTGCAGCGTATCGCGTGAAGCTTTGAGACGTCTTAACAAAGTGATATATCAAATGCAAGGCTTGTTGCGGTTTTGTTATTTTTACCTGTACGGAGGTACAGTTCTATGGTTGTTAATCATCCCGTGGTAGCTCACTGAAGTATATTATGCACATGTGAATGTTGGCAGGCTGTTCAATCACGAGTGTGTGTAGGTGAGCACACACCAGAGAAAGACACTGTTAGTACAATCCTCCTAAACGTAACCACTGATACGATAGTACTCCACACACCTCTATGTTTGTTACAGCGTACCGGGACGTCCTCCTGATGTGAAAGGCGCTGTACAAGTGTATTTGTCGTTATTGTTGTTTGAATGAATTCTTCCCAATGTTTCTTTCAACTCGCTCGTTTGGTCTAAGTTTGTGTTTTAGCTTCAGTGTCCCAGTGTACCCAATGTTTCACGCAGAAAGAATTAAATTTTCCCATTCCAAGTATTCTTATGGCTAAGTTCATCTCTCCATATTTCCTTCCACTATATATACTATCACGTACAGTATATGCACATAAAATATGCGCTTTTGACATTTAAGGGCCTCTCTCTCATTTAAGTATCAGTTTCTTCCTCTGAGAATTTAACCTTGCGATGCCACGGGGAAACATTCTTCTAAATCAGTTGCAGACCTTACAAAGCAGGCCTGGCTGAGGAAGTTCTATACGGTTTGCTCGACAACTTCTATTGTTTGGTTTCATCTAGGGGAATGCCTCAAGTTTTTCACAAATTATTATATCGTACATTTATCAAGTAAAATGTTCAAACTAAATTCCAGCCCAATTGGCTGTCGAGTTTCGCCTACAAAATTATACAGTCAATTCAATATACAATATACTCTGTGAAGCGCTTTGAGACTCTCAACAAAGTGATGAGGCGCTATTATCAAATGCAAGAATTATGTTCGGGGTATAATAATAATATAGAATAGTTTTTTAAAAGGGAATTAAGATCAGTGTTTGATGAATAGAAACATTGAGTAATATGGGGAAGTGACTGAATGCGACTGAATCTCTTCAGAGAGGCGATGTGGATAAGATGGGCTGAATGTGCAATAAATGCAAAATCTGCCAGAGTGAACAGGAATTTATCAGCGGATGTGTTCATAGTAATAGGCAGATTCATCAAGGCCATTTGAATTTATTCAAATGTCTGGGTCAAACATAACAGTCAGTGTGACAAAGACATATGTTGCTACAGCAGTAACAGTGAGTCAGTACTGGAATAACTGATAAAACGACGTACAAACTGCAGTCATCCACTGAAGTGACTGTACTTTAAAGTGGCAACAGCAATCAGCGTTATTGCAACCTTACGAAAAAAACAAAGCTTATTGAATCCCAAAGCTAAACGTTCTGCAGTGAGGCATAATGCAGGTCAAAGAGGAACCAACATGGCTTTTGTATGATATTGCTGCCAATAATAACAAAGGTGCTTCTTTGCTTCTCTTGGTGGGTACTTTGCTACTCTGATGGTTATTACTAGTGCTCACCGAAACGCTGCTGTTTATTTACAGTTGTAAGTGGTTAGTTAACAAGATATAAATATAGTGCGTGAAGCGCTGGAAAGATGTCCTTCCCTTTCGTAAATCAGTACCTCCAAAGCATCCTTGGTGAGAATCTGACAAATGCTTTATGCCGTGGTTGCTCAGTGGAACAGCTTACACCTGATCCATTAAATAAAAACACATACAGGTAAGAAAACCACTCATTCTCACAAAACTGCACTGCAAGTGGGTTGGTAACACAAACTGACATCAGTCACTTGAAAGAGCAATTTCACATCCCTGCCATGAATGGGGCTGCCTTCGAACACCATATATGATTTAGTTGCAGAAAATAGCCATAAGCAGTTGTGTATATATTAGTGTCACAGTGGGAGCTTACTTTATGTAAGTATAATCAGAAATACATACTACATTTCTGCAGAAATGAGGGATTTCAATTCTTCCCGCTGCAGGAATCGGTTTATGTTCTGTAAAACAAACAACTATGGAAGAAAGCCCGGTTCATCCAATGAATAAAACATCTCTTTGATAAACGTACACAGTTACAGCTTTATCACAGTCAGAAACCCTTATGACAGCCGTCAATTAGATTGGACACGTGAAAAGTGTGAATTAACTCACTGCATTATTTCTGATGCGCTGCCTTTGAACAATGAAAGCTAGTCCGTAATCATGCTTTTTTTTTCCAGATAAAGAATTCATCCTGTCTCAACAGGATATATTAAGAATTCCCTTTGCTTATTAAAACAAGGTGCTGCATCGATATTTTGTATTGTACTTAAAAAGTTTTTTTTTAATATTCGTCAAGAGCGTCTGTACGAGGGATGGACAATCCTCGTTCTTTTAAAGCTTTGCTTTTTGTCTTTTCTGCTTCTTGCCTCTCTTGTTGCTGAACTCTTTGGGCTTCCAGAATCTCTTCAATAGACACTCTTTGCAAAGGTGTGTCCGTTTCCCGCTCTAGATCCTGTGAGGAGAGGAGGAAACATGAGAGGGTTATGGACGCAGGTTTAACACATAAAGGACCTACAGACTAATTCATGTGCTCGCTCGGGAACTAAGTCGTTTCACTTGTTTCTGGCTCCATGTCCTGGATTAAAGACACAAAAAATATCAAGGATTGACATAGCTGCATCTGTGATGTATTCCTGTCAATCACAATGTCTCCGCTTTTCACTGACTGCAAAAAAGTCTGAAAATTCAGCTTTCAGCCAGTAAAACAATTGTTTTCTTCACTGACATGGAGGAGCTCGAAGAAAGGTGAGGGAGAGCTTTTAGTTTAGAAACAGTGATCAACATTTATCAATCAACGAAGTATGCAGTACCAGTTATCTTGCTTAAGACATAAATGAATGTCATATTGCTTTAAAACTGATCAACAAAATTTTGTGCTGCAGCAGATATTTAAGGTCTCACTGCAGAAGAAAGATGGGACCGTAATAGTAGCCTCATGACAAGACAAATTAAACCCTGCAGAATTAGATAGCTTATTTTATTCCTCAGCTCTCAGGTAATGCAGTCATAATGAGATCAGGAACACTGAAATAATAATAATCCTTGCGTTTGATATAGCACCTTATCACGTCTTCAAGACGTCTCAAAGCTCTTCACAGAATACACTGTAAAGTGAATTGACTGTGTATTTTGTGGGCGAAATGCGGCAGCCAATTGTGCACAGCAGCGTCCCACAAACAGTCGTGGATTGAAGTGACCAATTTTTTTTTGAAGGAATTATTACCCCTAGAAAAGTGATCCGCCACCGCCAATCCACTAACAACCGGATTCCTACCGACTGCTAGGTAAACAGAAGCGTGTGGAGTAAGGAAACTTGCCCCATGTTTCGCCCTGTCCGGGAATCGAACCCGGGTCTCTCGCTTGCGAGGCGCGTGCACTAACCACTGAGCTCTAGGGTTCCACGTAGGGAATTAAGAATCCCTTCGACTTACTATCTCCCCGAGAAGCACCACATTTTCTCCCCGGACAACAAAGATCCCACGTGGAATGTCGCCATATTTCCTTCCAACGTGGATTCTCTCCACTGTCTGGTGCAGAACCAAATTAGCTGCAATTCAGAAAGAGAAAAGGGGCGAAAATTAAACCATCAGCTGCTTCCAATACAATAATGACACAGATTAGATTCTTGTTCATAAAACAGATTATTGCAAACCAAAGAATGAAGCCAAGAGACAATAAAATTGTGATTCTTAAATCACAAATGGATTTTGGCCTAGTAAATTCAAATACCTCTGTGAGGCAGGTTGAAATAAAAGAGCTGAAATATTCTTCATGACAAAACTCATTATCACTGTAAATACTGTGTTTACTGATAAAACATTTCAAGTCATAAATTGTACTTCAACGTGGCTGAATTGCATCGGCCTTCAACATGGCTGTTCAAAGATAAAACTCAGTCTCAGAATTTCAGGAAACTATGCACAGAGGGCAAGAGATCAAGAGGAAAAACGAGCCAAGCAGGGTTTTGTTTCATTAGTTTACAATACATACTCTATTTGGTATAAAAATTAATCAAACACTTGATAGATTCACAGAAAATACAGCTTTGTGAGAAGGCTGTTTGGCCGACTGAGCCGAAGCTGTGGTGCTTTTCCTTTATGTTTATAAACATAATACAGTATTTACTTTTTGCCATCCTCTCACCTGAGGATTAGAACTATATGGGATCAAAATATATTTATTCAACAATTAAGCAGGCCACTGATAAATTGTCAGAACTATGGCAAGTTGTCCATCTGTTCTGAAGTTACTGCTTATCATAAAGAATTATCATGAACAGCAAATATCCGTCTCTAAATCTCTACACTAGTATTGTACAATTGAACAATTGCTTTCCACATTATCTATTTTGTGGAGAATCACTCTATAATGTTTTGTCAAACGGCAAAACATCCACAGAAGATACATTCAGATACTTTTTCTTCCAATAACGCACATTCAGCAAAGCCAGCTCTGTACCTCTATAATTTAATTCAACTGGATTTGTGTCATTTTCATATAACTTTTGCCACAATGGATTAGTCCAATCTTTTATTTTTTTAGAAAACAAATAAGCTGTTTAATGTAAAAGAGTTGGCACATAGTAGATGTGGTATCCTCTTTGGATATCAATTGGTTTATTTATAGTCGTATATAGTTTCCTTATTCCACACACCTCTGTTTACCTAGCAGTCAGTAGGAGCCCAGTTGTTCTAATTGGCTTTTTTGGAGGTAATAATTCCATAAAAATAATAATAATTTGGTTGATTCAATCCACAACTGTTTGTGTGACACTGCTGTGCACAACTGATGTATTGTTTTGCCCCAAAATATACAGTCAATTCACTTTACAGTATATTCTGTGAAGCGTTTTTTGAGACGTCTCGAAGATGTGATAAGGTGCTACAACAAATGCAAAGATTATTATTACATGGGCTCATTGTGCTTAGAAATCAAAATATTGGAAAATTAACTCTGATTTGGCTCAAGCCCCGAGGGAGAGAAAGAAATTCTGGTGATTGTCAAGGATCTGAAATTATTTGAGAATCCAAAGGATGAGATGTCCCTATAATATCAGGATTGTCTCTACTCTACGAGGTCTGGAGAACAGGCAAGTTCATATTGACATAGTCTGCAGCTAGTATGCAGTAAGGAATCCCAGATGTAGTTGTAGCATCCAACTTAGCTGTTGACTCCTACCTAGCCTGCTTTGTTCTGATACTTTTACTCATTGGAAAAGTTATCATATCAACTTCTGTGTTGCTGGGTCCATTCCTTAATCCAATGGTCCCCAACCTTTATGATCGGCCAACCAAAATACATTTTTCTTTACTGGATTTTTCTTAATTTTTGGCTGTGCCCTGGGTATCGCGGCTTGGTATCTACTGGAAACCAGGTATTGATTTGTCACAGACTTGCCTGGACTGGTGTGGGTGTTCAGCTGGCCACTTCTCGAAGCCCTCTCGGGCCAAAAGTGAACTGTGGGCCACGAGTTGGCGAAAACTGCCTTAATCCAACAATGATATGTGTTTACAGAGAAATGAATGATGGACAATATTTTTTTCCCCAAAAAACAACTTTATTTCATTAAACCATTATATGTCAGTAATTATGGTTTGCCATAAGCGCGGCACATATTCCCTCTTGTAGGAGGGAAACTTCTAGGTTTCATAATATACTGGTACATCATGATGAACTACTGTAGGAAATGCAAAAACTGTAGGTCTATAATTGGGAGCCCCAAATAAATGTTACAGGTGAATGTCCAAAAATGAACCAATCAAGTGTGGAATTCCTAAAGAAGGCAGATCTCATTCATAACTCCCCTCATTTTAATAATGTACTGAGTAATAGATGGTTCATCTCCTGTCCAAAGACACAAGTAGACTAAAGAGTATGAAAATTGTACTCCTAATATATATTTTTTAAAATCTTCTTTGATCTTGAGCACATTAAATTTCAAAGCTCCATTGTATTTTAAAACCTACATGGTTTGAGCCAAGCAGATTTCAAAACCCCCAGAGTCCACGGGCCAGTATAATTGACCATTTCTTGATGGCCGCTTGATTTAAACAAAACTTAAACCAGACCAATAGCTGGATGGTTTTCTGGAGAGTGTGAGGATTGTACCTGACTCCTGTTTGCCTCAACCAACAGATGATTGTACGAAAACAGACAGGCTGTTTATAGTATCGTCATTCCAAAATGCCTCAAAGTTATGACAGACGTGGGCCTTGTACTGTTGTTATTGCTGATTGCTATGGTTTTTCCCATTCTCTACCATCCGTGCTCTCAATCAACACACTCTGTATGGTTTCATGATTGCTCTCAATATCTGCATTTGTGGGTTGTCTGTCATCTTCGACTTCTGATGTTTACATTTCTTTGCACAAGATATGTTTGTGGTATCTCGAAGAGCAACTGTCAATTTGTGACTCCTGGTAGCCAGTCCTGTGGTTTAATCGTACATTCAGCGAGTACTGGGTAGAGGAAACTCATACTCATCTCATGTAACATGCTTCTATTAGAAAGGAGACTCAACATACTGAGTTAGCCTGAACCAAAGTCGCAGAGGTGAAATGACCACATTCTTACCGACAAGGCAAACCTGTTATAGCATGTGGGTCTGAGCCCAATATCCCAGACACTATGTTTGAACTATTTGCAAATAAACGAACGACATCTGAGTGATCAGGCTGCCACCGTCACTTCCTGCATGTTGCATGCACAGGAGCTGCTCAAGACTATCTGCCACCCCAGGCAACACTGCAGTGTGCTGCACCCGCCCCTTCTTAGAAGTTCAATAGCTTTTCACTGACGAGAGATGATGAGAGACTACAGGCTGCGGCCGGTGCTAAAACGTGGCACCCACTGTAGCTCCGTTCCATCCTAATTTCGCTGGTCGAGCATTACAAAAAATCGCCTGTCCCAGAAATCTGCTGCTCTATGCGTGAACGCTCACTAGGAGCAAGAAGCACCAGTGACTTTACTTCCTGTCACATATACCCTGCGGGCAAGAACCGATGCTCACGTCACTTCATTCGTGAATGAGTGTGAGAACCTAACAGGTGTGAACTGAAACCCGAGGTGTACTGCAAGCCACCCGCATTGGAAGTCACCTGGTTGTGAACCACAGCTCCAGCAAGGCCCTGACAAAATCTGGGTCGATTTTTTAAAAAAAGTGCCAAAATACCTTGACAAGCTAAACTGCCAACGTTGTATATTGTTCAATAGATATCACCCTGTTCGTTTTCAGATGGGAGAGACTACACCTTAACTAGCTACACAATATGCATTTGAGCTGAGCCTAAATCATCCCATGCCTCACACGCATCCCGACACATGGTAGAAGATGTCCACAGTCCACAGTATCCAATATTAGGCCTAACCTGGCTAAAGTAGGTCTATTTTCCAGAAAGATGGAGTCACACATCACTGTGCATAAGGCAACGATGTTTGACATCATACGCGCTGAAAAGGTGGCTTCGGCTTAATATGAAATAGCATAATTAAGTTAAAGTGCTTCACACCAGCAGTATAAACCTAGCATGTCACTATTGTAGTATCCAAGCATTATTGTCTGTTAAACACTATAAATTTTTTTAGCCTGCTCGAGAAGTGGACAATTATGGTATTGACTCATTGACGAAAAAATCTGTAGCACAAAACATTACGCCATTTCAACTGATGCCTAGGACTTCTAGCTATTCAGACTACATGGTAATCTATGCATTTTATCATTTAAATACTTTATTGCTCCTGATTCCATACTCACCAAATTGATCTACGCTCCTCAAGTATCCTATTAATGTTCTTCCATCCCGAAGTACTACTAAGTGTTTTTCTGTAAGAGAGAAAACAGATCTGACAATACAGTCTTACAAATTAGTTGAATAAAGAATAGAAGATCTAGTTAAATTACATTATGAATACCAATAAGTACAAGTATGTCACTGTTTAATATCACTGTCCTTTACCACCAACTGTTGACTACACCTTGGGATTATTTAAATTTCCACCTCAGACTACTACAAAGCAATGTGAATGTCATAAAACAATTAGAATAAAACTAAAGAATAAACCATTAAAAAGACACAGATGTACTAAAAAACATAAGTGAACAGATAAAAAAAAAGTTAATAAAAGCTAAAATTACAATTGTGTGCTCTAAATTATTCTTAAGTGCATCATCACATCACATATACACGGGACTAGTGGTGAGGAAATGGAAGTGGTTTCCAGTTGGTTTGGCTCTTTTCCCTTGACAAAGGAAAAAGGCCGACCTTGGAAGACAGTGCTATACGCAATTATAGTGGTGCTCCATACACCATTACATACTGTATATGAGCAGCAGATTCACACCGTGTATCCCAACGCTAGTATTCAGCAAAGGAAGCTTTATTCTTCATCTAGCTTGTGCTATATCTGACTCTGGAGTGTTTCGTGATTATGGCTGTTGTAAAAAATGGAAAAGTGTTCAGTTCTCCAGTACTGACTCATATGTTAAAAAAAAGTAATGGCTTCTTCATTGACTAATTGCTTGTATACATGGTTTGTAATAATAATAATAATTGTTTGAAATGCTGTACACTGTCCAGCATATAAATATAATCTTGTTGTTGTTTGCATGCTCCCTATCAATTGGTCTTGCCATCCATCACCACACTTAAAATTATGATGGTTCAAAAAAACATTTTTTCCCCTTAATTTGTCGTGTATAAGGTAACAAATCCGTAAAATAGCTGACCTCACTGACGGAGCTAATTATATCTCATAATTGGTCATTCATGTGCAAGTAACTTTTTCTCTTCTGTTGACTTTGTGCAGGAATTGTTTTTACCTTTAAACCCAACAGACACAAACTTGGCTTTTTAGATTCAAGAATTCATTATTCATTGAATAATTTCATGCTTGATGTGAATTAAATCTCAATTAAAATGTAGGTTTGTCTTTTTTAGAAAAACACAGGTCTGTATTATTCAATTTTTTTTGTTTTGTTGTTACATTCCAATAATGGTACATTCCAATAATCAGTGACCTAAGCAATTCATAGGGGTCAATAATAATAATAATCCTTGCATTTGATATTGCGCTTTTCACGTCGGGAGGACGTCCCAAAGCGCTTCACAAAACACACTGTAAAGTGAATTGACTGTATATATTTTTGTGGGCGAACGCAGCAGCAAATTGCGCACAGCAATGTCCCACAAACAGTCGTGGATTGAAAATGACCAATTTATTATTGTTTTTGGTTTTGGAGGGATTATTATTAGGCTCTGTGTGGAGTAAGGAAACTTGCCCAAGGTTTCGCCCTCTGCCTGGAATTGAACTCAGGGATAATCCTTGCATTTAATATAGGGAATTATCACATCCTCAAAACACATCACAGGATTTACTGTAACAGGTATATTTGTAGGTAAACGTGGCATCCAACTGTCCCACAAACAGCCATGGAGTGAAGTCCCAGATTGGCAACATTGCCTGCCTTACAGTTTCAAAAGCACAAACCTAAATTGGCCACTATTTTACCCATAGGAGGCAACGCATAATATTGGGCTCCTTTTTGGGGGCTGGTATTTGGTGGACTTATTTGGGACGTCCTCCTGACGTGAAAGGCGCTTTATAAATGGAATCTTGTTGTTGTTGTTGTTGTTGACTTGGGTTTATAAACATATTCTAATTTCTGGCTAGCCTGGAGCCAGGCTAACACCCTGATGCTTACTGGAAGTGACATGTTGAAGCTGTACAGTAGACTCGTTTTTTTTTAAAAAAGCAGATTGGTGCTGTGATTGGGGGAGGGAGGCAGAGATGGGGGGCGGGATGCTTTCGACGGATGATTTTGGACGGGCCAAAGGGTCTTCTTAGAAACAGGAATAGGCTATTCAGCTCCTCGAGCCTATTCCGCCATTCTGTAAGATCATGGCTGATCTGTACCTCGACTCCAATTACCCGCCTTTGCCTCAGAATTCCCGAAGCCCTGACCTAAGAAAAATCTATCCACTCCAGTCTTGAAAATGCGAATGGATCCCATGGCTGCCAGGTTTCGCCCACAAAATATACCCTCAATTCCCTTTCCAGTATATTCTGTGAAGCGCTTTGATCTGTCTCGAAGATGTGATAAGGCGCTATATCAAATGCAAGGATTATTATTATCCACAGCCTTTCGGGGGAGTGAGTTTGCAGAATTCCACTACCCTTTGGGTGAAAAAACGCTTCCTGATTTCACTTTAAAATGGAACAAGCTCTAATTTTAAGATGATGCGCCTTTGCTCTGGATTCTCCCTCCACCAGAGGAAACAGTTTCTCAGCAGCTACCCATTCTTCATTCCAAACGGGTCTTACAGGTGAACATAAATAATAACAACAATAATCCTTGCATTTAATTTAGTGGCTTGTCACGTCTTCCAGACGTCTCGAGACCCTCCTTTTCGACCATGCATAACCCTCCCTGCCGTCCATCCTATTCCCAATCCCAACCCCCTGCTCGGGTCCAAATCCCTGACTGTCCAGCACCTTGAGACGTCCTCCTGATGTGGGAAATCCTCTGCCGCTGTGAAGTGCTCCGGGATGCTAAGAGCGCTATATACATACATATAAGTTGCTGTTGTGTCATATTGCTTCACACGCTCCCTGGAGTTTACTCCCTTTTTGAAAGCGAATATGGATTTTGCTTCAACCGCTGCTCCCAGCCAAATCATTCCATATCCTAAACAATGTGTGTGTGTGTGTGCGTGGTAATAATAATAATAATAATCCCTGCGTTTGAAACAGCGCCTTATCACGTCTTCGAGACGTCTCAAAACGCTTCACAGAATATATGATAAAGTGAATTGACTGTATTTATTTTGTGGGTGAAACGCAGCAGCCAATTGCGCACAGCAGCGTCCGACAAACAGCCGTGGATTGAAATGACCAAATTATTATTATTATTGTTTTTATTGACTGTGTGTTTGTTTTGTGGGTTTGTTTTCCCTACCAACCTGCCCGGTCTCTCCGTTCATCGGGCTCCGGTCTGCTCCATGTCTCCCGCCCGACCCTCCCTACCATCGGTGGCCGGGCTTTCAGCCTCTCTGCCCCCACACTCTGGAACTCCATCCCGCAGTCCCTTCTCCTCGCGCCCTCCCTCGCCTCCTTCAAGGCCGGTCTCGAGACCCTTCTCTTCGACCGTGCCTTTGGTCTCCCTCCCACCTCTCTACCTTCCCTCACCCCTACACCACCCCTCCCCAGCGCTCGGGCCCCGACATCTGACTGTTCAGCGCTTTGGGACGTCCTCCGGACGAGAAAGGAGCTCTATAAATGTCACTTTGTTGTTGTTGCTGTGTGTGTGTGTGTGGGTGCGTGTGAGGGGGGGTGTGAGGGGTGGGTGTGTGTGGGGGGTGGTATGAGGGTGTGTGTGAGGGGGGTGTGTGTGTGGGGGGGGGGTGAGGGGTGAGGGTGTGTGTGTGTGGGTGTGTGTGTGTGTGTGGGTGTGTGTCTGTGTGTGGGGGTGTGTGTGTGGGGGTGTGTGTGTGAGGGTGTGTGTGTGTGTGTGTGTGTGGGGGTGTGTGTGTGTGTGTGTGTGTGGGGGGTGTGTGTGTGTGTGTGTGTGTGGGGGTGTGTGGGTGTGTGTGTGTGTGGGGGTGTGTGGGTGTGTGTGTGTGTGGGGGTGTGTGTGTGTGTGTGTGTGTGTGAGGGTGTGTGTGTGTGGTGTGTGGGTGTGTGTGTGTGGGTGTGTGTGGGTGTGTGTGTGTGTGGGGGTGTGTATGTGTGTATGTGTGTGTGTGTGTGGGTGGGGGTGTGAGGGTGTGTGTGTGTGTGTGTGTGTGGGTGTGTGTGGGGGTGTGTGTGTGGGGTGTGAGGGGGTGTGTGGGGGTGGAGGAGGTGAGTCGGAGTCTCTTACTGTCTATATCCTCTATCAGGCTGGCGGTGCCGGGCATGTAGTTCATGATGATGATGATGTTGTTGTTGGCGGCGGCTCAACCGACAACCGACCCGGCGCCGGGCGGTCACATGGCAACCGGGAGGGGAACTACTTCCGGTTCCGAGGTCACGAATGGAGCGCTCGAGCTCATCACTTCCAGGTCAGTCTCCCCCCCCTCCTCCCCATTGGGCGGGTTTCTCCCCCACTCCTCCCCATTGGGCGGGTTTCTCCCCCACTCCTCCACATTGGGCGGGTTTCTCCCCCACTCCTCCCTATTGGGCGGGTTTCTCCCCCCCCCCCCGCCCCGCTGTTACCCATCAGTACAGTAAGGAGTGGGGGGGGGGAGGGGCGAGAGGGGGCGGTTCTGACGCATAATATTTCGGGGCTACTTTTTTGGGCGGTTTTGGGCTACACGCGCGGACGGTTCTCGCAAAGATGGCGACGCTCAGGAGCGTAATGAGGGCGCGGGTGAGTCTGACTCTGTGAGGGGAGAGGAGGGGGGAGAGAGGGAGTGGGGGGGAATAGAGGGAGAGAGGAGGGGAGAGAGGGAGTGGGGGGAAAGGGGAGAGAGGAGGAGGAGGGGAGAGAGGGAGTGGGGGGAAAGGGGGAGAGAGGAGGAGGGGAGAGGGAGTGGGGGGGAAAAGGGGGAGAGAGGAGGGAGGAGGGAGAGGGAGGGAGTGGGGGGGAAAGGGGGAGAGAGGAGGAGGAGGGGAGAGAGGGAGTGGGGGGGAAAAGGGGGAGAGAGGAGGAGGAGGGGAGAGAGGGAGTGGGGGGGAAAGGGGGAGAGAGGAGGAGGGGAGAGGGAGTGGGGGGGAAAGGAGGAGAGAGCAGGAGGGGAGAGAGGGAGTGGGGGGGAAAAGGGGGAGAGAGGAGGAGGGGGGGAAGAGAGGAGGGGAGAGGGAGGAGGGAGAGGGAGGGAGTGGGGGCAAAGGGAGGGAGAGAGGATTGGGGGGAAAGGGAAAGAAAGATTTTATTCCATGATGGCTGTGATTTTCTTTCTCTCTCTGATCCTCACTCCATATCTCCTCCTCTCTCTCTCTCTCTCTCTCTCCTTCCTGTGACCTTTACTTAAATAAGGGGACATTCTGCTGTCAGTGCAGTTAATCCTCAGTTACTTTTATTTATTTATTTATTTATTTATAAATAAATAAAAATAGATAGATAAATACATCAAATAAACACGTAGTGTGACCGATAATAATAATAATAATAATAATCCTTGCATTTGATATAGCGCTTTTCACGTCGGGAGGACGTCCCAAAGCGCTTCACAGAACACACTGTAAAGTGAATTGACTGTATATTTGTGGGCGAACGCGGCAGCCAATTGCGCACAGCAATGTCCCACAAACAGTCGTGGATTGAAAATGACCAATTTATTATTGTATTTTTTTGGAGGGATTATTATTAGGCTCTGTGTGGAGTAAGGAAACTTGCCCAAGGTTTGGCCCTCTGCCTGGAATTGAACTCAGGCCTCTCACTTGCAAAGCGAGTGCTCTAACCACTGAGCTACAGGACTCCACTGTATTCTTCAATTGGAACACATACATACATACATAAACACATACATACAATAAAACAATAATAAATTAATAACAATTAATGATAATATTAATGCGGTCACTCGATGATAATCCACGGCTGTTTGCGGGGACGCTGCTGTGCGCATTTGGCTGCCGCGCTTCCGCCCACAAAATATACAGTCACTACACTTTACGGTGTATCCTGTCAAGCGCTTTGAGACGTCTCAAAGGCGTGTTAAGAGGCGCTACGTCAAATGCAAGGATTATTATTAAGAGTGTATTTGAGAGGAATCTTGATTTGCGGGTGAGGGGAGAAGGGAATTAGAAGGTGGGACAGGGAAAGAGACGAGGAGAGGGAATCGGGCACTGCTACAACTCATTTGGAGTGCAGTATCGACAGCAGCACAGACGAGTTGGGCCAAATGGCGTGTTTCCATGCTGTACATTATATGTATTTAATTCTAAGATGAGACAACAGGCCCTGGCATTTTTTTTTTCCTTTTAAAAGGTCACTGCTATCCCTCTTGCTTTTGGTGACACTAGTAAGAAATTGATTTCCAATGATGCATTTTGGACTTGCAAGTCTTGCAATGTGTTTGAAGTAAATGCTCGTCCCAGCTGTATTTTAACTTTTTATTTGCCTTTGGTTGCAGGTTTGCCTATCATATTTGAACCCTTGCAGAATTTCTGCCGCATCTCGGGTGCAGAATATTCAGAAAAATGCGGCCAGCAGTCGGATTTTAACACCCTTTGGAAGCTATAAAAAGAATTTCACCACAAGTAAGATACCCAATCTTTTCTGACAAGCCATGAAGCCAGTTGTGAACATTTGTTTGCCCTGTTGCCCTTTTTTTTCGTTTGTTTAGAAATACGTGGTCACTGCACTTCTACAGTAAAAATTCTGTAAAACGCTTTAAGACATTTGGTTGACGTGATAAAGTACTATATCAAATGCAAGAGGTTATGTGTTTATAATCTGCATTTATATCAGACTGAACAGTTGCAACATTTAGATCTGTTTGGAGTTAATCAAAGAACATTCTAAATTAAACTTGCTCTCACTTACATTCATTATGGAAAGCATTTGAATTTTTTTTCTAAAGTTAGTTAGTAGGCAAATGACACTGTTGCAAAAAGTCGCATTGGGTCTGGAATAAAGACAGCTCTTACGTAATGATATTGAATCGTTTTGTTTCCAGGTTGTGCAAACTTTGCTCCTGCCGTGACCGAACATGCACCACCTTTCAAAGGCACGGCTGTGGTCAATGGTGAGTTCAAAGAGATCAGTTTGGACGACTATCAGGGAAAGTACCTGGTTCTGTTCTTCTATCCTTTGGACTTGTAAGTAATCCTCGTACATTCAGTAAATGTATAACTGCAAGTTACTGTAAAAGTGCTCTATTTATAAAATATTTCTCAAACTCCAGTTTTATTCACCATTCAGTACCTTTGTTTTTTTTTTCAAAACCTACTTTTGCTCGCAGTAGTTCTGCGCAGACCTATTCGATGTTGAATTCCGAATTGCCATAACGTGCACATCTATAATTTTGCTGGAAAAGGTTTTAGAGAAAACTTTACAAATCTTTTGGTGTCAAATTGGTTGAGCACAACTAAAAACTGAACTGGGAAAATTTAAAAAAAAAATGCATATGTACAGAGTTCTGCTTATCAGCTTTGAATATATTAACTGCCAAATTATGGGTGGAGCACATATCTCATGGACAAATGGTGTTGCCCACCCATATCCTGATCAGATTGTTCTGTGCACATGTTGATGACGCTGTGTTTGTCTCTCTAGAACTGAACACACCAGGGATCTATAGAAGCAGTTTAACTGCTACATTGAGTTCCTTTAAACATAAAACTGGTATAAGTTTTACCCTTGGGGGATTTTTTCCTCTGCTGTTGCTCATCTTGCTGTTCCTACTTCCCTCTCTCCCTCTGGTATTTTGAATTGTCTGTCCTGCTTTAATATATGTTGCAGCGACCAAGAGATGTTTTTGTGTTTGTTATTGAGAATCAAATTCATTTCAGTATTGTTTATTGGAAGTTATTGCCTTATTATATAATCAGCACATTTTAGAAACTCTTCCCCCAAATACTACACTGCAATTGGTATAAGCAGTATAATTCTCCCACCATAAAGCTGATTCAATGTAAAATCTTGCTTTTCTTCTTAAAATGCCTAAATTTTATTTGAGATGTGTAACAGAATGTAGATGTAGTTGCGTATGTGGACATTTTCCACAAGTACCTACTGGCACTTTCCAGGAGGATTTATTTTCTGTGTAAGATTTTTAAGGTGCTCACAGAGCCCAATTCTTAGCAATCCTTCACCTGAACAGGCATGTGGCTCCTCAATTTAGCATCGTGGAGTCCTGTAGCTCAGTGGTTAGAGCGCTCGTCTTGCAAATGAGAGGACCTGGGTTTGATTCCTGGGGCAGTGCGAAACTTTAGGCAAGTTTCCTTACTCCAAACGCCTGTTTACCTAGCAGTAAATATGAGCCAGATTGTCACCTATATATTTAGCTGCTATCTGTACAATGGTATCTTATTTGTAAATAGATTTGTGTAGTATTATATTTATGAATTTGTAAACCATTTTATTCTTTTTACAGTACCTTTGTTTGCCCAACTGAGATAATTGCATTCAGTGACAAAGTCAATGAGTTCCATGATGTGAATTGTGAGGTTATTGGTGTATCTGTGGATTCACATTTCTCCCACCTTGCCTGGATCAACACATCTAGAAAGGTAAGGAAACAAGTAGTAGCTGTACAGCAATGTACTAGCTGTTGGCTTTTTATCAAGGATCACTTTATAAAGGGATTTTTGTTTTTGTTTTCATTGCCTCTTGGAAATCTCAGCGTTTCTATTAACATTTCTGCGTAGTGCGTTTATAAATTTGAAGAGAGCGACAGCTAAAGAATGTTTCTGTTTTAATCCTGTGTGTAAGTAAATAGTTTTAAGTCACGGCTGAATATATTTGGATGCTGATTGTATTGGAAGAAATAAGGGACAATGTAAGTGAAGTGTTTTCAGTAGGTTTTATGCGGTCTGGTTGATTCTTGTGTTGGAATATTTCTCGTCTTTTTCCCACCTTCAGATTGGAGGACTTGGCCGCATGAATATACCACTATTATCTGATCTAACAAAGCAGATATCTCGGGATTATGGAGTACTTCTGGAAAACCCTGGTATTGCCCTGAGGTAAAATTATTCTGATTATTAATCTATTAGTCCGAGATTTGAACTCAAGTGTGTTTATATATTTAAAAAAAACTGAGATCAGGACTGTAGTAACATTCAGCAGCATCCACTCAATCCTAATTCCTAACTTTGTTTCAAATGTGTACATTTACCCTCGAGCCAACACCTTGCTGCAATTAATTTTTATCACGTTTTGATGTTTTAAGTGCATTTCAGTAAATGTTTGAAATGTCATTTATTTACGAGAATAATGGCGCTGACGATGGCTTTTCTGATTTTTAAAAAAATATTGCTTTTACCAGGGGCCTTTTCATCATTGATCCTCGTGGAATTATCAAGCACATTGGGATCAACGATCTACCTGTGGGACGCAGTGTTCCGGAGACACTGCGGTTAGTAAAGGCGTTCCAGTTTGTGGAGACACACGGAGAGGTTTGCCCAGCCAATTGGACTCCTCACTCTCCCACGGTATGTAATGTTTTATTATGATGGAAAATTTAGGAATTTAAGCCTAAACAAGCTGACTTGTTACTTAAACTATCCATAGAGACCAGCCTGGTTACATTATACACTAATCCAAACAAATTATTATGTCTACATTTTGAAGAAATGATGATATCTACATTTTGCAATTGAGTCTCTTCAGACAACTGATGATTTAGCTGCAACATTTTTATTTTTAACCTAGGACTTAAACTACCATTTTAATTACCATTGTCTGAGTCTATGAAACTATTTCTTAGTGTTTTGAAGAAAAAAGTCGGGCAAAGCAATTACAGTTTGTAGCAGCTTTAACCAAACAATATCAATATTGAAAGAGACTGCCGGTTAATCCAATCCTTGTGCCACTCTTTAAGCAACATTATAGGATTACTGCAAAGAGGAGTACATCTTGATCGTACAAATAGAGCTGTTTTTAATGTTCACTTGTAAAGCCAAATGGGACTTCAATTTAACATTGAAAGATGGCACCTCTACCAAAACAGTACTCCTCCACTATCGCACTGGAGTGTCAGCCTAGGCTGTCGCTTGATGAGATTTGGATTTCAGTTCAGTGTTTGCTGTATATTATCATCTCAGCATCTAGATGCCCTTTGTAAAGTGCTTAAACTTTGCTTTGTCTGTGGAACTGTAATATTCTCACGTGGTTTAACATGCCATTTTGTATTTTATTGTGGCAGTATGATTAACCTGCAGGTGTAATTCTGTTTGTATTTTTCAGATTAAGCCAACGCCACAAGATTCCAAGGAGTACTTTCAGAAAGTCCATGATTAGATTGATAATTTGTCAGCCTGTATTTAATTTTGCACTAATTGACGATTCAAAATGCTAAATTATGAAGATGAATGTTATCCTTGTTACAAAAATAAGGGGGTACAGTAATTAAAGCTCTTCGGTTTAGAATGTTAGTCCAGTTTACCCATCTCGGGGAGTCATTTATCAAGCAGCTGTTACAAGAAATATTTTCTTCGATTTCCATGTGGTTAAAAGGTACGAAAACACCTTTACTTTAAAGAGAACCAGAAAGAACAGGACTCTTATAACCTCATAGTGGACAGGGTCATCAACTGTGTACAAATGATTGAATCTACTGATGTTTTGCAATATCATGTTTAAAGAAGTACTTACGCACAATTAAACTGCTTATATTCTACAAAATAAAGATTCAGATGTATATGTTGAGTGTGGACCAATTATTTCCCCAAAACTTTTTTAACCCATCTTGTGCTATCTAATTACTATCACACAGTAAGCCTAGATTTAACTACAATTGTCTTATTGCAGCCTTTTTTCTCATTTTCATTCTGAATTTGTAATTATCTACAATTTAGTGCAAGAAAGGAGGATGTGTGTGTTTTCGAGTTCATATTTTTGAATCAGGAGAAAGCAACATTAAATCCATGAACAAAACACTAATACCAAAATAAAGTTGTGACAGAGCTAGATGTAAGGATTACCTATCAAGATAATCTTTTACATCCTATTTACTAGTACGAGAGAAATCTTAGCTTCAGCAAATATTGGCGAGGTGTTTATTGTATTTTATCTAGTTAGGTTTGCATGTCAAGATTTTTCATTGTAAATGATATAAAGTACCTATGATCCATGTATTTTAAAAAAATAATTTGGTCACTCAATCCACGACTGTGTGTGGGACGCTGCTGTGCACAGTTGGCTGCTGCGTTTCGCCCACAAAACATACAGTCGATTCACTTAACAATATATTCTGTGAAGCGCTTTGAAACGACTCGAAGACGCGATAAGGCAAATGCAAGGATTATTATTATGATTTGGAGATGGATAGAAAGGTGTGTTATGGAGTTTAATAATCATTCTTGCATTTGATAGAAGCGCCTTAGTGACTCCCAAGCTCTTCACAGGGATGTACTGACTCGGCTGATATGCTATTAATCAGTTAAATGGTGGCATGAAAAATTTACTGCATTTCTCATCCAATGCTGAGCTTGGTATTAGAAATGAAAATTATGCGGTTTTCTCTTCTGAAGTACAAATTTCCTCTCCTCGCCTCAAAACGTGCGTATGAACCATAAAAATAATTCTTGCTACGCCTTTGATAAATGACTTCCTGTTATCGGCTTTCAGGTTTGTTGTCTAAATTCTGCTATTCTACTGCGTCGTTAGTATCTCGATTATTTCTGGAAATGCTGTCATTGATAGCAATTTAAGACAGTGAGTTTATTGTGCTCGAGTCAAAACTAGAAATGTGAAAAAACATTTAAAGGTAACCCTGGAAATTCAAAAAAGCCTCAACTTTATTCTTTTAACTACAAAAAATGAAGTTTTAGGATATAATAGATCAAATCCAAACAAAGGATTTCAGACAAGGAAAGTCAATTCAGCCTTTTGGGAAAACTGGAGAAAGTTCTAAACCAATGCTTGGAAAGAAAATAAGAGCACCAGAAAAGGGAAAACCAAGAAATTATAAAATCCTGATTAAATTTCAAGCTTTGAAGGCACCCGGAATAGCTTTGAAACAAAGAATTCTTACATAAATTCAAAATATTGTGCTAACTTATGTTCTTTGTTAGCCACTGTGCCCCGAAACTCTGGAACACTCTCCCTCGGTCCCTCCGCCTTGCCCCCTCTCTCCCCTGGAGGACGCTATATAAGTGCAAGTTGTTGCTGCATTTTCTCCCGAAAATTTCCTAAAATTTGATTGATTAATAAAAGGAACAAAAGAAGTGAATAGGAAGCACTAAATACCCGTATGGTCTAGTAACATTTCTCATGACATCAGTTGACAGAAATTAATTGAACTGAACGCCCAGATTTTGAACACTAGAATTACTTAGTGTTCTAAATAATTAAGATATATTGCAGTATATTTTGTGAAGCACTTTGAGACATCTCGAAGATGTGATAAAACGCTATATCAAATCCAAGGATTATTATTATTTAAACATAGTAACAATAACAATCGTTTATATAGGAACGCCTTGCAAATAGGGTAATGTTTTGGAAGTACTTTACAGAGACTTCCAGGCACGGAGGAGGGAAGCAACATGGTCAAAGCGAGTGGTGACTTCCATAAACTTTACATGACATTCCTTTACATTCCTCTTGAAAACGATCATGTTTTGTTCCTACATTTTATCCCTCGTCCCCTCCGCTCCACCGTCGGTGGCCGTGCCTTCCGCCACTACGCCCCGAAACTCTGGAACTCTCTCCCTCAATCCCTCTGCCTTGCCCCCTCCCTCCCCGCCTTCCAATCCAACCTAAAGTCCTTCCTTTTTTTTTGAGTTTACGGTCACCTCCCCCCTCCCTCTCTTCCCCCCCACCCCGCTCGGGTTCAGACTCTGTCACCGTGAAGCGCTCTGGGACCCTTCCCCCCCATGAAGAGCGCTGTGTAAATGCAAATTGTTGTAGATTTCTACAACAGCCTTGTTCTTGTGTGATGTATTTATTTGATTGTTATAACTTTCCCAACTCCCCCTGGAATTTGAAAGCTTTAATTCTGCAAAACACGGACTGTTTTGTCACGAGCTCAATGCGAGGAATGTGGCGGCCGCAGTTTGATCGTTCCCCGTGCTCTCTTTGTCCAAATGTGGACAAAAATAAAGCTTAGTGTCAAACACCGCAGCTATCTGCTCTCAGTAATGCAGCTCTGATTTGGGGTTTAAAAATAAACTGCGAACCGATCAGTGTCACGTTACTTTCCTGTGAGGCGCGGGGAGAGATTCACTGAGGTTCTTGTCACAAGTAGAACCGTTATCACCGAAACACTGAATGCACAAGCTGTGAAACTGATGGAAACCAGAGCCTTTGGTGAGGTTACTTTCGGAAATTGTGGCGTTGGGCATCCCCTGCTGGTCATAACAACAATAATAATCCTGGCGTTTGGTACAGCGCCTTATCACGTCTTCGAGACGTCTCAAAGTGCTTCCCAGGATACACTGTAAAGTGTATGTATGAACTGTTGCGCACAGCAGTGTCCCCCAAACAGTCCTGGACTGAGTGACCAAATTATTATTATATTTTTCGAAGCGATTATTACCCCCGGAAAAGCGATCCGCCCATCGACTAAAAAAAAAGTGTTCCTTTTTACTGCAAGGTAGACAGAGGCCTGTGGTTATTTCCAGAAGTAGTTGTTATTTTTTTAACACTTAAGCAAACGCAGCAGAATAACACGCACAGTGTCTGAACTGGGCCATTGAAAAGGTTACTTACCTTATCAGCAGCAACAAGCCCGATCTGCACGGATTACCTTGTATCCAGACAAGTAGGGTTAACAAACCGAAGTTTCTATTGATTGTTTTCTTTAGCGATTACCATAGTATTATGATTTAATGGCACCGCCTTGTTTTCAGTAGCTCAGCATGATTATCCCAGTGAGAGTCATTACCTTAGCCAGCTCATCACTATCCAATATGTTGGTGCCTTGCAGGGAGGTTACTAACATTTGGAGAATCACTGTGGGTTGTTCTCACACTTGTTAAGGTCTGAGACCTAGGAACAAACTTCCCCACCTCCTTCTCACCAAAGCAGATGATGTATGGCTCAGGGGGAGTGAAAATAATTACGTTTAAAGGTGGGGATAATCATTAATAATAAATTTAATATAATGCCTTATCGTGTCGTTGAAACGTCTCAAAGCAATTCACCAGATTTACTACAAAATGTATTTGCAGGCTGACCGGCAGTCAATTGACACAGAAAAATATCCCCCCAAAACAGCCATGAAATGAATGACTAATTTTATCTGGAGGATTGTTGGCCAACACACCACCAGGAGGAACTCCCTTCACTGTTCATAGTTTCCTAATGTATTTATAAATAAAGATTGGAATTTTAAAATTGTATTTATCCGACAACTAACTGATAACAGAAACAGACAAGTCTTTTGGTAAATAAAAGACTTTCACTCACAAAATATACAGTTAATTCACTTTACAGTATATTCTGTGAAGCACTTTGAGACATCTCGAAGACATGATAAGGCGCTATATCAAATGCAAGGATTATTATCATTATTATTATTATAAAAGCATGATGTATCTTCTTTTAAAACAAAACAAATCATGAAATTACGAGAGTAACAATCTACATTTCTTGTTTTTATGCTGGTCTCATTGCTCCGTGACCCAGATGAATAAAATAAATAAAATAGCAATAATAATCCTTGCATTTGATACAGCACCTTATCACGTCTTCGAGACGTCTCCAAGCGCTTCACGTAATATACCAAGTGAATTGACTGTGTATTTTGTGGGCAAAACGCAGCAGCGAATTGCGCACAGCAGTCCCACAAACAGTCGGGAATTCAGTGACCAAATTATTATTATTATTATTATTATTTTTTTGAAGGGATTATTACAACTGGAAAAGCGATTCGCCAATCGACTAATAACCGTGTTCCTATTTACTGATCGGTGAACAGAGGCGTGTGGAGTAAGGAAACTTGCCCAAATGTATATGTTAGATTATCATGAGTCTTTGTGTGTGTAATTACTCTGTACTCCAATGTACCAGAACAAATGTAAACACAGAACATAATTATAGCTCTGTTAAATTGAATTTGCTATAGCTACCACAACTAATGATCAGCCGAGATACTTCTCCAACTGTCTTTGTTCCTGAGGTTACCTTGGGCACAACCAGAAACTGGGCTGTGTTTTCATTAAATCAGTCTAACGTCCCCTGCCCGGCCAGCCCCACCATCGGCGGTTGGGCCTTCAGGTTCTCTGCCCCCACCCTTTGGAACTCCATCCCACAGTCCCTTCATCTTGCCCCCTCCCTCGCCTCCTTCAAAGCAGGTCTCAAGACCCTCCTCGTCGACCGCGCATTCGGTCACCCTCCTACCCCTACCCTCCCTGTTCCAAACCTCCAGATCCCAATCCCCTGCTCGGGTCCAAATCCCTGACTGTCCAGCGCCTTGGGATGTCCTCCATTATTATTATTTTTATTTAAGGGATTATATCCCCCCCCACCCCGGGAAAGCGATCCGCCAACAACCGGGTTCCTACTTACTGCTTGGTAAGAAGAATACACCCACTTCTCTGTCAGCCACACATCACTAGCGCAATAACATTTCATTTAGTGAACTGGAGAGAAGCTCAGCCATTCATCTGGAGATCCCCTGCCGTCAAATCCTTTCAGTGCTATAGAATAGACGTTGCCTGTAGCAACGCAAAGTTGTTGTTGAGGGCAGAAATCCCGTTTGCCTGAAGGAGAGAAAAGTTTTTCTAAGTGTGCTGATCTAGTCTTGTTGTTCAGCTATAGCTAACTAGCATGACTCAAGTTAGCATTGTAAGACCAGCGTCACATCTAGGGGTATCAGCCAGATTTCCCGAAATACCACATCCCTTGTCCAGGCTGGGCAATCCTGAAACGATTTTGATCCACGGAGTTTCCCAGCTTTCAGTCCGGGAATCGGTTGCTGGAAGATCCCCCCTTACAAAGAGCAGGCACCTGAAACTTAGTGAGCGTACTTCCTCCAGAAGGAAGGAATCTGCATCGGATAACATTTACCCAGAGGTTGGAAAAGAGGACCTGGAGAATTGGAGAAAGTTGGATCGTTGGATTAATCTCAGTAAGTGAAGATATGAAGTGAATATCAATAGGTGCCTGAATGGTAACTGATCTAACAAGCAGAGGGGAGGGTATCCCAGGGGCTCAATTTTGCAGAGAACAAATTGGAAGCAGAAATGATTGTTTGCTTCAAGAACAAATTAGATAGATTTCTGCTAGAAAATAATAGCTCGGGATACGGTATATGGTTTGGGACCCAACATGACATGACTGCCAGGATGGTGGAAAGCGAACTAGATGGCCCTAGTTAGCTCGGGATTCCCACTGATTTTGCCCAGCAAATTCTTATGTTCTTATGTTCTTTAACAATATTAATTGCAAATAGTAAATAGAAGTGTGCATAAGGGGCAGGGGATAATCTCTCAGAAAATGTTCTTTGACGGTTTGCGCTCTTATGTCTGTTCTTTCAAACCTTCCTCCTATTCCGTGTATGTGAGCCTTCCTCTGACCTCCATCGCAGGCTTTTGTCAATTTACAATGAATGTTTCCTTGGATTTTTTTAAAAAAAGTGACATTTCTATCTTTGCCTGACATTAGTTAGCACTTCTAATCCTCCTGAATACTATGGAGACCTGTAGCTCAGCAATTACAGCGCTCGCCTTGCAAGCGAGAAACCTGGGTGCGATTCCCGGCAGGGCAAAACCCTGGGCAAGTTTCCTTACTCCACACGCCTGATAATAATCCCTCAAGAAAAAAACAATAATAAAATTGGTCACTTCAATCCACAACTGTTTGTGGGACGCTGCCGGCGCAATTGGCTGCCGCGTTTCGCCCACAACTATACAATCAATTCACTTTACAGGATATTCTGTGGAGCGCTTTGAGACGTCTCGAAGACTTGCAAAGCGCTGTGTCAAATGCCAGGGTTATTATATATTACAATGGGAGCAATTACTGTGAGTTGAAGACTAACAGAGCTGGCAGAGCTGGGTTTTTGATTTCCAATATTTACTTCCACAATAGCAAATGGGAGTAAACATAACACGCGAGAGGTTAAGCTTTATCTACACCATCGACGGCACATTCTGGTGAATGACCGAATGATAGGAAGACCTAAAGAGATTAAAACGGGCCATTAGCACACACTCACACACACACACGCACACACAGTATAGGAGTGATGTACAGAAATAAAAGTGCAATTAAATTGGCAAGGCAGAATATATATGGGTTACCCAACACTCAGAACATTTATTTACGTATTTTCTTTGTGGTTATCAGAAAAGTGTTGGGCCAGTGGACCTAGAATAACTGATGAGGACGATGAGACAGTTTTCTCGTCAAGGCCTGGAACCCAGATGAGACTCCAGGTAGATGAGGTGAGCAATTATGGAGCTACTGTTCATTTCTTTAGCTTAACGAAGGCCAGTGGTCCTGTTGTAATTCCATACAAAACATCCTCCCTGCCTCCTTTGGCTCAGGGTCTTAGCCAGAAGCAATAAGCACTCTGAGACACATGAGAGGCACTGATGTAAATGTAAAATATATTGTGTACGAAATGTTAACTCGGGATTCCCACTGATTTTGCCCATTGATCTGAGGGAAAGTCACGGCAGTTCCATTAGAAAAAAGGATCTGGGAATTTGCCACAGAGCTATTATTTTAAGACATATATTGCTGAGGCGGAGAACTCAGCTTCGAATGCTTGTTAAATGGAAGACTCAACGCATTCTACTTGACCACTTAATTGAGAAGAGGTTCACAACGGGTGCGTTTAAGCATCAACAACAACAACTTGCACTTACACAGCGCAAGGGTAGGGTCCCAGAGCGCTTGGGAGTGGCGGAGCACGATGCCGAGCCGGGAGGGGGAGGCGGGAGGTGACGGTAGGCACGGTCGAAGGGGAAGGTCTTCAGGCGCGACCTGAAGATGGGGAAGGAAGGGGGCAAGGCGGAGGGATAGAGAAAGAGCGTTCAGTGGAGAAACATTTAGTGGTGCTTGGTTGAAAAAATTCTCCCCACCTCCTTTGGCTCCCAGCCCCAGCTCGGGGACCTAGCGATAAACACTCTGAGTCATTCAACCTCTTGAATATACCCCAACTCTCCTGTTTGGTTTTGCAGCTTGAATATCTTCTGCGACAGAAGATCAAATCTGGCGGATTCTACACTTTACGGCAACTCTTTCAAGCAAACGACCCCAATGGCAGGGGTCAGGTGACAAGGTGAAGCACTTTTCTTTAACAATGTCACGTCTGGTCATTGCTCCTCCGAGCAAATTTGATCAAACTTTTACTTTAATCAAAGAAAAAAGTTTTTTGGGGGAAGATAATATAACAAATTATTTTTAACCTGTTAAACCTGCAGGGGTTAGGTCTCTTTTCAACAAGGTAAACTGAATACATTGCAATATTTAAAATACTGAGACATAAAAATATTAACAATAATAATCTTGATATGTGGTATAGCGCCTTTCACATCGGGAGGACATCCCACAAAGATTCCCCGGATATCATGTGAAGTGTTGTGAATGTGAAGGGCGCAGTGTAAATGCAAGTTGTTGTTGTTGTTGTTGTACTTAATCTACCGCAATTCACAGGAAAAGGTACGAATGAATAGTTCAATCTCTTTTTCTTTCTCAACTCTGTGTGCACTGCAGAGAAGTGTTGCTGATAATTCTAACTCGATTTCTGGGAAGATTCATTACTGCAAAGCTGTTTCATCATCTTTTACTTAGGTACGTTGGATTCTTTGTTGGATTCGTTCATTCTTTCTAATAATAATAATAATCCTTGCACTTGATACAGTGCCTTATCACGTCTTTGCACTGGAAAGCGAATTGACTGTACATTTTGTGGGCAAAACGTCTTTCACCAATCATTTTTTGTGTTGCTGATTGAGTAAGGTATACTGTTTGTTCTTTACCACTTGTCTTATTGCAGACTTAAACTTAACGAAAAGCCCATCATCACATACGAAGACTTTTACGTGCACTTTAAAGAACAGGAACCTAAAGGATACCCAACGTGGATGGATCCTGTAAAGGGATCTCAAGAGAACAGAAAGATGAGCGCAACTCAAGTTCATTTGCAACTGAAGGCAATGGTTAGCGAGAGGTATTGTCCAGACGCATTCGAGATACATGACAGATCACCGGGGCGGGAATTACAGGTACACGTTTCAGCTACAGGGAGACTCGCTCGATACAGCGGTCAACAGTGAATGTCTGGGGTAAATCTTCAGAAATTGTAACGATGGAACTGAACAGGAACCGCATTATACCGTAATGTGACACGTCACAGGGCAGCAGGTTGTGCTTTTTGGAAGATGGAAGAAGCCTCTATTTTTCTCAAGGAAGCCATCAATCCCACTGCTGCGACTCGCTCAACATATCGACTTTGTTTGAATTTCAGGCCGTGGGAACTGAGGGCTCTTTTCAACAAGATGGAAAATGGCAGAATGCAGCCGCTGGAATTTCAGAAGCTCCTGCACCGGCTCGGAATGGAAACGGAACACGAGGAATTCATGAAACTGTTGAAGCGGTAACTATTATTATTGTCAGTATCTGTCATATCAATTCAACAGAGTGGTAATGTAACAATATATAATAATAATCCTTACATTTGTTACAATCGTATAAATAATTCTTGCATTTGACATAGAGCCTTCGAGACGTCTCAAAGCGCTTCCCAGAATATACTGTAAAGTGAATTGACTGTGTATTTTGTGGGCGAAACGCGACAGCCAATTGCGCACAGCAGTGTCCCACAAACAGTTGTGGATTAAGTGACCACATTTTTTATTATTATTTTTTAAGGCTTATTAGCCTCAGAAATAATAATCCCTCCAAAAACAACAAAAAAAACAATAATAAATTGGTCATTTTCAATCTACGACTGTTTGTGGGACATTGCTGTGCGCAATTGGCTGCCACGTTCGCCCACAAATATACAGTCAATTCACTTTACAGTGTGTTCTGTGAAGCGCTTTGGGACGTCCTCCCGACGTGAAAAGCGCTATATCAAATGCAAGCATTATTACTATTATTAGAAAGCAATCCACCAATCGACTAACAACCGGGTTCCTACTGTACTGCTAGGTAAACGGAGTTAAAGCGCATCACATGTCGGCAGAACGTCTCAAGGTGCTTCAATTCCTCCGTATTTGTGCCATTATTTCCATCAGTGTGATGAAATACGCATTCTACACGTGCCGACAAGCGCTACACTCGACAGCACCTGTGAGGTGCTTGGGATGGTCTGACATTAATGGCCCTACATTGAGTATGAGGATTGTTAAACGTTTTTGCTGTTTTAAACTGGTGTCGTTAAACTACACACAGTTCTCCCCACACAAAAAAAGCAGAAGAGCTTTTACTCTTTCTCTCATCAGTTGAGCTAAGTTCTGCTGAATTCTTTTTCCTTTCTCGCCGCAGGTATGACCCGGGCAATCTTGGTGCTGTGCAAGCTCGGATCCTGATGAGAGCTTTGGGCTTCCAAACTGGAGCTGAGTGTCGGGAAGGATGGAAGTCAGTCCTTTCAGCATCTGGCAGGATAACAAAAGGTAATGTATCACAAGATGGAGCCAAATGTGCACAGAAGTGTTTCCATATTAGAATTGAGACAGAAAAAAAATCATATACTTCAAAAATGTTAGCGTTAGAGACACCAAAATTGTGGCTTACTGGTCCTCCTGTCTTTACTTTCCCCTTCCACGTACGTGCGTGCGCGTGCGTGTGTGTGTGTGTATGCGAACATGTTTGTGCGTGTATCCGCGCTGTTTTAACGTATGTTAAGATATACCTTGTCGTGCATTCACATTCAGGCTCCTCGAGAAGAAGAAGCTGGACAAAAGCAGAAATGGAGAGAAAACTGACGCTGGATATCGAAAACTGGCTGAAGGAAAAGTTTAGGGAGGGTTTTAAGCGTATGATGGCAGAATTCTATTCCTTTGACCAAGATAATTCTCAAATGGTAATGGAGTGCCCCAGGCAGTACAATGAGTATCTAATGATAATAATCCTTGCATTTGATATAGCGCCTTATCACGTCTTCAAGACGTCTCAAAGCGCTTCGCAGAATATACTGTAAAGTGAATTGACTGTATGTTTTGAGGGCGGTTTTATTAGGAAGGAGCTGTCCGTGTCAAAATGTTGCTGAATCGATATCGTCGAGAGTTAAGTACACACTCAGATACTTCTCTAGTTGCTCTGCTGCAGATGCCTGTTAGAGAAGTCCTTCAGTCTGAGCGAGGAAGAGTCAGAAAGCTCAAAATAAGCCGTGGAAATCTTCCCATGTCGTGAATCCAGCCCTCGCATGAGATATTAAACCGTCAAATGGGCATTAAAAATATAAATTGGCCGCAGCATTTCGGCCACAAAATATACAGTCACTGCACTTTACTGCACTTTACAGTGTATTCTGTGAAGCGCTTTGAGATGTGATAAGGTGCTATATCAAATGCAAGGATTATTTTTTTTAAAAAAAACACAGTTTGGTGCAAATGGAAAACTCCAAAATGTTACGTTTGTTTGTTTTTTAACCGCCTCAATTTGATTGGTTTGGAGTGGAGATATATAACGTCCATGTTTCACATCACTGGGGGAGCCAACGGACTTGATTCCCAGCAGTATAAGCACAGCATAAGATTGAGGTGCGTGTCAGAGTAATGGAGGAAACCATGTGTCTGATTCACAATATAGTCGAGAGCTCGATCCAGACAAAAGCATCATTCCCAGAAGGTTTTAGAAATGCTGATAACCAGATGTTGTGTCTTTTCAAAAATCTTGTTTTTACTGCTTGTAAAACTGAATCACATCCAAACTGTGAACCCCCCCACCCACCACTCTCCCCCCCCACCCCACTCTCTCCACCCCCCCACTCTTCCCCAGAATATTTGTCAAACCACCATAGCTTCGTTATTCAGCCTCATGGACATTGTCCCAACCAGTGTTGCTTCTACTGAGAGTCTGTTCCAGCGTTAACGGCCCTGAAATAATATACGAGTCAGTTCACCCAATTCTATGATTATACCATCCATCAAAGGTTACAAGAGAAATCTTCTTACGTGTACTGGAGAAATTCAAGCTTCGACTCAAAGAGGAGCAACTAGATACTTTCCTAGTTCGCTGTGGCCTTCAAGAAGGTGCTCCCTTTGTCAACTACATGGAATTTCTCCATAAGTTTCAAGACAGGAGTGAGAAACGGGTGCCTCACAGGATCATATCTGACGTAAATCACAGGTGGGTTTCACGGGCAAATTCAAGCGCTCTTAAGATGGCATCATTCTTGTGATGTAGCACCTTTGCCGAACAGCGCAAACAGCTGCGATTGCTATGATTGTACATTAATACAATTAAACCATAATTCCTATAATTATCATTTCAAGATGAACCCTCTGATAATTTGGGATTATTAACAAATAAATGCGTACAAGATGTTGGTTAGGCTGCAATTAGAGCACTGCTTGCAGTTCTGGGCACCCTGTGAATTGACAGTATATTTTGTATACTGTGAAAGGTATCAAGACATGGTGAGGATCCAGTCTAGGTTCACACCCAATGAATCCAAAGGCAAGAGGTTAGTTACACTTATGAGGATAGGGTTGAATAACTGAGGATCTATTAGACATATTCTGAAAAGGTATGGAGGATGGAGCAGGGTTAGGGAAAGAGCATGGAGTTGGGGTTAGAGTGGGTCTATCCAATGGAGGAGTTAGCACCAGCATTGAATCGATTGAATCAAGGCTTCCTTCCTTCTGTGCTGTAAATTCTATAACGCTGTGATTAACAGCTGCTCATTGTTTCGAATAGATTTAACAAACTCGGAAGTGTTGGCCCACAATCAACAATCACTGCGTTGGAGACAAAGCTAATAAACCTTTTCCAGTCTGACTTCCTTTCCCTGTTGGGAATTTTTCAGTAAGCAATATGTTTCATTTTTTTTTTGGCATCGATGTTTTGCTATTCTTATAACACTGTGCAAACTGAAGGATTTTCCACGGATTAAAAATCTTTGCCCGTGCAGTTGTGAAGTGTTGCTATTATTTTGCTTGACAGCAAATTTGACAACCAGAGACTGGATGTGATCAACCAGCAAGTATTCTGGACGATCCTAAAAAGCAGGTAAAATTTTTTCATTCTTTAATGGTTTATTCCTGAATGGTTTATTCTTTAATGGAGTCCTGTAGCGTAATGGTTAGAGCACTCGCCTCGCAAGTGAGAGGACCTAGGTTCGACTCCCAGGCAGGGCGAAACATTAGGCAAGTTTCCTTACTCCACACACCTCTGTTTACTTAGTAGTAAGTAGGAACCCAGTTGTTAATCGATTGGTGGATCACTTTTCCGGGGCTTCACAAAAAATAATAATAATTTGGTCACTCAATCCATGACTGTGCACAATTGGCTGCCATGTTTTGCCCACAAAATATAGTCAATTAACTTTACAGTATATTCTGTGAAGTGTTTGAGATGTCTGAACACTTGATAAGGCGCTATATCAAATGCAAGGATTATTATCATTATTATTTTACTTTTATGCCAAGTTTCTATCTCCTATTTCACTTGGAAGCACTGCAGTATTACCAGGAAGAGTAAAAGAGCTTTGTGATTAAGTAAACCACACTTTTGAACGCTCAATAGAAGCTGTTGATGGCAACCCAACCAATGAAGGAGCAAGTCTAACGGGTATTATCCCCTTGTTTCCTTGCAAGGTTTGGCATTCATATGTCTGATGAAGAAATGAGTTATTTCACGGATAGGATGCCACTTGATGCCAAAGGCAATGTAAAATACCTTGAATTCATGGCCATGTTCGACAGCAGGTAAGTGGATACCTGCTGTAAGGTGCAGTTTGGGAGTTGGTATACAGGGAGTGAATATCATCATAAACCATCATCTAACATCCAGCAGATTCCTCACCCCGATTCCGACTTTAATAAGAAACTGTGCATTTAAGCATAATTATTATAAATAATAAATTCAGTAACCGGTCTATGAGTGCAGTCCTGCATCTCAGTGGTTAGAGCACTCGCCTCACAAGCGAGAGGACCTGGGTTTGATTCCGGGCAGGGCGAAACGTTGGGCAAGCTTTCTTACTCCACACGCCTCTGTTTACCTAGCAGTAAGTAGGAACCCGGTTGTTAGTCGATTGGTGGATTGCTTTTCCAACGCTTCACAAAAAATAATAATAATTTGGTCACTCAATCCACGACTGATTGTGAGACACTACTGTGCACAATTGGCATGTGTCTTCATTACTCGACAGCAAAGGTGCAAAAAGTCTGTTGGATGACAAGTCTATCATGACACATCACCGCAAAGCATGGCCACAAAGTAATTCTCTAAGGACTGGTACTTCTGAATCAATAAATAAAGTGCACAGTTCAAAAAGGACCACTGACCAGGTAAACATTGCTATTTTATACTTAAAGCTATACAGTTCTGTAAGGATAAAGTGGACCCAGGACAAGATAATGAAATGCTATATCAAATGCGAGGATTATTATTATATATTACATCAACGACATGTGTCTCCTTTACATCAAACAGACATCAAACAGGAACAAGTGGATGGATTCAATTTATTCTAATTCTGTTAATTCACTTTACAGTATATTCCGTGAAGCTCTTTGAGACGTCTCGGAGACGTGATAAGGCGCTGTATCAAATGGAAGGATTATTATTATTATTATTATTATTATTATTGGCTGCTGCATTCGCCTACAAAAAACAGAGACACTACTTTATGATAATTCCCATGAAGGGCTCTGAGATGTCCTCCCGACGCTGTAACAAGTGCAAGATTTATTTCTTGTTTTAGATGATATACACAGTAAGAACATTACCAGAGCCTTGGGATGTGAAAGGCGCTATACAATCGTTGTTCTTTGAGCAAAGTTAAGTTGTGTCTTACTGCCTAATTCACCTCTCCTTTCACTTCAGATCACTAAAATAATACATGATCTCTTGAAGAAAAACTACCGAGCAGTGGAAGAAGCTTTAACTGAACTGGATGGAATGAATACACATCGACTTTCCCCAGAATCTACGTACCAGCTACTTAAGCGGTTCAGGAGACGTTCCTTATTACAATTAACATTCACTGAATTTTCAATAGCCGCAATTTTTTTTTCTCAGATACTTGCTGATGAGAGCGTATATTGTCTTCCACAGCTTTGACATTCATCCGTTCATCTCGAGAGCTGAAGTCAGGAAACTCTGGAGGACTTTAAGCACCAGTCAGGACGATACATTGGATTTCTATGAATTTGTCCGACACTTTAGATTCTCGCCCAAAACAGCCTGCTTCCCAAACGCCAGACTACAGCCTCCAGTAAAAGGAGACGGCGACTTTCTCATTCGATCGAGAAAGTTAAACTGTGACGCAGAAATCGTTGAGGATAGCCTGCGAGCTAAAGTTGAGTGAATTCCTTTAGGAAATTATTTTTTTTTTCACCTGTTATTATCCGGAGATGATAATAATAATCCTTGCATTTGATATAGCTTTTTATCGTGATGTTGAGATGTCTCAAAGCGCTTCACAGAATACACTGTAAATTGACTGTATATTTTTGTGGGTGAAACGCAGCAGCCAATCGCACTCAGCAGCGTCCCACAAACAGTCAAGGATTGAGTGACCAAATTATTATTATTATTATTTTTTTGAAGGGATCATTACCCCTAGAAAAGTGAACCGCTAATCAACTAACAACCAGGTTCCTACTTACTGATTGGTAAACAGCAGTGTGTGGATTAAGGAAACTTGCCCAATGTTTCGCTCTGCCCGGGAATCGAACCCGGGTCCTCTTGCTTGCGAGGCAAGTGTTCTAACCACTGAGCTACAGGGCTCCACAATATCAACTTTTAATTACCTAATCAGCCTGCTAATTACCTAAGCTTCTCTCTTGTCAAAGGTTGTCTTCTTGCTGGAGCAGCTTTGGAAACACTTCCATGAGTTGGACCAGTTTCACACGGGCTTTGTGAGCAAAGAGGAATTTAAGGACGTCCTCACAGACCTGTGTGTGGAGCTGAATGAGCAGGAGTGTGAAACGCTCATCAGCAAGTATAACCATGGAGAGAACAGGTTCGTTAATAATAATCCCTGCATTGCCCGGGAGAGGATGTTTCAAAACCTTTCAGGGGATTTACTGTGAAGCGAAGTGACTGTGTGCTTTGTAGACAAACCTGGCAGCCAATTTGTGCACAGCAAAGTCATGTTGCATTCTGGAATTTAGTGATACACAGTTTTTATTAAAATATTCACATTCCCCTTGTTTAGGATATCTTACCTTGAGTTTCTTCGGCCTTTCGAAGTACGTAGGAAATCTCCCAGGCTCGGCAATTTAAAGAAACAGAAAGATGTGCCTTTGCCCACTGTGTACACAGACTCGGTGCACAAAGGCCTGAACATCATCACAGGGAAACTTCGGCAAAAGGTAAGACACCATACAGCGCAGTTTATCCTTGAATTTACCTTGAGTTCCCAAAAGTGCAACGGCTGGGATGAGGTGGAGCCTTATTTCTAGATTAAATATGATCGATTGTGATCCTGTGTCAGATTTCTTACCATCTTTTCCACTCAAACTTGCGTCTTGATGTGGTGCTGGCTATCTTACGATTATGCTACTTGTTTTAGATTTACCACCGGCTTTAATCCCCCCGTTTTCCTCAATACAGCGCAACTTATTATGAGATAAATACTGAACAATGCTGGAGCTTTCCCTTTGTTTTCTATTGCAGTTGGCCGATGACTGGAAGATACTCCAAGGAGCGTGTAAAAAGCTGGATTGTCGCAGCTCGGGATATCTCAGTGTGCCCGAATTCCGATCTGTTCTCCAGCTCTGTAACATAATCTTGGAGGAAGATGAAATTTATCACATCATGTCGAAATGTGATGAAGACACAGTTGGTAAAATCGACTACTCGAAATTGATCAGCAAACTTTTCAAGGGCACATGAACATCTGTCACTGTATTAATTTAGCACATTGTGCTACATTCTAGATTGATTGGCAATGTAGTGTGTTCTTTACCTTGTTTTAAGCGCCTCGGGGCACTATCCTGCGTGAAGGGCGCTACATAAATGCAAGTTGTTGTTGTTGTTTTAATTGTTTTGTACCAAGACCGGAAGGGATCGGAAATCTTTTGGTAACGCAGTGGCGATCTTTCCTTTTGCAGTTGGCAAGTTACACTTCCACAATCTGTGCCTAAAGTATACAAAGTGATGGATAGACCTTGCTCTGTGGACGGCGTGTTGGGTATGTTATATCTTATTGCGTGACGCTGAGCTTGACGCTGATTTGAACACAAGTGAAACATCAAGAAATTCATTTGCACTTTAAACAACTCAAAATAAGTTTACGCTGAGCGGGTGATTTCAAACGATATGGTCTTAAGCAAGTTTGAAAACATTTGGATGCCTTTTTATGAAATCACGTTAAGAAATGGAACCCCTCTGTTTCTAATACTTTGGTGGTAATGTGGGTTGCTTTTAATGGCCATAAAGGTGCGTGTAACTAAATGGATATTTTTAATTTGAATAAAGCTTTTCTGTGGTTTGCTGCGGTTGGGAACGCTGTTTGACTCTATTAAACCCAGACTCGAAAAAGCTCAGTACTTTCTTGCGGAAGAAGTTTATTGCTTTTGACACATCAATTAAATTGCCTGCTGTGAAAATGAACAAGCTTAAAATGTACTACTGAGAGTGAAATGAATATTTAAAGCAGTAAAGAACCAACACTTTTTAATGTCTCAGCCTGTTGGATAAGATGACACAAAGACATCTGTGTATTAAGGAGCAGGCATTCAAGTGTTATGTTTGTTCTTTATTAGATTAATCATTTCTTTTTTACTTGTTCGTGTATTTCTTCTGTTTATCATGCAAATGCTAAGGGTTAAGAATACACCATCAAACCACTTTGCAGTATATTCTGTGAAGCGCTTTGAGATGCCTCAATGACGTGATAAGGCGCTATATCGAATGCACGGATTATTAATATGACGATTATTATTATTTAAAAGAGCTGAGTTTCTGAGGTTTAAAATAGACTGTTTTGTTTTGGCTTTGCACAACGTCTCAAGTTCCTTCCTTACCTGAAATCATCTATCTCTTGTGACAAGCTTGCCTACAAATGCAAATGTACTCGATTGTAATGAGCTATGTTTTTCTGATCAGCAATAGCAAATTTCCACCTGTGTTTTTTTTGCTGATCTCGTCTGTTTCTGATCACCCTCATCTCCACCTGCCGGTGGTAAGAAGTTACTGCCAGGACAATTTATTTATTGGTCCAAAAGCTGATTGTGGCGTTCTGTACCGTATCGTAAGGTAACGCAAGCGAGAGGACCTGGGTTCGATTCCCGGGCAGGTCAGGGCCAAACATTGGACAAGTTTCCTTACTCCACACGCCTCTGTTCACCTCGCAGCAAGCGGGAATCCGGTTGATAGTTGCATGGCGGATCCCTTTTCCGGGGGTAATAATCCCTCCCCAAAAAAGGCGCTATAACAAATGCAAGGATTATTATTATTATTATTATTATTATTATTATTATTATCACTATTCAGAAAGAGCAGATATTTCAGTTACAATTAACAGCTGACCTTCAGGTAGCTTTATTCAGTGAATTTATCAGGCGAGGATAAAGAGCTTTGCTATCAGAAAATAAGTAAGAAATAAATGCTGAATACAATAAGATAATTAGAAACCCATTGACTTCAATGGACTCCTCTTATGTGTTTGTACTCCAGCTCCTATTATTTTGCTGTTATTTTGCACTTCTGGGGAATAATTAGGGAAGTTCTTGTCAGTGACACCCAATCTCAGACTGCCATAAATTGATGCAGTTACTAACCTATGTACCCAACGTACCTTTAAAGAAGTGTGATTAAACTTTGTCTTTTCATATCTTTGATATCTTAATAGGAAGCAGTGAGTTTATTTTTTATGTGTGATGGACATGTCTTCTGTGAAAAGTAAAGGAAATCTATTTATTCTTATCCAGGAAAATCCAATTATAATAATATAATAATAATAATCCTTGCATTTGATACAGCGCCTTACCACGTCTTTGAGACGTCTCAAAGCGCTTCACAGAATATACTGTAAAGTGAATTGACTGTGTATTTTGTGGGAAAAACAGTTATCCATGAAAAAGGAACCTTTAGTTTTTTTTAATCCACTGTGTTATTGTACGCATGATTAATCCCCGATTTCCCATTGGGTTCTCCTTGTCTTAAACCTCTTCCAGCTATAAGATTGCAGATTATATTGTGGTGCTCTCTGTGGCTTCGGTAGCTAATACACTCTGCGCAGAATTAACAGGGGACATCTTTGTTCCTGAGATCAGCGATGGGTCAGGTTCCATTCCTCCTGACCTCGCCCTCACAGTGGGACGAAAAACATTATGACGTGCCTGTTTTAGCAGCCCAGCTGAGAGTTGACCTGGATTTGTATGTCACAGCCTTCAACACATCTCAGCTCTTGACAACTATTTAGCTTCCCTTTTGATGAGGGTTAATATATAATGCATCTGGGTGGGTGAGTTACTAGGCTGTAATTGCAGGATATGAAATTCAATTGAGCCCTATTTTATACAGTGCACCCCATTCTATATAATGTAATATTTCTTTATCAACCAGCCTGATTGATGCTTCATTTTATTGGTATATTAAGGCAAGTTCTCTGCTTGCATTTACACTGGAGACTTAGTGTACAGTGTTCGACTGCCTTGCAATTGGCAGACAGAAGCTATTTACTTCCATGTGTCGGGGCAGGTTCAAGTTCAGGCCTCGGCATAAAAATAACAATGATAATTATCCTTGCATTTGACATAGCGCTTTATCAATGTTCAAAATGTCTCAAAGCTCTTCACAGAATATACTGTAAAGTGAATTCACTGTATATGTTGTGGGCAAAATGCGGCAGCCAATTGCGCACAGCAGCGTCCTACAAACAGTCGTGGATTGAGTGACCCAATTATTCTTATTTTTTTTTTGGAAGGGATTATTACCCCTGGAAATGCAATTATTGTACTCAAACCCAATGTGTCATTCAATTCCTTGTTGCTCGGGGTTTAAATCTATGTCTGAATAATTAAATAAATTGCTTAATTAACTCTAAAATCATATTGCACACCTCAAAAAATACAAATTAGATTATTTTGTGATATAATATTGTAACAGTAATTGGAAAGGTGCTTTGAATTTGGACAAAATTTAAAATGGTGAGATTCTAGCATCTAAATTTAATCCACAAGGGAATCGTTTTACAATTATTTTATTTATGGTTTGCCTTTTTGGCGTTAGTTTCTTAAAGTTACCGTAAGAACTTAGTATTTAGTTTATTGTTAAGCTTGATCAATATTGGAGCTGGAACAGAAATACAGTATATGACTAAGATAAGCCCTTAATTTCGGATGGAGCAAATCATTCTGACTGTGGAGGCAATCCATGCGTGAATGCCCACAAAATATACAGTCAATTCACTTTACAGTATATTCTGTGAAGCGCTTTGAGATATCTCGCAGACCTGATAAGGCGCTGTATCAAATGTAAGGATTATTATTATTGTTATCCACTGCTTACATTATGTGATCAATCAGGTGTTCAATGAGCCTTGTGTTAATGTTGTGTCAATGAACACTCTTTAAAAAGAAATGGATCAATATTCCCTTGGAACCAGAATATTATAAAAATAACAGAGGTAAAAGCTACAGAAAACATACATATATCATGTCATGTAAGGCAACCTTTGAAGGACAGTGGACTCGAAAAGCATTCTTCTGCTTTTGGAGGGAGTTAGCGAAGGAGCAATTTGATTGAACTTTTCTTCAGCGGATGGAATGGTAACGCTATTATGGTCATCGATCAAGAATGACCATGCAGTCCTGAAATCAATTAAACACTAACTTACCGACCCTACATCACAAACAGATTCCAGGCCATGCAGCAAACCAGATCAATGCCATTGCTGCCTCTAGTTATAACGTTCCCTCTGGAGAGTGACGACGAATGCCTGAAAATTATTTTTTATTGTCGGCTGGAGTCATTCAGAAGATCACGTCAGCTCACTGAAACGTGATGGCTCCTCAGTTCACAATCAAAACAGCTCAGGATGCCTGTGCTGATCTGAAAGAGACTTCTTTTCCTTTTTTGATGGCGGACAGACAGCTGTCTGTCAACAGCTTGTGCCCCTCACGCAGGGTAGCGTCCCAGAGCGCTTGATGGAATGCTGAAAGAGACAACCATTGAGAAGAAAATCATTTTGATCCAGCTCTAAATCTGTAGCTGTACAAATCTACTGCCTCACTGGCTCTCTCCACTCTTTCACTGTCAAGGCACCGCTCAGGAATCCTCCTTGAGAATATTGTTCAACGTGAAAGAAGGTTCTCATTCCAAAACACCTGCCGCCCAGTGAAGGTGAGGAGAGAAAATTGACTGCAAGACGTAATAAAGGAAGTAGCCAAATTCAGTTAAACACATTGTTCTTTTATTAACTTGTATAGTACTGTACCTCACAGTCAAGCATTTTGACCACTCAATTTCCCCACTCGATTCGTTTCCCACTAAATACACAGTCAAACGGCTTTACATTATATCTTGCGTAACACTTTGGGATGTCTCGATGATGTGAGAAGGCACTATATCAAATGCAAGGATTATTAATATTATTATACATACACACACATATGAATATTATTAATTAATAACCCTGAAACCCTTTAGTTGCCCCCCACAGCTCCACCCTCTATAAATTCTAGATCCATCCTTCCCTCTTTTGGCAATCTGATACAGGTCCAACCCTCATAAGAACTTTAATATTCCAATTATACACAGCCTAGACCTTTGTCCATTATCTAAATTGCTGTGAGAATCTACCATCGTAACCTAAGCGCCATTACACTAGGTTAACTGTTGCAAATTTCTAGTTAAGCATTTCTTTCTCTTCAGGTAAGGAGTCTTTATTCTCCAGACTGAATGCTGTTGCATCACCAGACCAAAGTTGATCGGTAAATATCTAAACGAGTAAGTCGCAGAAATATGATTAGTCTTTTCATCACCTTTGTGATCGGCCACACTTTTCATCCTCCACGTATCCCTTAAATCTTTGCACCTAAGATGTCCCATTACATTGTCGTCTGGAGGATTCACTGTTGACATTACTAACACTCCACCATTCTCATTGTGTCCAAAGGTGAAAATCAAAGTCAGAAATTAAGTCCAATGTCTAATTTCTCTTCTTGAAAATGTTCTTATGCCCAGGTTGGATATGTGTCTTTTTGTGGGGGGAAGTGGGAGAGGGTCACAGGTAAATATTATCAAGTGCAGTGACTGTGCATTTGCACCAGCAAAATCCCCCCAAAAAGCCATGAGGTGAATGACCAATTGATCTGGAGGTTTGTTTGCCAACAGCTCCATCGTTTTCAGAGATTTTTAAGGTCCACCTGAATAGGCAAACGGAAATTTGGTTCAACATCTTTAAACCCGAAAGAATCTGAATTGGTCGTTCACCTGGTGGCTTTTTCTGGGACCTAGCCTACAAATCCACAGTCACTACCCTTGAAAACAATTGACCTGTGAAGTCCTTGGAGAACTTTTGGTACGTCCTCTTCATTTCTTCTGTGGGCGGCAGTGACATTGATGCACAAATTAAAACAATTTACAGCGGTTTCGAATCCGAACAAGACTGTTCAGCCTGAGGAGAGAAAACCATCATTCTAAAGTTACTCACCCTGAACATTATCTGATCACGTCACTTCCATATTTTATTGATCTTTCGGTAACACATAAAAGAAAAAGCCCAAGCATAGAGAGTTGATGGGCCGAACGGCCTGTGTCTTGTCTAAATTAAGCGCTCCGAGACGCTGTTCGGTGTGAAGGGCAAGTTGTTCTGTGCTGTAGGGTTCTTCAATTCTATTTGAAAACTTATTACAGTGCATAACATCACCCATTGCTCTCAAGTGAACAGCTATGACTTAGCCTGAAAGCAAACCAGAGCACGTTCTGGCAACACTTCAAATTCCTTAGACTGATTACTGCATGGTTTGCACAAAGTAGGGCATGTATGACCACTTCACGCAAGACAAAGCTGGTCATGCCAAAACCTAAGGTTGATGTGCATCGTCTGAAACTAATTGAGACAAATAAAATTTGGTCCGAAACAAATAAAACATCTAATCTAATCAAAAGAGATCACCGGTGCATAATGTCAATCATCTGGTTGTTCAACAAAACTTCATTGTATGGGAGGAAATGGGTTGCTCACAGGAACCAAGTAGAATATTCATAAAGGTTAAGAGTCAAGAACTCGAAGCTACTGCATGCAGTGAGTCAACTTGGTTTAACCTCGTCATGTAACGTACTCGTGTCTCTAAATAAACAAGCGTGAAAGCCCAGACTTTGAAGAAAAAATTACGTGGAGAAGGAAATGTACTTAAACAGTGTGCTTGAGTCAGGGCTAGAGGCCGAGGCCGCGTGTGAGGGGAAATGTGTTCTAAACGCTTAATTCAGACCAGTAACATTTTTCACCGTTGCCAATGTATCGTTGATTTTCCACACATTCCGTGTGTGGAGGCATGTACGTGCGTTGATAATGTGTATGTATATATTTCTGGACATGTATATGTTTTTACGTGATGGAGGAATTCTTGTATCAATACAATAGTTTTTTTTAAACTGAATTTATTTTTGAATAATTTTTTTTTTAGTAAGGCCCAAATTGGCACAGACCAGGTAAACCAAGTAGCCTCCATCTGTTGCTCCTTTCCTATGGAGATAAAAACCCTTTAGACGAACGTAGTTTGACAAGGAATATTAATTGAGAAATGTATTGAGTCTCTGGAATAGTATTGCGTGGAGTCCTGTAGCTCAGTGGTTAGAGCACTCGCTTTGCAAGTGAGAGACCTGAGTTCAATTCCAGGCAGAGGGCGAAACCTTGGGCAAGTTTCCTTACTCCACACAGAGAGCCTAATAATAATCCCTCCAAAAAACCCCAAACAATAATAAATTGGTCATTTTCAATCTACGGCTCTTTGTGGGACATTGCTGTGCGCAATTGGCTGCCGCGTTCGCCCACAAATATACAGTCAATTCACTTTACAGTGTGTTCTGTGAAGCGCTTTGGGACGTCCTCCAGACGTGAAAAGTGCTATATCAAATGCAAGGATTATTATTATTATTATTATTATTACTGGTACGTATCTACCATGTGCCAGTTCGATTTTTCTCATAGACATTCTTACCTTCGGTGAATCTTCACAATCGTCAACCAAATCAAGATCGAAATCAGGCAGAGGCATATTCAACCCCTCCTTGTTTCTAAGCCAGTACGTTGTTTGCTTTTCTTTGCCCTTATGAGGAGTTAAAAAGTGGGTCATATTTCATATAAATTTAAAAATCAGCTTCTAAGGTGGTCAATAAATCACTCCCTTCCAACTCGATTCTCTTATTACTCTCTGATGGTGAGATGCAACTGTTTGTGGGACGCTGCTGTGCGCAATTGGCTGCTGCGTTTCGCCCACAAAATACACAGTCACTACACTGTAGAGTGAATCCTGTGAAGTGCTTTGAGACGTCTCAACGACATGGTAAGGCGCTATATGAAATGCAAGGATTATTATTATTATTATTATTAGTAGTAGTAGTAGTAGTATACCTTCAATTCAATGATTCCTCGTTTCATCAGTTCATATCCTCCCAGAGCTTTTAGTAGCTGAGCAGTGCTCTCTGATACGTGTATTTTCAGGGCTAGGCATCAAAAGAAGAGCACAACTAGCAGAGCAAACCTCCCGAAATTATGTTCTGCCATTCTTTCACTGTGTTTTGCTACAGCCAAAAGTGTTGAATAAACACAGCAGAAGTGTCGTCAAACAAAACTCATTACCCACACGGCACTCACAGCTAAGTTATGTCCTCGGCCACCGGGTTAGTTAACCGTTTCAAACAATTTATGGAAATCTGGCAAAATGTGGGTCTTTAGCTGTGTTGGACTCGTGGTGGGAGTCAGGAGGACTAATGTAAGCAACCTTTAACTGGCGGCTTTACTGAAAGAGTGGGTAAAGAGTGACTTTTACACCAGGTTGTTAGAGAACGCAGGAAATCTCTCACAAAAGACACTTAGTATCTGGCGAAACTTCTGCAGCTATTTTGCTGCCAGGGACTGCCAGGGTCAAGTGAGTGAAACAACTAGAGACGAGCTTTGACTAACCGTTGAGGAACATTGACTTCATGAACAATGACAGGTTAATGTCTCAAGTAGAGTAACTGTGGGGTCAAACCCATGCCTCCAAGGGAAAGCAACGCTGGACATTCAGACGAATCGAAGATGAAAAGATTTGACAAGAAGGAAAAAGACTTGAAACTTACGCAAACCGTTACTCTCCATCCTCGAGGCTACGTTGACAGTGTCTCCAAACAGGCAGTATCTTGGCATAGATGTTCCGACAACTCCGGCAACCACTGGGCCTACAAAAAGAGCAAAGGACCAAAGAATGAAGTGTGCGGAGGCCCTGGGATCATTCACTTCCCTCAGCTCCGACCAGCATCTTTCGAATGTGGAGTTAAGATAATCCTCCCCCAACCTGTAGCGAAAGTTGGGGCATCCACTTGGTGGCAGTTCAAAAGCTGCAGCAACCAGCTACGGGGAAAACCGTTTGAACAAAATTGGAGGGAGAGGGAGATGGGTTTCGCTTGCAACAGACAAGCGCTCCGGGACACTACCCCGCATGGAGGGCGTGATATACATACAAGTTGTTGTTGTTGACGTCTTCAGAAGTGGAATGTCCCATGATATTAGAGCTAGCGCCTGTGACGATTATGAGATCCCGCCCTGAAATTTCTTTTCACTGCCATGTCCAATCCACGACACAAGCAGAGCAATCAAAAACCTTTCTAATTGAGCTGCGCAAGGCTTTCCCTGTTACCTGTATTGATGCCTATACGCAGCCTGAGCTGTTCGTTCATCCACTTTAATTCGAAGCTTGTAATGGCACTGAGGAAATGCAAAGCCATGGTACCAATTTCACCAGCGTGTCTTATTCCATTGCAGATGGGCATTCCGCTTACTACCATGTAAGCGTCTCCTATTGTTTCAACCTGTATTTGAGATCCCAACACAAATGGTTCAATCAAACATAATTTTTCACAGTAATAAAGTGCTGGGGAAACAGATGGAATATCTGGGGTGAAGAGAGGATAACGGTAACTTTACAACCGACAACAACTTTCATTTATGTGTGTGTGTGTGTGTGTATATGCATAATATATAATAATAATATTCTTTGCGTTTGATATAGAGCCTCATCACGTCGTTGAAACATCTCAAAGTGCTTCACAAAATATACCTTAAAGTGAATTGACTGTATATTTTGTGGGCGAAACGCGTCAGCTTTTAATAGCAGGTTTTATAACTTTTATATATATACCATCTGAGTGCTGTAAATACAATGTAAATGCTGATTTATTATTCCAATCATCGTTTTGTAATGCTGCCACGAAAAAAAAACTAATTTTGATTCGACTGTTATAAAACGGCCAAATTAAAACATTTTCACAGAGGCCGTTTTAAAGTTGACAGATATATATATATATACATTCATCCAAACATGTTCTCTCCTACCTTGTACACATCATACGAATTGATAATGTCATCAAATAAACTGTACAGATCATTGAGCAGGCCCACAACCTCCAATGGAGTGCTGATGGAACAGATGCTTGTAAAGCCAACTATATCTGAGAAGAATACAGTGACGGATTCGAACGATTCTGGCTCCACACATTTGCCTTGTATGAGCTGCTCTGAAATGAAACTGTGGAAAAGTGTCGCGTGTAAATGCGGTCCAAAAAGTCAATCCAAAAAAGTAATAATAATAATACTTGCATTCGATACAGCACCTCGCCTCGTCTTCGAGACGTCTCAAAGCGCTTCACGCGTATACCTGGGCAACATGCTCGACAGAAGCTTGTCTGTCCTTCTCTTCTCCACCATCAGTTGGTTTGTTCTCTCTTCGACCACTTCTTCCAGATGATTTGCGCATCTTTCCAGTTTGTTCACCATGTTGTCCAGAACGCTGGATTTACTGTCAAGTAAGTAGAAATTGATTAGCCCTGACCAAAATAATTCTCGAGAGCGTTGACCAGAACCTGACAGTTCAACCACCAGCCATTAAAATAACAATAACAATAATAATCCTTGCATTTGATCTAGCGCCTTAGACTGTATATTTTGTGGGCCATTAAATAATTTTCTGTATTGTCTGCCGCCCCCGAAGAGCACAGTTGGCAATGAGGGACATTGTAGGGAGGTTGAAAAAATGATAATAATTCTCTCAACTTGGTAATAGCGAAAGTGACCTCTATTCCCCAACCACAGAATTAATTATTTTGCTTTCTGTGACCCTCGCTGGCCTGAGAGTTACCTCGTATTGAAACACATCTGGAGTCAAAGACAATAAGATAAGGTTGGGCATTATACTACAATTGTAATGTTCAAGGCAAGATTGAGAAAGGAGTTTCTGCAGTAGTAAACAAGTCGTAAAGTTTGTGATTAATTTTATTATCCTATTGAATCTTACTTTTATTTATTTTACCTAATCTGAAGAGTGAGAAAGAAACTGCAGAAGTTTCATAAGTTGAACAAAACTTATTTTCACAGCAGGAATATTGGATTTGAACCATATACTTATGTAACCAATACATGATTTGTTTATGGAAAAGAAAAATTGTAGAATACAACAATAACAACAACAAATTACACTTGTATAGCCCTCTTCACGTCGGAAAGACATCCCGGGCGCTGAATAATGTGCACATTGGTATAAGTGGTTGAAAATAATTTAATTTTAATGCAGCAACTTAGGAGAACGGGCTCAGAAACAATACCTGCACCTTTGAGAAGTGGTGTTGAATACTTGCTTGATGGTACATGCGTTACCGGCATTATTACTTCTTTGATAAATTACAGAAATAGAGCAGTGATCCAAAAACATCATCAAGGAGATAATGGTGCCACTTGGATGATAACCGTAACAATATGGTTTATAGAACAGACGGACTGGGTAACAGCTCTGGTCACCTCCTCTCTCCCCCCGGCTCGGGGCCAGCCTCCACCACTGTTAAACGGCTCTGAGATACAGCCCTCCCCCCCCCCGTGAAGGGCGCTATAGAAATTCAAGTTGTTGTTGTTGCAGGGCAAGATCACTCACCGAGTCACCTTTTCCACACACTCTTTACACTGGGCACAGTGTAAAGTTTGGTTCTAAAATCCAATGGTCACATGCAGGATAACAATTCTTAAAAAGCATTCTATATCTTCACTCCTGTTTTTATATGTCTAAAAGGTGAACAATCTATACGATCTGAAAAAAAAAACAGAGCACACTCGACCCAATGTCAAGATTGAAGAAGATCTCTTTTAGGACTGACCCCTCAGGAGTGCTCTGTTGCAATGCTTGTTTGATTGAGCGGAAGTTCGGCCTTCTCTCTGGACGTTCATCCCAGCACGACGTCAGCAAGGCCATTATATTCTTGTTACTTGCTTCTGCAGGCAATGTGGGTCTCGTTGGTGTCCCTGAACCAGGGTTTTTAATTTTATAAATGATTTCTACATGAAATAAAACGAATAAAGACACGACTTTGTGTTTATTCCTGCTACTCTTTTTCTATCTATCATCCCCCCACCCCTATCCCCCCACCTTCTCCTCCACAAAAACATGGCTCATTTTCCTGGTAACATTGCAGGAAATCTTTATATGTGAGGACTATCGAATCCATGTAAAATGTAAAATGTAGGCAACAAAAGTGGAATTGTCTCCTGCAATGTGACTCACAATATTGAGTTTGAGTTTCGATTTGTTTGCTGTACAGATATACCAAACAGGTTGTTTAATTCATTCACTCAAAACCTATCCTGATCTGCTCGCCTCTTGCTCGCTGTCATGCCTCTTCTATAGTCCTCCCAGACTGCATGGCGTTGCAAAGTCTGCAAGGTGTCTATGACATAAGAACGCAAGGACATAAGAAAATGTGGACCGAGGCAAGGCCATTACACACATCAAACTTTTCAGTCCAAACTATGCCAACTAAAAATTTTACCAAATTCATTTAGTCGTCTGCAGAAAGTTTTTTTTTAAAAAATTTGTTTCTTTGTCCTCTAACTCTAAATGAATCAAGACTGCATCCTTACATCCCATATCTTGCATCAATCAATGCTTCTTTCTTGGCATACCATTTCAATGAGCCAAGATACACAGAAAACATCATGTAGTACGTACCATTCAATACTCTCTCTTGCCTTGTCCGTAGAAGTTCCCTCCATCTCCTTCCTAACCAGATTATCCAGTCAGTTCAGATTTAAAAGTTAATTATCACAGCACTAAGTCTACATTCAGTATCTGCCCGTTGGCTAAAAACTATTCTTTTAATTGGAAGCTTTTACTTGTTACATCCTCTAGTTGTTTGCCTCCAATCCAAGTTAAACTAGTTTTTCATTGATGTGGGCTAAGCTCTTTCCCCTTCTGTTTAGTGCATTTTGCAAAATAATTGTCTCTGGACATTGACAAATAATGCTGTACTGAAAAATAAGTAACATTAACTTAGAGTTTTATTTTTTTCTTTATCCCTTGAGATTGCTTTGTGGTGCCTTTGCGATTGGAGCGTGCATGACTGATCATACTGTATAAATATCCCAGCACAGCAGGAGTACACATGCAAGGTACATGTGAGGCCTTTGAGTCATTGGACCCAATGCAGATAAGATGTCAGTATAAAGTACTTTGGGGTTCAACTTACAGTTTTCCTCCGACAAACGTGATTGATGCCATCATTTCAAAATACGTCGGAGTTGTAGCTTTTTTTATTATACAATGGTGTGGAATTTTTGTTATAAAGAAATAAACTTTTTTTTTACCCTCTGGGTCCATATGTAAGTCATGATAAGGCCCCTGTTCACCATCGTACAATAGCTCCTTCATGATGATAGCAAAACTATAAACGTCTCCTTTCTGTGTACCATTGAGTGGGTAGTCATTAAGCCACAACAGTTCTGGAGCGGTCCAGTACAGCTCTGCAGGAAGACAAAATATACAGTCAATTCACTTTATAGTGTATTCTGTAAAGCTTTGAGACGTCTTGAAGATGTGAGGAGGCGTTATATCAAACGCAAGGATTATTATTATTATTTTAACGTATGTATCTTAGTGTACATTCATTCACATTCAGGCTCCTCGAAAAGAAGCTGAACAAAAGCAGAAAGGGAGAGAAAACTGACGCTGGATATCGAAAACTAGCTAAGGGTAAAGTTTAGGGAGGGTTGTAAGTGTATGATGACAGAATTCTATTACTTTGACCAAGATAATTCTCAGATGGTAATTCAGTCGATGCGAACATTCCCTAAACTACTCTCTAAAAATGTTTGAAAGTACATACCTTCAAATGCCATGTTTTCTCCAGTGATTACTTTCCTTTTTGTTCCAAAGCGAAACTCCCACAAGCCGAATTCTGCTATTTTCACTTGCATCCGACTATCTATCAGGCAGCTCTTGGGTTTTAAGTTACCGTGAGATTTTAGAGGGCTGTTATGCAGAAACATCATTCCCTAAAATATAACATGTCAACACCATCATCAGTGCACTTTCTCTCGCCTTTTGCTCCAAGACATTTCCTGCAAATGATAGTTAATATTCACCATGTGAATCTGTGTATTGTCCTACTGTACATAATTATTAAAATAATAAATTGGTCACTCAATCCATGACTGTCTGTTGGACACTGCTGTGTGCAATTGGCTGTCGCCTTTCGCCCACAAATATACGGTCATTTCACTTTACAGTATATTCTGTGAAGCGCTTTGAGACGTCGAGAAGACGTGAAAAGCGCTATATCAAATGCAAGGATTATTATATCATTATGATATCAAATGCAAGGATTATTATTATTGTAAAAAATACAGGGGCCTTTACATGAAAGAATGCAAGAAACCATGAGATAAGGAAAGACTCTTTGTTGCATCAATCATTTTGCTGGGAACTGTAGTTCCCATGTATTTTTTAGGGAATGGCGGGACAGCACTTCCAACAATGTAGTTAAACCCACAACCTTCTGACTCAGAGGCAAGAATACAACTAACTAACTGAGCCAGGTTGACATGGGCTAACAACTGGGAACAACTGTCAAACAGTGAAATCTGAAAACCTTTCAGGCAGTGGTCTATTGTGAACGGGCAGTTAATGCTCCACATCTCAAATTATAACATGCATTAATCACGGTCAAATGTAAAACGATGATTTGATTTGTTTTCTGCGTATGTGTAATGGGTGTATATTGAATGACAAATGATACATGTCGTGGAGAGAAGGGCTGGTACCGAGCAGAAGTATTTAGTTTGATGGGGTGAATGGCATTACTAGTATGAAGCATGCATCATGTATTTCGAATACAGGGGCAACGATTGATTGATAAGATATGATAAGATTTTCCCACAACCACAAACCGTAGCCCTCTCTGGGAAGAATAACACAAGAGTGCGTCTCAAGTTAGCAAACAGACTCTAACCAAGCTGGATTGTCGTAAATCCACACTTTGTCAATGCAGAAGCTGCTGCAGAAACTAATTAACTAATTAACTAATTAATGAATTAATTAATTAATATTAAGACAGATAATAGCTGGCTAGGTATTAATTAATTAAAGTGGATCTGAGAGACAAAACCCCTGAAATTAATTTTTAAAGCTGTGCCTCCTTTAAAATGTACATTGCTTGTAATGGAGAATTCGATCCTTTTTTAAATACGGTTTTGACCAAAGTCAATGAACGTCATCAACTTTAACTTGCACTTTCCTAACGTCAGAATTCCAAGCCGTTTGCTCCCAGTTACCAACTCACATTTACTATGTCATAAGCGAGGGAGAGCTTCAAGATCCAGTCCAGGTCAAACTTTCTGGTTTTCAGGACATCCTGGTGAAAATAAATGAAATATATCAAAATACATTTTGGCGGAGTCAATTTTTTCCCTACAAAATTAAGTTGTCCTGTATTAAGTGTAATGCAACCTCAACGGGCTGTGAATATGCAAGGACTCCTGTCAAATGCCTGATTCCACACCACTGGAAGCTCTAATAACTGGATAATGTTGAGAAAATGCAGGCGGTCGCAGAGAGCTGGTAATTAGGAATTCCTGTCTGGTTCTGCACTTCTTACTTAAGGTGGTGACAATCCACAAAGTGCTCTTCGTGATTTATGGTTTAATATTAACGAAACCACTCGCAGAAAGATCTCTCTTTTGGCAGCTGATCTATAAAAAAAATGCTTGTGTTTTTCTCACAGATACTGATAGCTAAGAACCTAGACAGTATTTACAGACTGAGCGGAATTAATAATAATAATAATAATAATCCTTGCATTTGATGTAGCGTCTTAGCACGTTTTCGAGACGTCTCATAGATTAGACTGTAACGTGAATTGACTGTATATTTTGTGGGCAAAATATCAAATTCTTTGATTTCTAAATAAAAGAACATACTCTTCAATAAATTCGCCAATGAAAGTTGGCAATAGTATTTTATTGTGAATACTGGCTCAGTAAAAGGGCACACAGAGATCCTGATAATCAATAATAATAATCCTTGCATTTGGTATAGCGCCTTATCACGTCTAGAAGACGACTCAAAGGGCTTCACAGTGAGGGCTGGAATAGCAATGCCAAGGGTTGACTACCATTTTCCCAAGATGCCAATCAGATAGGGACATTGAAATTTGCTGTTGACATTGTTGGCTGACATTTCAATCAACTTACCTTCAAACTTCCCTTTTTGCAATATTGTGTAATGATGCATATATTTGGTGGCTCGATACAGACACCAAAGAAGCTAATTATATTTTCGTGCTTTAGATTTCGCATCTGGAAACAAAATGGATTAATTCAGATATACATCATCTTAAAATAGTTGTCTTGAAAACAAATGGATTTTGTACCAGTGGCTTAGCTAATCTGAAATCATAACGCGCGGCAATGTAAACTCCTGAGTTCAAGAAATCATAAATTGTCTAGTTCCTTATAGTCCTTTACATTGCTTATTGAAGTCTGAGATGTGGTATTTCTAAACAGAATTTTAAATCAGAATAGCCAAGTCTTGCAAATTGAGACTCTTCCTGGCAACTGGAATTACGTCACATAAACCCACAGAAACCTCACTCTGCAATCTCCTTCCGGAGGAAAGTTGCCGTGAGGGTGACGTTCACTACCAACACAATTCCTTATTAAAAAAAACTGCAAATTAGATCAATGCATTAATCCAGCAGAAATGCCAAATTGGTGATTGGGATACATTATGTTTTCTAGTCATCTGTGGCTAAGTCTTTTTACGTAAAAAATATATTACGACATAATAGCAGTGACATAATAGCAATTGGCAGATCGCTTTCCGGGGGTAATAATCCCTCCAAAATAATAATGATAATTTGGTTACTCAATCCACGACTGTTTGTGGGACGCTGCTGTGCGCAATTGGCTGCTGCGTTTTGCCCATAAAATACACAGCCACTACACTTTACAGTATATTCCGTGAAGCGCTTTGAGATGTCTCTCAAAGGCATGAGAAGGCGCTGCATCAAATGCAAAAATTATTATTATTATGATCCTTTTTGCCACACGTCTCATACCATGTCCAGCTCTTGACGGATTGATAGTTTCTTCACATCTGGAGAGCTCGTAGTGTCGAGGTACTTAATTGCAACTTGGTTCCCCTGTCACGGAAGAAATGAGTTAATAAAATGGTGGTGTGTAGAACATCAGTGCCTGGCTTTATTTTTGGTCGACGTTCTTTTTAGTCAATTTACTGACTAAGCATTTTTCTCATTAAATCAGACACTTAGTTCATCATGACTCATCTCATTGAATGAGATTGGATAACAATCTAACTATTTGCCAACTCACCTGATAAAGCCCAACTAAGGTATCCATTGCCACATTTTCTTGCTTATCCCTGAGACTGGAACTCGAATGGCTCGATATCATGGTTTTAGGGGTACAAACAGATGATGTGCCAAAATGAACCTGTGTGTTGATATGAGGATGGGTTACATTCTGTGCAGCAACTGGCTTCATATTATAGAATAGAATCATAGAATATTACAGCATAGAAGGAGGCCATTCGGCCCATCGCGTCTGTGCCGGCTATTTGGAAGAGCTGCCCAATCAGTCCCACTCCCCCGCTCTTTCCCCGTATCCTTGCAAATGTTTCCTTTTCAAGTACCTATCCGATTCTCTTTTGAAAGTTGTAATCAAATCTGTTTCCACCAGCCTTTCAGGCAGTGCATTCCAGACTGTAACAACTCTCTGTGAAAATTATTTCTCCCCTCTGTTTTCTTTTGCCAATTTTCTTAAATCTATTTCCCCTGATTACCGACCCACCTGCCAGTGGAAACAGTTGATCTAGGATAACTGCAAAAATGGCGTACAGTGCAAATCTTAGTCCTTATCATATACCTTGGTCTCCTCCAGGATGATGATATCTTCGAAGTTTATTTTCCACCACATGTCCTGAAGTTGATTTTGCAATTTACATTTCTGTGCCATTAAGACAGCAACGAACACACCGGCAGCCAAAGCAGTCACCAGGAAGGCAACCACTAAACTCAGAACCAAGCCACCTGAAGAAACACAGCTGATCAGGCGAGACCATGACCAAGATATGTATACCGACTCACCAACAAGTAATACCAGGGCTACAATTCCACACAGATCAACTCTCTGATCGTTGGATTTCAGTGCGCACAGAATTTGGCAAATTCTGAAATGCAACCTTAATTTTGTGGCCAGGTCTCTGTAAGTTCTTTTACTTCATTGCAACAAATAACAAAAAAAAATGTGCCTTGTGAAACTGAGGATAGGCTGCACCCACATTGCTATTGAATCATACTTTAATCACTAACACATATCCGTTCCACATATCAGTTTGATTAGATCTTATCACATACTACAAAATCTGCTATTTGTGCAACACGCCCATTCCATCATCGTTTCTGTTTAATTGCAGCCTTCAAGATTACAACATGTCAGGAATAGAAGTTCCAGCTGGTTCTAAATTTACTCTATTAACATAACATTTCAGAGTGTGCAGAATCTGGCTTATTGTTGTGTTCAGTTTGAGCCTTGAAGTTGGCTTTCTGTAGTTCTTCTGTCAAATGCAAAGAGTGTTACTTATTGATTGATGGCTTTGGTGGAAATAATAGGGGATTATGTACTTGTCCAACAGTGAGTGTTTATCAGATTCCTGGCTGTGTGAATCTGGCAAGTTCTTATCCCCCAACCTAACTGAAAGGACATTAGCTCTCATTAACATGGGGGAATGCGACTCAATGAAATACCTACTTGTGGAGCTGCTTTTGCAAAGCTCATTGTGAAATCCACAATTGGGTCTGTCTTTAAAAGGAGTGCCAGCTGGCCACGATATGTGAGCAAATTGACCTGTGGACCTGCAACAACAAAAAATTATTATTGTTTAAAAATGACAATAAGTACTCGGACCTCTATGGCTCATTCTATACACCTGACTTCACCTACGCTGCTTTGCGGCAACAAATCATTGTCCTGTACATCATGTATTCGTGTTTGAAAAGTATGGAAACTATGATCTGAGCAGGTCAGCTGAGGAGATCCATTGGCTGATGGTATCAGTTTTGGTTCAGTGGGAAAGAATATAACAGTTACAATATTCTTCAATAGGTTTCAAGACTGAACAACACACAGCAATGCTCCACATTGGTTGTTGCTCTTCTGTGCTTTTTGCTATTCTTCAAACAAAGAATATGTTATTTGAAGCCCTACCCGTTAGGGTTTTGGTTTGCAGGGTACAAGGGGCTGAGTGGGATGATCTCTGCCCCCAGTGACTTAGACTGAACAACCTACCTTACTGATTGATTGTAGCTGTTGTAATAAAGCACAGGAACAAATTTTGTCTCGTTTCCGTCCTGCTGCAGGTCGTATACAGAATAATCCATAGACCTTTCTCCAGAATTATCAATATCCACCAGACCAATTGCACCTGATAAAATAGGAAGGCTTGAGTTATTGCTCTGAACTCCTTTTGGAATCTATATTGCTGCAAAAGAGGAATGTTCTTTTCATATACACGTTAACTATATACCTCAAACAACACTCTTAGACATAAGAGAATGTTCAATTCTCTAATCTTCTCAATTTTGTATAGTCTGATGAGATTTTGTGTACTCTGCTATTTTGCAATTGGAGAATTGGAGCATTTCTCATCTTACCATAAAATTGGGTTCTATTGTAACCTTTCAAGCTCTTAATAAGAGCTCTTCCGTCCCGAGGGTTCTTTCCTGCCATTATCATTTTGTGCGCAGTAATGGCGTACAGCATCACTGCATCATGAAGATAAATTGAATAATCGCTCACCTGCAATACACCACAGAACCCTCAGGTTAAAGTCACGCAGGAAGTCACACAGAACACCGTCTCTTTCACTGTCCACTATCTTTTCTCTTTTCTTCCTCCAAATTGGCTGAACACTAAACCTAATTTGCATGATTTTTATCCAGGGCTCTGCTACTCAAAAGTTTGAGCTCCACCCTTTGGAACTCCATTCCACAGTCCTTTCGCCTCACTCCCTCCATTGCTTCTTTCAAGGCATGTCTCAAGACCCTTCTCTTCGACCTCACCTTCGGTCACCCTCCTGTGGAGTCCTGTAGCTCAGTGGTTAGAGCACTCGCTTTGCAAGTGAGAGACCTGAGTTCAATTCCCGGCAGGTCAGGGCGAAACCTTGGGCAAGTTTCCTTACTCCACACAGAGCCTAATAATAATCCCTCCAAAACCAAAAACAATAATAAATTGGTCATTTTCAATCTACGACTGTTTGTGGGACATTGCTGTGCGCAATTGGCTGCCGCGTTCGCCCACAAATATACAGTCAATTCACTTTACAGTGTGTTCTGTGAAGCGCTTTGGGACGTCCTCCTGACGTGAAAAGCGCAATATCAAATGCAAGGATTATTATTATTATTATTATTACCCCTACCCTCCCTGCCCTCCACCCTCCCTGATCTCAATCCCCTGCTCGGGTCCTAATCCCTGATAGTTCAGTGCCTTGGGATGTCCTCACAACACGAAAGGTGTTATACAAACATAATTTGTAGTTGTTGTTGCTGCACATCTTTCTAGGTAATGCTTCCCTCATTCTTGTCCTGGAAAAATTCATGACCATATTTTACCCTATTGCTTATTGCCTCATTTTGTGCAAATTATTTTCTTCCAATGAGTTTTATTCCAGTAAAAGTGAATTAATTCTGATGATTTCTCTTTTAACAAAAAATACAACAGAATAATTCTGGTTTAACATGGTAAAATAACTCATCTCTGCCTTGCATTTTGATAATCCTTGCATTTGATATAGGGCCTTGTCATGTCTTCGAGCCGTCTCAAAGCGCATCACAGAAAATAGTGTAAAGGGAATTGACTGTGTATTTCGGGGAGCAATTTTTTTTATTATTTTGAAAGGATTATTACTCCCGGAAAAGCGATCCGCCCATTGACTAACAATCGGGTTCCTACTTACTGCTTGGTAAATAGAGGTGTGGGGCGTAAGGAAAGTTATCCAATGTTTCTTAAACATAGATAAGCTGCAATAGCAAACCTCTTTCTCTGAAGTCAGATGACTGTAGAAGGGCGGTCCTTTCAATCGCTGATAAACCTTTTGTACAAAGTCTTGGTAATTGCGTCCCCTGTTGACAGGCAGCCCAATCAGAAACGTTGATTCATACGCATTCAAGTGACTTGTATCCGTCCCAACCTTCAAACAGATTTTCCAAATGTTATCCTGTGGGGAAAACTGAAACTTTGGAGCTAAAATATGCATCGTGCACATGTATGTGAGGAGGGTGGACTATGGACTGTGAGGGTGGAATCTTGCTGATTTAAAACAAAGAAGAAATTGAGAGGAAATCTAGGGAGACAGACAGTGGAAGCAGAAAATGTTTCAAGAACAAATGAGAAAGATTTCTACTACAAATTAATATCTCGGGGATACAGTATATAGTTGGGGACACGACATGTCAAGTGACTGCCAGGACGGTGGAAGGCAATCTAGATGGACTTTGGTCTTCTTTCGCCCATCAATTTCTTATGTTCTTATGAACAAATCAAGTTGAGGATATCCCTGTTTCATAACTTGAAATCACTGACCCAGTCTGCATTCATATAAAGTTTTTCACGTAAAATAAACTTAAGAATTTTCCACAATTCTGCAAGTTGTTAAGTTTGAAGACATATTACAGTGGAGGGCACGGTTATAATGAATACTCACTCCCCTTTGTTGCTGACAGAGGACAAGTGTAATTAGTTGTAAAATGCTGCTTCTCAGGTCAAACTCACCACGTCATCACTGATCATAAACTGTTGCAGTATAAAGAACACATACTTTCCCCCAGTCATGCCAAGATGCTCAGCTTCCAGCATGATGGATCTTGAAGCTTGAGAAGTACAAATCAAAATGATAACTGGAAAAGCAGATGGAAGGAGCCACACAAACTCTATTACTGCATTGGTATTTTTCAAGAAGGGGCAATCATTAAACAAAATTAAAAAAGAATAATAATTTCGTCCCTTAATCCACAAATTGACTTTACAGTATATACTGTCAAAGAGCTTTTTATATGTCTCAATGATGTGATAAGGTGCTCTAAAATATGCACACCAATATTCTACTTATTATTAATGTGAGTATGCTCTGCCTGACACTTACTTCTAGCGAGACTGGCTATGTGCTTGAGATTGTCCCTGTGAAGGCTTGAGTTGCTTGTGTCGTATTTGGCTTGAGCTGTAATGATGAATTTGGCTTCGAGCTGGCTTTCGACCGCTTCCCAGAGGTCGTCCGTTTCATCCCAAATAGAGCCACTGGGAGATCCTCCGAACAAGGCTACGTATCTCCAGGCGAAAAACTCCAGCGTTTTCTCAAGGACAATGGCCATCCTCTGGATGGGGGACACCAGTATCACTTGGGTGTCATAGACAAGGTCATCACCTAATTTAGATGTCTGGCCCACAAATCCAAACATAGGGATGTTCCATTGAGAGGCCAGCAGACCTATGATCTGGAGAAGACATTTCGAGAGATGTCAGTGAACACATCCGACCAGTGAAAGAGCAAGCGTTAATTTATACAATACCATATATACAGTACAGTAGTTATACCCTTTATCTTTCCCCTTTCTACACTATGTCTTTCAGTCTGTCCAGCTTTTCTTTCTTTCTTTCTTTCTTTCTTTCTTTCTTTCTTTCTTTCTTTCTTTCTTTCTTTCTTTCTTTCTTTCTTTCTTTCTTTCTTTCTTTCTTTCTTTCTTTCTTTCTTTCTTTCTTTCTTTCTTTCTTTCTTTCTTTCTTTCTTTCTTTCTTTCTTTCTTTCTTTCTTTCTTTCTTTCTTTCTTTCTTTCTTTCTTTCTTTCTTTCTTTCTTTCTTTCTTTCTTTCTTGCTTTCTTGCTTTCTTGCTTTCTTGCTTTCTGCCCAATTTTTAAATACAATTATCATCATTCTTCCACGTAGTTTCAGTTGTTGGTGGTTGGCCAGGGCACTATAGGAAAAAAACACATGGGGGGTAAACAGGAATTTACGAACACACTGTACATCAGCCAAATGGGAACCTAAAGACTTTGATTGCGCTCGAACAATCATGATCACTTACCTCTGCCACCTTGGGGCAGGCTGGTCCAAAAATAGCTGAGACATTGTCATCCTGGACCTGGCTGATGAATGCGCTTAGCGATATCTTGGGGTCACACTGAGTATCGTCATAGACAAACCCTAGTGTGTAATTGATCAAGAGAGAGGCGTTGGAATTCACCTTTTCAATGGCGAGCTGGATGGCTGATCCCAGTCTCAAGGCACTAAAAGGGAAGGAGAAATTTCTGGGAGTCTGAAATCCCAACAAAAGCGTTGAGTTCTCAAGACAGTCGGAGCAGGAAAAGAAAAAGGCGAGCAGCAGAATGGGTTTTGCCACCATCGTGCAATGCTGACAGTGAAGGCACACAGCAAGTTGCGTGAGATGAAGGATGGATGGTTTTGGTATCGTTCTGTGTGTAGAATGTTGCAGTTGTGTTTGGTGGTGTACGTTGCATTAATACTCCAGCTAGCAGCGTTGTCTTATTTATACCTGCTGCAACAGGTGGATGGGACCCATTAATCCTCAAGTGCCGTTGATGGGACAGGTATTGTTCTGTCTTTAATTAACACAAATCTTGGTTTCCTGACTCTGATTAGCGATTGCGATTTAATTTGAGGTTCGGATTAAATGGCATGTATTTCAGAAGTCACACCTGGGAGACAATATTTTTTTCCCACTTGCCCTCTCCAGCATTGTGACTACTTCATGTTATTACACCCGCTACCGGTTGATTTAATAAGACTTAATGAGATGTAAGCCTGGACAAAGGAGCTATCAAAAGGCAGGAATCAGCTCATGCTGTAAGGCAAACTACCAGAACAATCCCAATAAATAATAATAGTCCTTGCATTTGCCTAATATAATGCCTTTCATGTCCGGAGGATGTCTCAAAGTGCTAAAAAGGATAAAGTTCTGATCGGAACATAATTTCAAATGCACACTCTAGCGTGCATTTTGGTAAGAAGTGTGCAAACCTCTGGGGAGAGTGTGCGCATTCCAAAAAGGAAATCAAAGCAGTATTACACTGACCAGCAATACAACACGCAACCCAGCCAGCCTCTACTAACAGTGGAATTAACCGAAGTTAGGAACAGAGATAAAGTTGGCTTGACATGTTCCAAACCGATTAGAACAATAGGCAGGTTATTAACAAGAGACGGCAGATAGATTTGAACTAAGGCGCAGTGCACATTCCGATGGACAGGGAAAGAGTGAGATTTGAAAAACTTCCATGTGAGTTGGAATAATATAAAGGATCCCATTGCCACAACCAGAAGGAACAAATGAATAGATACAGAAGGTGGATCAGGGAAAAGCAACCAAGACGTTCCTAAGACAATTCAATTGAGCTGCACCGACTTATCTTTCACTTTGTACTCAGTCTGCCAACCTAAAGGCTTGTCTTAGCCATTTTCTTATCTTTCCTAGCGGAGTCCCTAATCATAGAAGGCAGAAATCTTGAGTTTGGAGTCCACTTTTCTTGTGTGTTGGTTATTAGAACCATATGACATTTTGATGGCTGGTAACTGATTAATAGCCCACTCTCATTCAACGGTGCAAAGAACAGGTCTTAGCAAAACGTGGTAATATCACAGGCAAAGTACAATTTAGTTAAAAAAAAGATGAACAGAAGAAACAACGCTATATTTTACAATACAATGTTCACTGATACAGCACCTTGCATGAGGAGGAGGGAGGGAGGGAGGCGAGAGTGGGGGAGGGTAGTGGAGGGAGGGAGGAAGGTAGGTGAGGAAGCGAGCGAGGAAGTTGGTGGGAGGGAGGGATGGAGTTCCAGAGAGCGGGGGCAGAACGGCTGCAAGCTTGCTTGCCGTGCTGGGGCGGACCGGGCAGGGGACATGAAGCAGGCCGGAGTTCACTCAGTTTAGGAAGTGGCCAGGTCAGTGTGCGGCAAGACTATGGAGGGATTTGAATGTGAGAATAAGGATCTTGATGATAGATTAATTCAATCTGCTCAGGGCTGGGGATCTAGTGGAGCATTCAATAAATTCAACATAATGCTTTTATTTTCCAAAGAGGTTCTTTTGGGGTTGAAATGTTTTTCATGAGGAATGCACAGACAAGAATCTGGCTAGGGTTTGCTCAGATCTGTGTTCCACCTAATATTTCTGCTTTTACTTGCCAAAAGGCAATGAGATTATCCTTCAATGTTGGCCTCAATTTTAACAAAGAAAAATTCGCAGATCACAGATTCAAAAAATAAATGAAAACAAGCAACCATTGAAAATTACAGCTGTGCACTCTAGAGGACGAGATCAAAGGGGCTGCTTGCATCTGTCTGACAACCGTAGAAGTTTACAGCACAGAAGAAGGCCATTTGGCCCATCGTGTTTGTGCTGGCTCTTTTGAAAGAGTGATCCAATCTGGAAACATCCAGACAGTTAATATTTACATTTGATATTGCTGCTTATCGCAAGAAATGTTTCAAAACGCTTCAGGCATTGAATCATTTTCGAAGCGTTGTGATTGTAGCTCTATAGACAAATGCAGCAACGCTAATGTGCACCAGCAAGGCCCTGCGAAACAGCAGAGGCAAGAAAAATAATGAATATCTTCTACAGTATTGCCACTGAGTCAACAGGGACGGTGGGTGGGGAGGAAGGTGCGGGAGAGAAACTGTGCTTATGGCAACCCTTTGTTGAAAGAGTTAAAGACCAATAAAAACGATTGAGTAATGATCGCTTGAGACTGTCATTGCAACAATCAGTATTGTTTGATTAAGCTAAACCTTTGAACCCGGTAGAAGTGTAAAGATTATCGGAGTGTAGTAACCTATGCACCAGATCTACCCAGCAAAGCAGCCAGAGTGAAATTGCACCATGGAAAAAGCAACTCCTGCAACAAGTGCAGTGTAAGCAGTGAGTAGTTGTATGTGTATGTATATATACTGTATATATAAGATCAAAGGTCAGACTTGGATTGGGTTTACTGCCCACTGTCTCCAGCAAAACAGGTAGGATCTGCAGCTTCTTTCATTGCGTTCTGTTATTATAAGAATATATCAATTATTTATGACTTTTTGCTGTTATTAATTTAGTGGGTGATCTATATTCAAAAAAGGTTTTTTTAAAAAATGATGTGAAAGTTGTCTTGCATTTATTACGATAAAAATATCGGGAAAATCTGTTGCTTTGCTTCACCATTGATAAATCTATGATTATCCAATGCACATTTACTGTATAAACATTGCACGGTATTGTGTTCACCAGATTGTTCACCACAACACTGGGAGAAACTACCTTTTCTTTGTGAATATTGGCATGAGATTGTTAACATTCACTTGAATAGGTGTTTACTATAAAACTGTCTCCTTCACAAATAACTTACAAGAATGTCACCACTCGCACAGTGTTAACTTTAGTTGGTAAACAAGGGCACGTCTATTCAGTTATTTCCTGTTAATGCTTGGATTCCAACTGTAAAACATTACTGAATATATACATGTTATAAATACTAAGCCCTTAAAGTTTTAAAGGCGCAGTTTTATGTTGAACTGGTATCTCGGTAACTATATATGTATTTTGTTCGTAAAGTGTATCCAAGTTATGGCTTGTGTATAATGTACTTGTTTTCATTATTTGCGTAGCATATTTCTCATTATATGAATTGATTGCTTAGTTTATTATACCAGGATAAAAGATAGGCAATTTATTGTTGTTTGGAGCGGTAGTTCACAGTTGTTTGGTACAGCAAAAGTGAAGCTGAATTGTCTCATAAATAACAGCGGAACACAGAGGGGTTAAATTATACCATTTTTCTCATCGAAAAGTTGTTTTATTGTAGAAAATGTATCCTGAACTGCTACTTTCTAAACATTTGATTTCCCATTTTTCTTAAGCAAGGTGATCGATCGCACATTCAGGTAACCGAGGTGCTAGGTCTGAGGGTATACAGGATTACTGTGATGTCAAAAGGTCTTTTTTAAACCATTTATTGCAGTGTTCAATGTTGTTATATTTTGGGGTGAGACGTCTGGTGATTATTCTCATAATAATAATTCACATTGTCTTGCGGTTGCATTTATTTTCACTATTTGTGTAGCACATTTTTTGTTATATGAAGCGATTGCTAGGTTTACTGTACCAGGATAAAAGATAGGTGCCATTTAGTTACTCAGTTAAGTAACTATGTAATTTGTTTTGATATCTTCGGGGATTAGGAAAACAGTTATATAATATTGCACTGTGAACTGAAAGCTGATTTTCACCACCAACAGCAACTTGAGTTTACTTAGCACCCTTCATTCGGGATGGAGTCTCGGAGCGCTTAAAGTCATTTTGGGTTTCTCTGCTGCTCATTGAAGGATGCGGACTTGAACTGGGACAGGGGTCAATCAGCAATGGCAGCACTGTGATACTCCCATTCTTCGTTTGAGAGAAAGGGTAGGGGATTAGGGTGGGCTATGTGGTCATAAAGAACATAAGTCCATTCACAGGAGCTTTTTGCTAGGTCAGTGTGTATAGGAATCAGAATGTTTTTTTTACACACCCACACAAACAGTTGTAGTTCTCCACGTCTACTGTAGCTAAGATCAACTGAACTCAGCCTTAGACTCAAGCCCTTGGACCTTCCTGGTTTTGTAAAGCTCAGCACTTCATCAGGTAGTGTAAGGAACCCCCCCAAAATTAAAAACCATTAAAGGCAAAGGACTAGTGAGCAGTTACATACATACAAGACACTCATTTTAACTTTAAGACAATATCGTCTGCAAATTTCAAGCAAATGCACTGTAGGTCAGTCGTGTATAAAACACTAAGTGCAATCGCTAAAAGGGTCCAGGAGTCACAGAATCAAATTTGAACTCAATTTAATTGCACTTCATAATTGTACGCAACTTAATTGACATGGCACAGAGTTTCACAGAGCACCATAAAACCAATCCACTGTTCTCCAATAAAATGTTGGGAGCTTGCAATTCAACTTTGCACTTTGTGATCAACTGATTGAATAGCCGACCATTGAACAAACGTAATAATGCCTAATAATCACAGGTAAAGCTTGGCAATAAATGTACAGTGCCTGACCAAAGATTCGCCCACTAAAGTATAAGGCAGAACCCCGATTCAAGCTCAAGGTCACAGCAAAGTGTTTCAATAGAGTAATAAACATCCGGAAGAAAAAAAAATTAGCATTAAAAGCATTAAAAAGGTTAACATTGCATCAGAATCCCAATGCTCAGCTGCAGAAAGTTATAAGGAACCATTGGCATCCTAGAAATCTAATGGGCTTGTGATGCAATGCTAACTTATCTTTTTCTTCCAGATGCTTACTCAGCCTCAGCGGGTGGAATGTAACCTTGCCATTCTGCTCGATCCTGAGCTGAGTTTCAAGCTTCCCGTTTGGACCAAGGGACCACCTTCTTGCACCTCCAGAATATTGGCCACTTATATCCTTAGCTCACCTCCATGCCCCCCTCACCACCCCCTCCACTGATGAAATCCTTATCGACACAGCAACAATAGATTTCTGCAATGCCCTCCTTTCTGCTAATCCCTCCAGTAGCTACGATTATTCCAGAACTCTGCAGCCCTTGAATTCTCTCCTTAATGCTCTGAATTCTCACAGCATCGCGATTCAATTCCTCGGCATGATTTTAAGCTTGATGATCTGAAGGAATGAAACGTACATCGTTTCATGCTCATTACATTTGCAACATAATGCTACACTGATAGTATTGTAAAAGAAACTTACCTTTCATTTTAATGTTGCCCTGCAATTTGTTGTGACTATTTGTACATTCTTGCTTAATAATTTTATGGACTTCAACTTTACTCTGGAGATAACGAGAGTAGTAAGTTGGCTGATAACCAGATTATTTAATTTTAAAATGCCACAGACTCAGGCTTGAGTAACAAGTGAATGTGTATGGTGGTTGAGCAAAGATCTATTATCCATCACCCACACCATGATAATGTTTTATTACAACGTAAAAACACATTAAAATGGGAAACGTTTCTTTAACTGCGTATACTCTAAAATGAAATTGGCTCATGTAAAAGATACAGCATCTGTCAAACATAATTCAGATTAATTAAATCCTTGGACACATCTTACAACTTGGCAAAGAGTCTGATATTTAAGGTCATCCATGTCCATGTGTACCATCAACACTCCTTAGGGTAGAATTCCACCTATGACTACCTTCATAGTCGCAAAATACACAGTCAATTCATTTTACAGTATATTTTGTGAAGAGCTTTGAGACGTCTCGAATTCATGATAAAGCGCATTATCAAATGCAAGGATTATTATTATTATTATGACTAGATTTATATTAGCGTTGCATTTAGAATGTCCAGAATTTGGCAAATTCGTAAATTCAACCTTACATTGGGAATGAATTGAAAATGAAACGATTTTCCAAAGCTCTGGAAATCCCGAAATGTTATGTTAATGCAGTAAATTTAGACTCGGGTGGAATTTTACCCCAATAAAGTGTTGTTCCCTTCATGTGTCTTGTAGGCGTCTCAACGTTATTCACGTCAACCAGCTAACTTCCAGGAATTGCATCATTGAATAATGATAATAATTAAAAATGATTTAATGGGTGGGAGTTAGGCGATCCAATGTTAGCTCCTGGCGTGATACCAGATTCAATGTGCCAATTCAATACACTTATCCGCTTTACTCCACAGGCATTTAATCTGTACTATCAACGCAGACTACAAAAACTTTTATACGATTGTCACTGCATGTGCCTGTCATTACTTTGAAGCCCTTTAAACTATTTAATGTTATAGATGCTGAAAAATAGCAAGGCCTTTCTACCAAACTTTTACTAAAGTTACTCTCTTGGTTGCTTTCTGTGTTATGAGGAATATTGCTTCTAAACAATAAGAAATAAGTAAAAAATAAGACTAGCTAATTAAATTAAATAAATTAAATGCAAAAACATGCAGTAGGGTGGTCCCATCTCTGATATCTGGTTTAGTCTTACATCTATATACTTAAGTCTTGGGACAATCCCTAGAAACCTTTCGAAAAGCGAATCACAGCAAAACACCAATCGCCACTGGTTTACTAATCTCACACCTGGAATAAACTTCCTAAATGGATTACAGCCTCTGTTTTATTGCAAACAATTTGAAGGCCTCCGCTCCACTCTATCACCACAAAGCTGCCAAGTAACCAGAGAGAGAGAGAGAGAGAAAGAGAGAAACATTATATTACACCATCACAAGGTGGTGGTGCTGTATTTAACATTTAAGAGGTTTATTATTTAGAATAATTATAGAGCAATTGTGCTTGTGAGTAAAATGTGGGGTTGAGTTCCTTGTTATAGTTGTGCTTTATTATATTGGTAACTGTCTACAAAATGTCTGTGCTGAAGTTAAAACAAACTGCTCCTTTTCAATATAGATATATTAAAAAATACAGTCACTCCACTTTACAGTCTATTCTGTGAAGCGCTTTGAGACGTCTCCAAGACGTGATAAGGCGCTGTATCAACTGCAAGGATTATTATTCTTATTAATTTGCTGTTCAGCTTTGGTCTTAAGATTGAAATCAATACAAATAAAAGTAAATAGTGTAGTTTATGACAATGTGCCTGGATAATGGTGAAATCCTATTATGAACAGAGATCCTTAAAGCGTACGATAAGTATTGCCGTGCGGCGCATAACCTCCTATTTCCTCTCTGGTATACTTGTGATGGTAGAATTCGTGGAGTAAGTACGAGAAGACTGTACCAAAACACTGCATAGAGATAATGTCTTAACAGTGGGTCCACAGGACTGTAACATTTTCTTCTTTATAATTTTTCTAGGTGTGAGGCTTTGCTGTTGAGAAGATGGTCATATTGCTTGTGATTGCCCTTGTGGCCATTCTCATTGCTCTTTACTGGGCGACAAACAAACCCAAATATATCAAGCCACCGTGTGACCTTTCCAAGCAATCAGTCCTGATTAAGGTAACCAATCTGTAATATAGTTCATGTGGGTTATAGACCAGGCAAATAACTGAATGTACATTTTGGTCCTGACATTTTTTATCCCCCCTACCTATTATACACAATGGGATCGATTACATCCTGTGTGATTTTAACGCTGGAATTAAATTCAGTTGCCTATCAATCCAAATAGCTAAAGGGTGTGGGAACTCTTTAGTGCTTGCTCCACAAGGAATACTGGTAGGAGAGAGAGAGAGAGAGAGAGAGAGGGGGGGTGGGAATAACTCCTGGAGACAATAGGGAATGTAAGTTAATGAACATATGTAACTTTTTAATAATAAAGATGAATAATTCTTCAGGAAAATCTGATTCTAAAATGTTCTTCTTTCTGTTTTTTTTCCCTAAAGGGTAATGATCGTGCGAGAAGATGTGCATTGTTAAAAGGCGATGATACTATCTCTTACTATTACAGTGATGTCCGAACTCTCTATGAAGCCTTTCAACGGGGTTTACATGCATCAGGTACCCAAATTCTGAATGTTATTGATGGCAATTTGGCTATTTTATTATTCAATATTGAACGACAACTTGCACTTATATTGTGGGGTAGCATCTTGCAGTACTTAATCCAGTTCCAATAATCTTTTCTTCCCATCAGATAATGGACCTTGTCTGGGTTACAGAAAACAAAACCAACCTTATCAGTGGCTTTCCTACAAACAGGTAATGATAATAATAATAATACTTGCATTTGATACGGCGCCTTATCACGTTGTTACGATATCTCAAAGTGCTTCACAGGATTTTTCTGTAAAGTGCATTGACTATATATTTGCTAGTGAACGCAGCAGCCAATTTGCACACAGTGATGATCCCCAAACAGCTGTAAAGTGAAATGAACAGTCTTATCTGGAGGATTGTTGGCCAGGGCACTGGGAGAAACATCTTTCTCCTTTCGAAGTGGCCCCTGTAGGAGAAAAGTAAAATATATTAGGAGGAAAATGTACTAAAGTTAAAATGTTCCCTTGTTTGCAGGTGACTGATAGAGCTAAGTACCTTGGATCAGGTCTCTTACACCGTGGGTGCAAGCCAACACCAGACCAGTACATTGGTGTCTTTTCCCAGAATAGACCTGAGGTAATTCACGTTGAGCTTTGTGTTAAACTACACTCTAATATTGCTGCAACTTTTTCTTTCATATAAATAACCTCATAGCAAAGCAGATATGTTTGCAGGACTCGGAAATAATACAGCTGACTACTTTGCCTGTTGTCTTGTCCTGTGTTTAGTGTATAATATGTTTGCAGCTTGATGTGGAATAGTTTGCAGATGGAGATAAAATGATGCCTAATGCATGTTTTTTATTAACACGCTGTATTAAACCTTGCTTTGACCAGTGGATCATTTCGGAGCAGGCTTGCTACACGTACTCTATGTCAGTGGTACCATTGTATGACACTCTGGGACTTGAAGCAATTGTATACATCATTAATAAAGGTAAGCATTAATGACGTAGTAATTGAGTTCAGCTTTGATGTTTCTTTCTCTTTCCTCTAATGGTCAGTCACAGGATTGAGCAAGTTGTAAATGAAAGGTGTTACATGGATGAATTTGCAAATTTAAGGGTTAAATGTCAAAATCTTTTTTAGCCGAGATTTCCACCGCAATATGTGACAAACCGAGTAAAGCTAATTTACTGTTGGATAATTGTGAAAAAGGCCTCACACCTCCCCTACATACAATTATTCTGATGGATCCATTTGACGATGCATTGAAAGAACGTGGGATAAAATGTAAAGTTGACGTTCTGTCTCTGAAAGAAGTTGAGGTAAGAATGGAACTTGAATGGACTCCCGACTTGAAAGGCAATAAACAAATATAATTTTGTATTGTACTGTAATGATTAACTATATGTGTGGCTAAAGAATAGGTGATATAACTATCATGTTTGTCAATTGCATTTAATAGATAAGCGATTTAAAACACAGTAATTGTAAATGGGATTTTCTAATAAGGATTCTGAGTTGCAGTTACCATTATAGTTACCTCAATTTAAACACTAGTGTGTATTTTATATATACATATATATAGGTACTCAAAAAATCGAAAGAATTACAAATAACTTACAAATAAAATAACATTTATACAGTGAAAAACAACTTTAAATAATTGATAAATAAAAGAGCATTAATACGGTGAAAAATAACATTTACACTGCATTAATGCTATTTAAGAATGTATTTAATAGTGTCTTTCAGAGTCAACGTCTCCTAAAATACATGGAAACGCATGTGACTTAACATTGGATCTAACTATTTGGTTATGAAACTGATTCATTTTTCTCTTTTCCTAGGATCTTGGCAGAGACAACCAAAAACCACCAATTGTAAGTACTTGGTCATAGCTACCTTAACACAGGCATCCAACTTCATTTATACGTCACCTAACTGATACCGTCTTGTTCTCCAGCCTCCAAAACCTGAAGATGTATGTGTTGTATGTTTCACGAGTGGCACCACAGGTATCTAGATTTTTTTTAACACCATTCTGAACTTGATATAAAAAAAGTTTAATCAGATAGTGAACTGGCTTGTGAATTCCTTTTTGTTTGGTTCTGAACTTCTTTCCTCGCGATGGTTCACTCTCCTAAGATCTAGCCTGATGTAAAATAATAATAATAATAAATATTGATAACAATAAAAAGAAATCCTAATCCCTGGATTATTTATTCATCTCACTCAACTTCTAGCGCTATACGCTTCAATATTCTTTCCAACCAGACACTTATCCAATTCTCATTCAATAATACTCTGTCATTTGACCTTTATCAAAGCCAGAGATTTATACATCTGATTTGGTCTTCTATGTTGTTTTGAGGGCTAAGCAAGCAGCTTGGTTCTTATGTAGTCAATGCTGGACAGTGCATTAAATCTAACTTGTTCTCTTTGAAACAGGGGACCCGAAGGGAGCTATATTGACTCACGCAAATGTTGTGGCAAATGCAGCAGCTTTCCTCAGAACAGTGGAGGTCAGTCTGATCAAAACGCATCGTGTCGAGGACACGGTTTTGAATTGCCGTCAGTATCATTTTACATGAAGACAATTTTGCTGTGGACGATATTGGGCTTGCACACCGGCACTTTCACTTAATCGCCAATTGTAACAACAGTTTTAAACGTTTACATATATTGGATTGACCACTTCCAATGCACTTCTCAAGATTTCTAAAGAAATTTGTCTTCATGTGAACAGAATGCGTTTCAGCCCAGGACTGATGATATTACCATCTCCTATCTTCCGCTGGCACACATGTTTGAAAGAGTGGTGCAGGTAATTCACATTGTTTTTATTGCAGTTTTGGGGGGACCAGAATACCAATTTTACTACCTCGCAAAGTAACTACTTTCTGAAAGTGTTTATAAATGGGAAGCACTTAGAATTGAGAACAAGATGCTCTACATCATCAGGTGTGTTATAAATTCACGAGAAGAAAATATTTCATTCCCTTCTCCCAGAGGTTTGGGCCATTTCTGGGGCAATAGCGGAGTGTTCATTTTTCAACTAATTTTGTGTCTTTTTCTGCTTCCATTTATTGTGAGAAAGTTGGTATTGTCCTGGGTAAATCGCTCACAAAATACACAGTCAATCCACTTTACAGTATATTCTGTGAAGCACTTTGAGACATCTCGAAGACATGATAAGGCGCTATATCAAATGCAAGGATTATTCTTATTCTTATTCTTATTCTTATGATTATTATTGTGTTGCTTCAGGCAGCAGTGTATTCCTGTGGAGCCAGAGTGGGGTTTTTCCAGGGGAATATTCAATTGCTGATGGATGACATGAAAAATCTCCAACCCACAATCTTCCCAGTTGTGCCTCGACTACTCAACCGGATCTATGATAAGGTTTGTTGTCTTCTGCTCATGCTTGGCGAACACGGATTAAATGGAGGAAGTTGTAGGATATTGGGGTTAATGTTTGATATTCTCAGGTCAGTGAAAAAGGAATGAGATGAATGAAAATTCCACACTTTTCCCTGTAAAAATTATATATGAACTTTCCAACAACTAGAGGGTGGGAGACGGAGTTGAGATCACGGGAAAAATAAGATTAACAAGGTGCATCACTAAATCTTATAACTTCAACATTCCTAAAGGCAAAATGACTAGTAAAATCTATCTAACAAATGAAATAATAGGAGGTGTGTGTCAGGAAAGTCACTTCTGGTGCTAATTGACTGGTTTCCTAAGCATTTGGAAATATGCTGGAACTTCTGGCATAGTCAACAACCTACTCACCTAAACAAGTCTTCTTATAGTAGATTGTAGCTATGATGATCATTGCTTCCAGGACTAGAGTAAATGTACCTTAAGGAGTAATTGACTTCCGTTGAGCTGAGCGGTAGTAAAAGGCTACATCAGAGCACTTCTGAATTCATCTAAACATTTATTTACTTAGGTCCAAAATGGAGCTAAATCACCTCTCAAGAAAGGGTTGTTGGATTTTGCAATTGCCAGGAAGAAAGCTGAAGTACTTGACGGAATTGTTAGAAACGACAGTATTTGGGATAAACTAGTCTTCAATAAAGTTCAGGTAATGTCTCGCTTCTTTTTATGTTCTAAACTAACTAAACACAATGGGCCGAATGGCCTCCTTTTGTTATGTAATGGTCTATGAACGTCCCCCCAATTTCAAACCCATCCCCTCCGCTCCACCATTGGTGGCCGTGCCTTCAGCCACTACACCCCAAAACTCTGGGACTCTCTCCCTCAACTTCAAATCTCGCCAAAAGACCATCCTTTTTGATCGTGCTTATGGTCACCTCCCTCTCTCCCTCTCGCCACGGCTCGTTGTCAGACTCCGCCACTGTCAAGCGCTCCGGGACGCTAAACCACATGAAGGACGCTGTGTTAATGCAAATTGCTGTTGTTGTCCAAAGGCTTCAATGGGCGGTCGTGTCCGTCTGTTGATAACTGCAGCTGCTCCTATCTCCCCATCTGTATTAACGTTCCTCCGTGCAGTACTGGGTTGTCAGGTAGGTACAAAGCCCCCCAAAAATTATTTCAAAATAATTTTAGATTTGGTTTAAAATAATAATTAAATTTTTTTTGTAAGTGTGAACAAAGAACACATGAATGTATTCTGAAATTCTGGGATATTTGAGGGGTGGGTTACAAGCTAATTACCTCCTAGTAACAACACTCAACAAGCAAATTAGCCGATTTAGCCTGGATTATTTGTAAAATTTTATTGTTGGTATTCCTTTGTCTGCACAGATTTTTGAGGCCTACGGACAAACTGAATGCACTGGTGGGTGTACAATCTCATTGCCTGGAGACACAACTGCAGGTAACAAAACCGTCCTCAATATTACAAACCTCTGCTTGTAATAGATACAGTACATTTGTAATAAGTGAGTGGCATATTCTGCAGCAAAAGCCTCCAAGTGAAACAGGAGTCCCAGTAACCTTCCACCCAACTAGTTCACTGACCACTGAGAAAGGGATATACTGTATATGAATCGCCATTCTCAGGTTGAAATTTCTAGGTGCACATAGTCAGGAATGCAGCAAATGTGCCTTTTTTTTAAAGTCTCTCCCTCTGACAAAGGGTCGTGGACCCGAAATGTTGACTCGCTTTCCTCTCTCCGTAGATGCTGCCTGACCTGCTGACTGTTCCCGGCCACTTCTGCTTTTTTTCTTCTTCTTTTTTTAAAAAAAAAAGTCCAGCTTCATTTAAAATGTTTGCTTTTCCTGAATTTGAAAAGTTCAGGAAATTAACATTTTAAATGATTATCTCCATTCTTGTAGCGTGCGACTACCAGGATGGTAGAAGGCGAACTAAATGGACCTTGGTCTTTCTTCGCCCAGCAATTCCTAAGTTCCAATGTTCCTAAGTTGAGGCTTCACCACAGATCTAAAGCTTCATTTGTTTCCGGTTACCAAGGAGGCTGATATAACATTCAAAAGCTACACATGCTTAGCTCATGTCCTCCAATAAATTTGTAATGTTCATAATTTCCCAGCTGCCATTTTCTTCCTTTGCCAAAATACCTTTGCTTGATAAAGTCAAGAAAAAATAGCTGGTACAGTATTCTACATTCTTGGTGCTTTACACTAAGACACTCATTTTTATAATTGCAAACGTTTATTGAAATCCAAGAATCACTTTCATCTTTAGTCCCAGTTGTTCTGGTTTAATACCATCTCAGAGACTATTGACGGGTTTCTTTTTCAGACCACGTTGGGGCGCCAATTCCTTGCAACATAGTGAAGTTGGTCGACGTTGCAGAAATGAATTATTTTGCTTCTAATGAAGAAGGAGAGGTAAACAGAGTTTTTAAGAATCGACCTGGATTGACGTTGGGATTCATGCCGATGTTGAGCGTATCTTGTTTTTCCTTTAAGATCTGCATCAAAGGAACAAACGTTTTCAAAGGCTACTTGAAAGACCCGGAAAGAACAGCTGAAGCCCTGGATGCTGATGGATGGCTGCACACGGGGGACATTGGAAGATGGCTGCCGGTAAGCGTCTCCTTTACGGACAAAATTCTCTGCTGCAAGACGTTGGCATGACAATTCTGTAACGTAAATCCACTCCATGTTGTTTCTCCAGCCTATTATGCCAAGTATCAATAATGTGATGATAGTAAATATTATTGCTGTGGTGGCATCAGATCTTGCACCTCCGTTCTGTGGAATAATTTATGAAAGGCGCTATACAAATGTGATTTGTTGTTGTTGTTGGTATGGAACTGAAAGCAATTCTCCTACTCTTGTCACGATGGCTGTTCAGTGCTAAGACTGATGACTTGGCAGGGTTAAATAAAGTAAGTTATTTTTGTGGCTTTCACAGTACAAACATTTTCAGATTGGTTTACAGCAGTGCAGGACACTTGACTTTGCCTTAATGACACCTGTATTACAACCTCCAGAAAACACTGGAAAGCTTTCCAATAATCAAACTCTTAATAGGTTTGGGCTTTCTTTGATATGCTGCAGAACACAGCTGCAAACTGCTTTTTGACACTTAAGAATTAATATGTAAAATGAAAAAAGACTTCTTGGTACATAACTTAAACTTCACATTTTAACTTGTTTTGGCTGGAACTCTAATCATTAAGTTAAAAAAGATGAAACTCACTCCTGAGACTAATTAATTTCAAAGAAAGGAACTGGCTTCCTGTTATACGTGTCTTAATCTGATCGCACATTTGAGGCTTGTTAAATCGACTTTGTAGGCTTGTTTAAGTGTGGATAATTTATTATGACCCACCTGCTCAGACAAGAAGTAATGAACCTGAAATCTAGAGAGGGAATAATAAGCAGAGGAAGCAATAATAATGGGCAAGCTGGGCAGCATAATACTTGTCCAGCAAAACCATTGGCTTCTAGGATAAGTGGAGACCTTTTTTGCCAAACATATTTCCTCAGAGCCTTAGCTCCAGAGGTACCAGCTTACCCACCTGCACCTGGGCTCAACCCACTGAAGTAGGTAACTGGGATAACCAAGGTTTACGATCATAAACACATCATTTACGAACGAGCAATAGCCATTTCAAAGGGTCATAATTTTGCTTTGTAGAGTTAAGATAAAATGTTAAAATGTGGAGCCTGGAAGTTTTGCCGAAAATGTTAAGTCATTTCCTTGTTCATGTTAATGCTGCGTGTTAATAAGGCAACCCTGTTGTTTATTTCAGAATGGGACACTGAAAATAATTGACAGGAAAAAGAATATATTTAAATTGGCACAAGGAGAATATATTGCACCAGAAAAGGTTGAGAATGTGTATGTCCAAAGTAGCCCCGTAGCACAAGTCTTTGTGCACGGAGACAGTTTGAAGGTAATGTACAGAATTTACTGATTGTCGATCATTTTTTGTTTGGTGCATTTATTGAAAGATGAGGGGGAAAGGAATCAATTGGCACTGAATCACTGATCATTAATATACTACAATTTATACACTGCACAATGCAGCAAAGTTTATATCTTTTCTCGACTGACTACAGTCTAACAGTAAAGCTCAGTTAGAATTGAAGTGGAAAGGTTACAATGAATACAATTGAGCAATACTGGTCCCAAGTACAAGTCTATTTTATTGGACTTATACAACTTATAAAGCGCCCTCCACGCAGGGCGTCTGAGCCTGACTCTGAGCCGGGGAGTGGGGTGCGTGGTGACCATAAGCACAGTGCAAAAGGTTTTCAGGCTGGGACTTGAAAAAGGCGAGAGGGGGCAAGGCGGAGGGATTGAGGGAGTGTTCCAGAGTTTTGGGGCGCAATGGCTGAAAGCGCAACCTCCGATGGTGAAGCGGAGGGTGCGAGGGACGAGCAGGAGACCAGTGCCAGTCAAGCGGAGGCACCGGGTAGTTGATTGGGAAGTGAGGAGGTCGGCGAGGTAGGGAGGTGCCAGGGAGTGAATGGATTGAACACGAGATTGAGGATCTTGAAGTCGTTATCAATGCTTTTCCTCCTTCTCAGTCTCATTTAGTGGGAATTGTGGTGCCAGATCCTGAAGTGCTTCCAGATTTTGCTGCCAAGATAGGAATCAAAGGCTCCTATGATGAACTATGCAAGAACCAAGTATGAAATTATTACTATATATATATATATAAAAATGATGCAAAAATTTAATGACATTTGGAAGGGCTGTCTGCATTGGAATGTTGATCTAACTGTTCAGTTAAAACTGAACTTTTTAAGCAACAATAAATATTAGTAGTAAAGCATTTTGAAGACTCTTTTCAATGTTCCCTGCTTCCCCTCCCCCCACCCCACCCTCAGCTCAGATCCGTAACTCTGTCTGTCCAGCACCTTGGGATGTCCTCCTGACATGAAAGGCGTTATACAAATGTAATTTTGTTGTTGGTGTTGTAGACCTGCAGAATGTACACGTTCCTCTACCCTAATCTTTCATATATAGTGTGATAAATGGGAGTTATATAAAAAAAAACTCTGTAAGTAATGAGAAATGTTGATCTATTTTCTCTTAGAAAATTAATAAGGCCATCCTGGAAGACATGGTTAACATGGGAAAACAAGCAGGACTAAAGTCATTTGAACAGGTAACAATTATAACCCTCCAAATGGAAATACCACAGCACCTTAGAAACAATGCTAAATCGATTGTGCCACTGAACACTTCCCTACTAGTTTAGTCACCTCCTAAAATAACCCCAAGATGATGATTTGGGTAAATACGTGACAGTTACTGAAATGAATCCCTTATTCCTGTGGTAGGAAGTTTTATATTAAACCAGGACAGGGTTGCCTAATTTCTGAAAAATGTTACAGTACTGGGTGAATTTGGACTATTCTTCAATTCTTGACCCATTTCTGTATGGTATTGTAATACACACAGATACCAATTAAAACAAAACTTTGTTTAGATCAGCTGCTAAAACAAATTTGGCAATTATACTTCTGTTGCCTCCCAACTGAAAATGTTAACATGTCTGTTCACGTACTGTCTATAAAGGTGTTGTTTAACCACATACAATGGTGTGAATACATTAGAGAATTTAGATCAAGTTTTTGAATGTGGTTTGGTTAATTGACACCATATACTCATAATTGTACTGTTGGCTTTCATTCATTTTTATTCTTTGTTTTTTGTTTAAAAATGTAACATAACGCATCAAAAATAAAGTGGGGAGTCTAAAATTTTGAGTTGAGAATCTTAGTTAGATCCTGATTGCTATTTATTATTTGCAAAAAAAAGCTTTCAAAAAATTAAATCCACGTAATATAGAAATACTTGGGGAGGAACAGATTGTAGAGCCCAGGAGTGAAAGTATAACTCCCACTATAATTATTCCACGATATGGAAAGCCGAGATACAAAGTTGTTCTGAATCCATAACAGGAATAGCCAAAGGGTGGCTGCAGAGGCGAATGTAAGCGGTGAGGGGATCCGAGGACAAGAATCCAAATGCTGCAGGACTGTTACGAGAAAGCCTAGATTTTCATAGGGTCAAAACATGACCCAATTAGGGTTTTACCCACGTTTTTAATGGGGTGGTGGGAGGGAAGAAAAAATGAAAACCATTCAACAGACTGGATTAGATTACAGGGAGGGGTGGTTGAAGCAGGACATCAATATTATTTAAAAATACCAATCAAATGCTCTAATACGAAGTAGATAATTTCAGATCAAATGGGCCAAAGAGTCTCCACTAAACTTCTGTTATCTTTTGAACTTTGGACACGTACAGAAAGTAAAATGTTTATTCAGATTCCCATTTTTGAACTTTATGCAACTGTCGTTTTTAAAACTGGAAGGAAGGAAAGCTGATTAATGCTTCACTGAGTGGGTGAATGGGAAAGGGCCACATTGTTCATTTGAAAGATTTAGCACTGACATTTTGTTTGGTTTTAGGTGAAAGTCTTGCACCTCCACCCAGAAATGTTTACTATTGAAAATGGACTCTTGACACCAACGCTGAAGGCCAAAAGAGCAGAACTGTCTAAGTATTTCAGAAGCCAGATTGATAGTCTCTACACTGATGCATAGGGCATTAATGTCATATTTGTATTACTTTACAAATATTGGAGCCTGTGTGATTGACCTTGATCTACGGACTGGTACATATTGTGTGTGGCACTGATATCAAAGTCCACATGCATTAATTGTTTGATATCATTGACGTTTATAACACCTTCAATGAAGAACTTTGTTTGCAAATAATCCAAGTCTTATTGTAACACAGATACCAACCTCACCAGAACCTAGTTACAATAATATACTCTCTGTACTCCTCCACCCAAAAATAAATCAATTCAGCAGTCAGCTTCCCATTTACAGTACAAATCTATTCTTAATGTGAAGGCCTGGAACATGTTGACTAGTTTACCAGGATAAATGTGTGTATATAAATCACAATAGCCTTCTGCCAATTAATCACTGTATATTAGGGAGTGGGAGCCGTAGCTTCTCCCAATTCTTGGTTATCTGTGTGTACTGCATCTTTTGTGTGATACGTCTCAACACAGATAATGAATAAGTGAACACTCGTCTTATTCAGAATTTTGGTGCGGATAAAAAATAATTCTAGAGGAATAATATCGAAATTTAGATTTAACCACAGTGCAAATCAGTTGCACAAAAATGAATCTTACTTTGAATGAGAAACTGCAACAGCATAACAAAAAAAAACTTTGAGGGCAATTATTTCAGATCAAGTATATTTCAACTCTTCCCACAGCACAGATGAATAGGTTTAAATATCTTCCTCTTTTAGAAATCAAAATTAACTTAAAACATTGTCAAAGTTGAATCGCTGGTTTGGCACTTTCAATGATTGATTTTTTTTTATCTTTACAATGCCTGCAAATTGAAAAAAAATCAATTCCCTTCCACTCAATTCATTCCACTCACAGCTCACCTGGATGAGATAGTTACTTTATGTATTCAAAAACTCAACCAAACAGAAAGAAAATTCTTTTTATTGATTTTTAGTGTGTCAAATGTTCACACTGGAATATAATAAATTTCATTCGCAGTTTGCCATGAGTCATTTTCTTTTCATCATGCAGGCTTCATTTCTCATGCAATATTTGTGGTGTTGCACTAAATAGGTTTTAGTGCGATATAGCCTAAGATTAAAAACAATCGATACCACCCAATTTGAGTACAGGGACCCATCATCAACTGACATGGGAAAGGGGGTGGGGGAGAAAAGGCAACTTATTATTCTTGTAAATCTGGATCAGCATAATTATTGTGCCACAAACATTTAGAGAATCAGAAGGAATTTTTTACATTACAAAGGAAATATTTGTGAAAATTGCCGGCTTACCAAAGCATGTCAAGTACAAAATAAAATGTGATAAAAAAATTCTGTATTCAGGTTGACAAAAGTTTTTGTAGAACTACTAGCAAAAGCAGGGTCGATCAAAAGCATCACAAGTCCTTTTTCTCTTCTTCCACTGCCTTCTCTATGGTGGGATTAAATGGGCATTTCTCCACACATCTTTTGGGGAACCAACCTCGCTCACGCCCTCCAGCTTAAAAACATTTTTAAAAATAAAAATGATCAATGTGAAGTGAGCTAAATTGCTGATGTAGAACTAGTATAATAAGGCCCCCCCCCATCAGGAATTCACTAATGTTACTTCACTATCTTAGCTACATAATGCTGCATTTCATCCCACAATTGGCACTCTAAAATCCAATACAGCAAGTTATCCTTATAAACATATTATTCAATGTACTTCTCAATTTGTGCTAAGTTTAGCTTTCCAGTTTAAAAGTAAAATGCTGTCGGTATAATTAAACCTGCAAACAAGGTTCACTCAATGACAGAATTCCTCAGAATCAATGCAGATTTGTCTGGCTTTACCTTTTCCATTTTTCTTGTCCAAAATCTTTTCTCCATACATCCAATGCCTGCAAAGAATCATGCTCATTTGTTAGATATTAAAAAATACATAAAGATAGAAGGGATATTATGTCCATCTAGATCTACTTATAATGTGATAAATACAATGCAAAATTACATTTGTATTGCGCCTTTCACGAAGGGAGGATGTCCCAAGGTGCTGGACAGTCAGGGATTTGGTCCCGAGCAGGGGGTGGGTTGGGATCAGGGGGGTGGAGGGCAGGTAGGGCAGAGTACTAGTGTTAAAAAGCTGAACAATTTGACTTTGACTATTCTCCAACAGTGTCATAAAATGCAATCTTGATTAATGCAAACTATTTCAGTGAGGGAGAAATATAAGCTTGGGCAATTTGGAAGGGTAGTCCATTAAAGTTTCCAAAGTTACCACGTAGAATGTCACGGATGTCAAACAAAATAGCTTGCATATGTTTTAGAATGGCCAAAAAAAGTGCTTAAATAAATAATTAAATAAATACACATTTCATGAACACATACATTTTGCAGTCAACGTACCGCAAACCTCTTGTAGCTAAAATAAGCTCTCCTTTTCTCAGTTGGATTCTGGGTTCTTCGGTGTAAGGTGTGGTAAAAAAAGTTTTAATTCCTTTTGTTATAGGACAGCAAGCTCCACTGTAGCCTTCAATGACTTTGTAATGCACCTTGCAGTATATACAAAAAGAATCATTACATTTGGTATAGCTCCTTTCACATCAGGAGAATGCCTCAAAGCACTTCACAGGATTTACTGAAAAAGTGTACTTATACTCAAACGCAGCAGTCAATATGCGCACAGATACGTCCAAACAGATCTAAACCTTGAAAAAAAATCTATATTATTATTTCTCCAAGTCAAAAAATCTATTTTCACAAAATATATTTAAAAAATCCTTCCAACTTTGTGAAGTACTGCCCTCTGGTGTTGAACTTCTCATCCTATGATACTCACACTCCGCACCCTTTTATCAGCTTTTTGCTTCAGCTGCTCAATCTGCAAACAGACAACAAAGATTCTTTGACAAAGAATTTTGATATTAGTTTCTCAAACCAAACCTACATGCCACACGAGTTTGCGTAGATTTTTTTTAAAAAAAGATGATCATTTATGCACATATTCGGTTGCCATTCATTTAAAAAGTTAGCTTTTCAGTTAAAATAACAAAAACAGACAAGAAAGTAATTTCACTGAGGAATTCTAATGTTTTAAATCGATGACAGGAAGGCTCAAACTCAACCTAAATCTCGAGATGTGATAACTGTCAATGTAAATCGGATCATCCCAATAGTATATCTTATGATCAGATCACAAAACTCTGTACTAAATTCATATAAAACCAGATTACATTTAAATTTGTGACATTAGCATGAGACCGCATGAATTAACGTGCAATAGTTTTCTGGGAAGCACTGCTTTACACCTTTTAGCAATACAAATGTTTAATGCCTTTGGTGCAGTGAAGGCACTAAAGATAAATATTTTGTTCAGCAGTTGAAATAAAATCATTTTTTAAGGGGAATTGCGCATAGTGAGTACTGCCACTTATTTAAATCAGAGACCTTCCAGTTTTTAAAAACACGATTACAGTCCATATGAAAATTACAAATTTCACAGAAAATTCTGATGACTAAAATACATTTAGCGAACAATTTATTGAACATTCCAAAAGGTATAGAATCTGCAGAAAATACTGGTAAACTGGTGGGCTACAGCATTTATAAACTATTATTATGAAATAAGCAGTTTTGAACCAGTGGCAACTCAAAATGCTGAGTTGTTTATTATTATTATTCCTCCAAAGGAGGAAGAAAATGTTGATACGTTGGTAGCAATATTATTAAATGCAAGGATTATTTGTTATTATTATTGTTACCGGGGCTAAAACTTAAATAATTCCTCCAAAGGAGAAAGGAAATACTGAACATAACTGTTAGTAACTGGATATACAAAATGAGAAACTATGAACTGTAATTTTGTCATTCAATTAAAGGAAACTGCAATGTGAATTGAAATATTAAAATCATTAATTGGGAAGACAAGATTCATTTAAAAAAATATAATTGGTTTGAAACAGAGCTCAAAACGTACTTATGGGATAATTTAGATCAATTCTAAACATTTAAAACTTATTAAGTTTTTAAAAAGTTTCAGTGAGAACTAATTATGGTTTGGAACATAATGGTCCTTGAAGGCTCTGGAAGCATCAAAAAAGATTAATTGGGCCCTTTGAGGTTTGCTAATGATTAATGTTAACTGGTGTAATAAGATATATTATGTGGAGCCACAGGATTTTCAATCAAATTATTACCAAATACTATGTTCCTGTCCCATTTGTTCTGCTTCCCAGTTTGCTTTTGGTCTAACAGAAAATATAATTAGATTTTTTCTCCAATCTGTGGTATGGCTGTAAATATTATAAAATAGTTTATATAGAAATGCACCTCACTGAAACTCAAAATACACAAAAGGAAAATGATTAATATGCATGCAAATATAGTAACTAATTACTAATTAAATAGTCATGTATTTTATATTATTAATCAAAAAATATTCAAAGGATAATAAGAGACAAATTAACCGTTAATGAGTACTGGTGGCTGCCTTGTCGAACAGGCCAGACAATTCCATCTGCTTCAGGAACCCCAGACCATGTAAACACCTGCCTGAAGTTCTTCCATTTACTTCCAAGGTCATATGGAAAGATGAAATGTTCGCCCGTTTGATAATACTGGATTCTGTCTTTGGCCTACAAGGAGATAGATAAAAATCATAAAACGTACATTTTGTGTTAAAATTAAGAATCAGCTAAATTGCCTTGCAAATAGGACATATATTTATGATTGATTTTATACTGCATATTATTAGAATGTCATTAATATGCAGTGTCTCTAAAGACAATAGGCACGCTTATAAACCTCACAGAGCAAATATAATCTGTGAAGATTGTTAATACAATTAAATGTATATAATTTAAAATCCTAAAGGGGGAGGGGGGGGAATCTGGAGTAATATTCATTGAAAACATTCCGTTAAAGACAGAAAGAAGCATCATAGTTTAGTACTTTCACTTCTGTACTGCTTCTCTCTGGCTCTACTGATGTATAATTAGATTTTTGCTCTAATCTGCGGTATGCTTGTGTAGATTATAAAATTGTTTATATAGAAATGCACCTCACTGAAACTCTAAAAATACATAACAGAAAAATGATTAATATGCATGCCTTGATTATGATTAGAAATGATAAAACGATTAATATCCAGCACCTTGGGATGTCCTCCCGACGTGAAAGGCACTTTACAAATGTAACTTTATATTGTATTTTGGAGAGAAGTCCGAACAGTGTCATTTATATTGGTGAGAGCATTGAACCACTCTGAATATTGATGTTGAGTCACCGATCCTCAGGAGAATTCAGTACCGATTGAATATATATGATTGGCCCAGTACACAAAGGAACAGCGATAGGATATCCTGTTAGTGAAGATTCCTACAATGCCACAATGCTTGGAACACATAAATAGATGTTTTAATCCAAACGAGAAAGTGAGGATAGTAAAGGAAAGCTCTATGGTTCTTAAAAGCGCAATTACGTTTTCCTGCTCTTTCACCAAAGCATTGGAAATTGTGGATATATTTAAATATGTAGCTTCCAAGAAAATGGAATAGTTTAAGTACAGAATAATAGATATTCTATCCACAAGTCCAGGATATTATAATTTACACTTAAATTGATGAGGAAATTATACCACTATTATATCACATTCTGCGATGCTGACCCGTGGAATAGATGCTGTTCTCCATTTGATCGTAGTGACAATACTTACCCAAAAATCCCTAAATGAGTATTTGAACTAAAAAGTTGAAGTCATGTAATTTTATATGCCATCTTACCAACAGTCCTGTCAACATTAACAATGTACCTATTGCTGCAAATAAATGTGATGTCTGTACAGATATACTGCTATACCAGAGAGCGGTTCTGGGAAAGAACGGGAAATGAATACAGTACACAGAAAGACTGTAACAGGAGAGTCAGATGGAAAATAACAACAACAGAATGGAGTTTGAAAGTAAGACAGGAAAAAGATCTGAAAAATAGAACAGAATATGAAATTCGACTTCATTTACATTACCCAAAGCACATACAACTGAGTGAAGAAAGAGAAGTCCATTAAAAATATTCGTTGTTTGTGTTTTATACATAAGGGCACAGAATACAAGGAAATGGTCTAAAATTTATACAACACTTTGCTCTGGCCAGCCCACATGCAAGTATGCAAACAGAAATATTTTTATGAGGAGAGACTTGAAAAGTTGAATATACTTTTATATAATATAATAATATACTGGACCAGAGGAGTTTAAAATGGTCCAGGATTCTGAAAGGTTTTGAGAAGATAAATAATGAAAGGTTATTCCTACTAATTGGTAAATTAGTAATTAGGGAGCACATGCTTAGGATTTTCAATGGAATAATAGTCAGAGGTCAGAAGAAACTTTAACATGCTGAAATAGATTTTGAGGTTACAAACAGAACATTTAAATGGAAATTAAACATTAAGAGGAACAATATAAAAGGGAGCAATATAAAATTGGGATTAAATTTTTAGCTCCAGTGGAGACACTGTCAAAACCACAGGACCAATAAACTGAATGGCCTCTAACTGCTATAATTTCTAAAATTATTTTCAACCGTATGTATTCAGTATATAATAAAAATAAAGTTTTAAATAGTGAGATTTAGGAAAGCGAAATCTCCAAACAATACAGTCATTTTAATTATATGTTCTGATCCAAGATCCATTTTTCTCTCGTGCTTTTAAAGAGAATTTATAGAAAGAATAAACTGTGCTTACCTTTTCTTCTATCCACATTTCAATAGAGGTTTTATTCCTAAGAATCACTTTCATCTAGAAAAAGGATAACATTAATCAGTGCAAAAGAAATCCTTGCTTCAAAAGTCTGTTAATTATTAGAATCTATCGTAGTATAACAATCTCATTGACTACCAAATAGGCAATGCTTTCTTGTACAGTAAAGAATCTTACACCTGAAAAACCTGAACATTATTGTTCATATTGAAGAGGTATTACAATGCAATCTGTAGTAGCACAAAGCACTATCTAAACCAAAAATCTCTATATGGTGAGTGATCGTTGTCCTATTCCTATATGCACACTGTGTATTATACTCTTCAGCTATAATATAATCCTTTTGAAAATCTTTTGGCATCAGTCCTGCATTATCTACCAAATTAACTGCATTAGTTGCAATACAATAAATTGCCTTTAAAATGGCAGGATCTAAATAAGCTTAATGTAATCGTTGAACAGAAATAAGCCAACTATTTAGAACGGAAAGCTTTCCATTTAAAACCTACCTGAATAAAAAACAACATGCCAACAGCTATTGTTGTACCAATTGCTAATCCCAAGGCAAAGAGAGAAGCAGCAAATGCGTAAATTCCAAAGGGAATGGTGAAATGTGGATCTCTTTTAGCCAAACTCATGTCAATCTTTACAGAACTCCAACCAAATGATATCTGAAAACACACAAAAATAAAATCTTAGAACTTTACCCGTAAAATTACGTGGTACTAAAACCTAAGCAGAAAAGGTTGAGTTTCAAAACATCCAAATAAATTGGTCTTTTATGTGCATACAAGTTCAATAACATTATTGAATTCAATGATGCACAGTACTATTCGAGAATTTCTCTAAAGAAGTCAAGAACTTTTTTTAATGTGAATTACATACCCTGTTGTACAGTTGTACGTAAATGGTCATGATTAATATCACAGAGACATGAATACAACCAAGTGGAGCTAGTATCAGAAACGAGGTAAAGTAAGCATGGTTTAAATGACCACAACAATTGTTAATCCAAGGGCAATGGTGATCCATCTTCATCACACATCTGAAAACAGAGGAGGACAACATTAACAGAACATCAAAAATAGGCATTCACACAATTCACAAATTATAAGCTACAGTTATGTAATATCCAGAACCAACAACAAAATCCCTGACTCTCCATTATTTATTGAATATTTTGTTCTTCCTCATTTTCTGAAAGAGCTACTGACATTGCATCAGAGTAAATTGACTGCACAATTTAAGAAGCTATGGTCGATGGGATATTACAAATTATATACTTCATATAGAAGTCACAGAGGCTAAATTTAACACAAGGAATTGTTCACATTTTAAATCAGTTACATGAAATACACTGCAATAATGCAATGATTACTAACTGAGTTGAAGAATTCAGATGCAAAAAGATGGAATGCTGATTCAGCAGGGAGTGAAACAACAGTATATAGGTTTGGATATAAATAAAAAAAAGCTTATGTCCTGAAACAGGAACTGGATAAAAGTGAAGCAGATGCTCTTTTTTTGTTCCTACTTATTCAGGTTAGTACAAACAGAACCCAATACTCTTTCAAGCTACTGCAAACTATTTTTTGTGGCAATTATGTGTGTGTGTGTGTGCATTTAAAAAAATAGTAGGAATGAGTTGGGAGCTTTCTTCACATTAAGAATTGCACTTAAATCCCAATTCAAACCTGAGTCTTTTCTGGTTATCTTCTCTCCATTCTGTAAAACCTTTTCAGATTCAGGGATTACATGTGAAGTACAAAATTGAGCTGGGAAAGGAGGTGAGAAGAAAGAGAATAACCAGAATGAGAGAGAGCAAGAAAAAAAAGTAAAGTGAAGGTGTAAGAAATACATTAAAATGTTTTAATGGTGCTTTTTGTCTTGTAAAACTTCCACAAGGGAATGTTAGTGTATGAATGTGGTCATGATCTTGGGAGGCTACTGCTATTTTTAATTTAATATTTCTGATCAGTTCAGAAGTTTATATAGATCAAACTATTGAAAGTTTGAAAATCATAATGAAAATTAACTTAATGCGTGGATTTAATGCTTTCTGTAGCTCTAACGTTTTCATTCAAATTATTTATGTACATGTGTGTATAGACATGTATAACCATACCCCAAAACATGTTATTCGACAATGCCACTTTGCGAGACAGTGAGAAGAGGGAAAATAGAAACTATTGTATTCATAGTTAAGTGTTAATTATGAAAAATGCTGCCAAATACAAATCCTGTATTAAGCAATCAGCTTCATTGTCGGGCTGTTTCTGACCAGGCGTCATTTTTTACCAATCCAAAATTAGTTTTGTTAACAAACTTGAAATAACATGAACGAACAGTTGAAACCGAACTGCAACTGAACAGTCCTATTTATTCAATTGTTAAACACTCTGGATGAAATTCTTCACTATTCTAACCAATGAAGAAGAAGTCAAGCCATATCATAACTAAATGAAGTGCTACAATACAATTGTACTTTGCTATAAAATTAAGATTAACCATACCTGTTGCACTTACGGCAATGGTGTGAGCGGGGTGACTTGTAACCCTGACAGATTTTACAGTCCTGCAGGTATATAGTTTCCTGAGGGTTTTCCTTAAATGGAATAAGTCAATAATATTAGAAACATTAGGGGAATAAAGTGCATTTGTGTAAGCGGGTCATAAATCTGTATTATTTTGAATTGCAACAAGGGCTCAAAGGAATAAAATCCCATATCTTTTCTGCAGCTGCAATTGCAGTGAAAATTTTCTAGTTTATAAATAAGCCTGCACCACCAGAAGTTATTTTTAGGTAGTAAATTCTGCCTTAAAAGTAGGGCAGATGTATATACAGCAAAGTCAGCAATTATGTTAACAGACCATACTACAGTAGTTGCTTCTAGCTACTGCAACTGTGGGTGAATAATGAATGCATTCAATGTTTAGTAGAATGCAATAATTCTAAATTTACCACAGGACAATTAGACAACTAGTTGTGCGTTGAATGCATTACCACTTCAAGAAATTATTTCTGAATAGAAGATAATTGATACCCCCCATTCAATTTTTTGGGTGGAGGGGGGAAAAAAAGTGAATATCATTGGGATAATTTGTCCCAGAAACCCATTGTGCCATTTTCTGTCCTGCATATTGGATTTGATTTTTCAAAAGAGTTAGGCCTTCTGAAAATATTTTCTCCCATTTCCCTTGTCAACCTACCGAGCAGAAAAGGACACATGTCATCATACAACCTCTGGCAATGATACTCTGAAACCAGCTGCTGGGTAGTAATATTATTTTGTAAATGGTTTAAGACAGAGTTAAACTATCAACTTGCACTAGAGAAATTTCAGACTATGATGTCCCAAGTGTGCTTAATTCTTTGCACAAACTAAAGCATTGGCACGCAGCTTATTATTTAACTTTTTAGAGAATTGCATTTATTTTTTGGAGGAGGATGGTACACTGAAAAGAAATAGTTCAATGACTTTGGTTGCTGAAAGCAAAATTTTCCAAAATTCTCTCAGACAAGGTATCCAGATTTGATAGATTTAAATTGATAAAACTTTGAAAGTGTGGATGATGTAAAAGACAAGCTGACACATTTCTAGGGTAGTTTTGTTTTGGCAATGCGTCAGTTCGAGTTCTCGAGATCCATGGGGCATTCTCTTCTAACTGGTCTTGCAAATATTGTGAAATTATTTCTCAACATGAAGTCAGCAGGATTACTTTATGTTGCTTGGCATGAACAAACACATAAAGTGCAATGGACACAATGCATGATTTAAGGAATCTTTTGTTGTGCTATGAAAATATCAGCAAAAGGTGCACTTTTAAGTAATATGAGCAACAGAATTTCATCTCATCAGAAAGCACCAAAATTTGCAGGAATTGTACTTGTGTTTGTAGGAATTGTACTTGTGTTTGTAGGGACAAACGGGCACTAGCATTTTTCAACATATTTGTTCTCCAACAATAACGTTTATATTATTCACGTGCACAATAATCACATCTGTAGGAAGAGCAGCACTCAAATAAAGAATCACGTTTCAGTCCTGCTCAGCTCCTGCCAGCGCCTTCTCACCTCCGGTACTGACTGCATCAACTTTCCCAGTTTCTCACTCCAGCTCACTTATGCACCTTTCCATTATCTTCCATCTCGTCCCTGAGCAAGTCTGCCTTTTCCCATCTTCACATCACCTTTCTCCATCACGATCTCAACCCCAACAGAGTTGAAATCCTTGCCCCCACCTTATTCACCTGCAGGCTGAATATCTCCAATGCCATGCTCTCGGAACTCCCCAGCCCTTGCCTCCATAACCTCCAGGTCAGCCAGAACTATGCAGCCCTCATTCTCTCCCACTCAAGGCCCAATGAGCCCATCACTCCCATCCTTACCAAGTTCCCCTGGCATCCTGTCCCCAGTGGATTGACTAAGATCCCTGTCATCTTTAAATGCCTCCACAGCCTTGTCCCATCCTAACTATGCAACTTCTTGGACTCCTGCTCGCCCACCAATTCCCTCCTCTTTGCCATCCCTAGTTCATGTCTCCCATCCCTTCTGACCCACCATCAATGAAAGAGCCTTCAGCCACTTTGCCCACTCTTCGGAACACTTTTTCCCAAATCCCTCTGTCTCACTCCATCTGTCTCCACTTTCTGAACCCATCTGAAAACATCTATCTGACTGCACCTTTGACTCTATCTCCATTCAGCTCAGGCTCCTACTCTGTCTCAAATGAAGCAATTTGAAACATCCTCCTCTATGAAAGGTACTTTATAAGTTCACATTGTTGTCTTCCTTTTGACAGAGGTACTTTCAGGCACTTTCACGGTCCCAATGACCGATCACGTACAATTTTAGCACCGCAGGAGCTAAATTTAATATTAAAATATGCGAACCTTCTAAACTTCTTTACGGCCAATGTAGTACACACAGCCCCGACGACTCGATCATGTTCAATTATTGCGTGCAAAAAAATAATAATCGCGTGATGGTACAAATGAACTTTTTTTTTTAAAAAAACACAATGAGCAGGATTTCTTACCGGTTTCCAGCCGAGGGGGATGTAGCCAGGACCGACAAACATTGCATTAAAGTAGTTGTAAAGTATAAGAACGGTCCAGTTTATCAACACAATGAAGTTGATGCTCCCACCTGCTGTGTCGAGCGGCCAGAACCAACACACAGAGTCCATTATAGCCACAGTGCTGCACACTGCGATCACGGAGAGGGCGATGATCGGGCCCCAGTGGCACATCCTTTTCAGTTCCTGGAGGTTTTCAAACCTGACAACCGACCACATTGCGGGTTCTCTTTCACGACGAGGACTTCGCGCGGCCTTCGGCTGACGCGCAGCAGGAGAGGAGAAACGAGTCGAAATCCGGCGGTTAAAAAAAAAAAGAGAGAGGTGGGAACCGAACCGCCGAACGCGTCCCGGAGTTCAGCTCTGAAAAACGTTGCGCTGACTTGACGTCGATTGGGAATCGCGTCACTTCCCGACGGTCCCGATGTCCATCCCGGGCGAACCTCGTGCTCTCTCACTTCAGCGGCACCGGCTCCAGTTCGAGGCGGGTCGGAGTTTGTCGCTTCCCGTTGCGGTTTTGTCCCACCTCCACCGGGAGAGCCCGGCCCCTGCGACAACAACAACAACAACAGCAGCAGCAGCAACAGCAGCAAAAGAAAAAAAACCACATCAATACAAAGATTTTATGCGACGGGGAAAAAAAAGTTAACACCCAAAAGCCGTTACACACACACACACAAAAAGGATGACTGACCTCTGATCATGTTCCAGACCACTGACTGCACTGCACTGCACTGACTCTCTCCACAAACTTAAACGCGCATTTTTTTTTGATAATAAACCCCAAAAGCGATGGCGGAAAAGCACTGGGGAGCGCGGGAGGGGGGGGCCGGGGCTGAGCACCGGGGGGCCGGGGCTGGGGCCTGGGGGCCGGGGCTGGCCCGGGGGCGGGGCTGGGGGCCGGGGTGGGCCTGGGGGGCCGGGGCTGGGGGGGGCCTGGGGGTGGGGCCTGGGGGGCCGGGGCTGGACACCGGAGGATGGCGGCGCCGTCCAACTCAAACAGTCTCCAACACAACTTCCTTCTTCCGTTGCACTTGATTCGATGCCCCGGAAGTGCAACGCCTCCAACAGCGCTGCGGGGGGGGGGGCGAGAGGGGGGAGTGACCGCTCCGCCCGCACTCGGCACTGACTGTCTGTCTGTCCCACATGGGGGGTCACAGGCATCGGGTCACCAGCGGTTAGACTGAGGCGCACACACACCCCCTCTGACCCCCCCCCCCACACCCCCTCTGGCCCCGCCCCTGGCCCCGCCCCCTCCCCCTGGCCCCGCCCGCCCCCGCCCCCGCCCCGCGCGCTGTTTCAAACTCAAACCGCCTCAACTGTCAACAAGTGTCACCCTCCACGCCCCGCCCCCTCCTGCCCCCCCCACCCCGCGCGCCGCGCACTTCCGGTCCGGCCTGTGCAACCCGCATCTCCCTCCGGGCGGGTCAGGTTCCCGCCCCCCCCCCCTCCCGCCCCCCCCCCCACACCGTTCGCGGTGGGTTTTTAAGTTTTGTTTGATTTAATCGCATTTATAATTTGAATCGACGGTTTGGACGGTCGACGGGACTCCCCCCCCCCCCCGATGGTCGCACAGTGTGACATTTCCCGCCGCGCGCGCGCGTGTGTTTTATCTCTTTTTTTAAAAAAAAACCCTTTTTGTGGCTTTTCTACTATTTGTTCACGAACGAACAAAAAAAAATAAAAGTCCCCCCTCTCTCTCTCTCTCTCTTTTTCTCTTCCTCCTCCCCCCCTTTTTTTTTCCCCCCACTCAAACCAACGATTCATTCCTCGGGCGGTGGGTGGAGGGCGGTGGGTGGCGGTTGGTTGGTGGGTTCGGGGAAGAAGTTTCCAGAAGGAACCGAGGGGGTAAAACCGGAACAGGCGACACCTTCAGACAGACAGAGAGAGAGAGAGAGACTGACTTTCCAGTTCGATTTGTAAACAAACATGTCCTCGGAGTTCGAGAGCTACGAGCAGGACTTCGGCACCTTGACGGCAGATATCACTCATAAGACCGGGAGGATCCCGAAACTGTCCGGAGGTAGGGGGCGGCGGCGGCGGCGACGGCGGCGCTCGTGAGGTGTTTCGAGCCCGGGAAGTGTCATCAAAATAATAATAATAATAATAATAATATTCCTCGCATTTGATCCATCACCTCCTCGAGGCGACTCGAGGCCCTTTCACGGGGGGGGGGGGGGGACACACACGCTCTGAAGCGAATTGCCTGTGCGTCTGGTGGGTCGATTGGGTGCCACGTCTGTCTCTGAAGGGAGGAGAGTGTTGTTGTTGAGGTTTTTTTTGTTGTTGTTGGGGGGGGGGGATGGGTTTTGGACGCAAACTTTACCCCCACACCCCACCCCCAACAATCCGGGTGGTGAGAGCCTGAGACCTCGCTGGCCGAGGAAGACCGAGGGCGCACCTCGCTGGCCTTCCGCCGGTCCCGTCAGTCGCTCGACGTGTCGGTCGCGTCGCGTCGCCGGACTCTTCTCCGGTATCCGCCCCGAGGTGATCCGTCTCCAGCAGGAATTCTTAGCTCATTCGCTCCTGAAACAGACCACATTTTCTGCTTCCGCCGTCCGTCTCCCCAGGGAGACTGTTCCACAAGTCTACCCGCTGGCTCACTGGAGCAGTGCGCCCGCTAATATGATATATACTTCAACGAGCAATTTATTTTGCACGCAACGAACAAAAGCAAATCCACTGAATTATGTCAACTAAGGTGCTTCAGCTAAACAAGCGATGTGATGGAATGAAGGAACCCCGACATTTGATACAGCAGCTGATCATGTTGTCAGAATGGTTCAAAGGATTTATTGTGGAGTGGAGTGAATGTGTGTATTGTAGCTGGACGTGACAGCCTATTTTGTGCGCAGCAATATCCCACAAATAGCCATGAAGTGAATGACCAATATTATTTATCTGGGGATTGTTTGCTCAGACACTGGGACAAACTTCTTTCCCTTTTCAAGTTGTGCCATTGGATTTGTCTGTGCCCACTTAGACAGGCAGGCGGGACATTGGTTTAATGTCTTGTGCAACGTCTGGCACCTTTCAATCCACCTTTCAGCTCTCCCAACATTAGAGGTGGAGTCCTGTAGCTCAGTGGTTAGAGCACTCACCTCGCAAGCGAGAGAAATGGATTCGATTCCTGGGCAGGGTGAAATGTTGGGCAAGTTTCCTTACTCCACATGCCTCCTGTTTACCCAGCAGTAAGTAGGAACCTGGTTGTTAGTCGATTGGCGGATTGCTTTTCCGGGGCTAATTCTTTAAGAAAGATAATAAATTGGTCACTCAATCCACGACTGCTTGTGGGATGCTGCTGTGCGCAATTGGCTGCTGCGTTTTGCCCACAAAATATACAGTCAATTCACTTTACAGTATATTCTGTTAAACGCTTTGAGGCGTCTCAAAGACGTGATACGGCGCTATATCAAATGCAAGGATTATTATTATTATATTTGAGTGTCAGCCTAGATTATGAATTCAAAGGCCCCACGTCGGATGGATTGCTATTGACCTCTTTGGGTTAAGCAAATTTTAATATTAGTTTGGTTCTAATATTTGAACCATATCTTATTTTCATGTGAAAAGTAAATCTGTGCTTTTAATGCCTTAATTGAGGGCTTCTAAAATTAATTAAATTTTATAGAATCATTCTAAGTTGTTCTGAACCATTTGAGCAATGAGTGGTCAACTATTTGCTGTGGCTATAATATAATAACTCGCATTTATACATCACCATTAATATGGACTAAATGCGACTATCCTGCATGGAGGTAGTGGAGCCCGAATGGCTCCATGATGAAGGGAGAACTGAGCTGAGTCAGCTCTCAAGTAGACTTGGTGATCCAATATTTGTGACATATTTACCTGCAGTTTTCAAGGGCATGGTTGATGCTTGATCTGCCTGCCTGGATTTCAATGAGATGCAAGAGAAGGCATGGTAATCAATCTCCAACAGTACAGTGATTCAGCTGGCTAAGCAAAAGAAAGTTTAAAAGTTTACTTGTGCTTTGTACTGATAAAATGTGTAGGATTGGCTGTTTGTTTTCCAGCGATCCTGGAGTTGTGTGGAGTCCTGTAGCTCAGTGGTTAGAGCACTCGCCTCGCAAGCGAGAGACCTGGGTTTGATTCCTGGCAGGGCAAAACCTTGGGCAGGTTTCCTTACTCCACACATCTAATAATAATCCCTCAAGAAAAAAACCCAATAATAAATTGGTCACTTCAATCCACGACTGTATGTGGGACGCTGCTGTGTGCAATTAGCTGCCGCGTTTCACCCACAAATATACAGTCAATTCACTTTACCGTATATTCTGTGAAGCACTTTGTGACGTCTCGAAGACATGAAAAGCGCTATATCAAATGCAAGGATTATTATTATTATAGCAGTGCCCCCAATACATACTTTGGACTCCCTAATTGGCTTGACCCCTGCCAGCCTGTACTTATGGCACAAGATCAGGGTGCCTACACATGTATGATTATCATCACTATTGCTTATTAAAAAGAAATACTGTATAACCTTTCTGATGACTTAAGAATGCAAACAGTTAAGTCGTTGTGACAGAATGTGTATAATTGGGTAAGCGGTTAAACGTTTCACCCACAAAATATACTTTACAGACGTTTCAAAGACGTGATAAGGCGCTATATCAAATGCAAGGATCACTTATCATTATTATTAATAAACGTTTGCCTACAAAATATAGTCATTACACTTTACAATGAATTCTGTAAAGCGCTTTAAAACGTCCTCCTGACATGAATAGCGCAATGTTTCACAACGTGTTCTTTCATAAGACCTTATGGATTGTGGAACCCAACCGCTCATTCAACTTCCTTTTTAAAATTGAAACTCATCTTCACTTAACCATTTCTTCATGATGATTCCTCTTGTAGTTTTCAACCTTGAATGTTGTACTGCATTTTGGAACTTAAACTCTTTACCTTAGTTGTAAATTTTTGTAGAAAAATAACCATATCACACCTGGAGTACACAGTGTATACATACGGCATACCATAAACATTTGCGACATTATTAGGTGGGCATTTATAATGTTCATTTTTTAGAAAAAATACATCCCATTTAAATGTATTTTTACATAAAAATGTTTTGAAATGTGCAGTTTTATCGAGTGTATCAACTAACCTTCCTTTCAGGAAACCATTTATACTGTTATGCATGTAAATATACAACAACAACACAACAAGATTCCATTTATAAAGCGCCTTTCACGTCAGGAGGACGTCCCAAGGCGCTGCACAGTTGGGTCATGACCCGAGCAGGGGGGAAATGGTCAGGGTGAGGGGAGGGAAGGGAGGGAGCGAGGAGGGGGGAAATGGTCAGGGTGAGGGGAGGGAAGGGAGGGAGCGAGGAGGGGGAAGAGAGTCGAGAGGGGAGCTGAAGAAATATACTGTACGTTAAGTGTAGGGAAATTAATTAGTACTGAGCAGACGAAGACCAGGACACATATTCCTATAATTAATGATAGAATAAGGATTCCTTGCTGCTATGTGGTACCTACAGTACAAATGGTAATGTAATCCCTTTGATTTACTGTTGAGTCTACAGGACAGAACAGTTCAAAGGGTTTCAGCAAGAATACTTTAAATTGATTCATTGAAGAGAGTTCAGAGAAGAACAACTAGGATGATTCTGGGACTTAGGGCTGTAAGTTATAAAGAAACGTTCATAGAACTGAAGTTGTTTTCATTCCAGAATAGAAGATTGAGAGGGGATGTGATTGGGATATTTAAAATGATGAAAGACGTGGATAATGTGAATGTAAGGTTATTTAACTTGGAATATGATAGCAGATCCAGAGGACATGAGTACACATTAACAAGCCTCAAGCAAAATCAGACATTAGAACAATTTATTTTCCCTTAGAGTAATGGCTTTGTGGAATAGTAGGAAAGGCAGTTGAATGTTTATTAACTTGGGCCATGACTGAATCACTTTTGGAAAGAAAATTCTCTAGAGTGTAAAATATAGATTACAAGTTCGATACTGTATAATATTGGGAGTATGTTACTTAATTATTGTAAAAGCTTAGGTAGGTTTATCAATGGTTGCTTACCTTCCTCAGGAGATTTTTGACCCTGGATTTTCTTGTATTTGATATAGCGCCCTGTTACATTGTTGAATGCTTTTCTTACTTGTGGAGCTGTCAGTAATTGACTTGAATTATCAGTCTTCTTACTTGTGGATAAACACTGAAGGTATTTCATGCCTTCAGTTCTTTAATAACTTTAAAAAGATATTCTTTGAGAAAGAGGAAGGTTTTGACACTTTTTTAATTATGACTGTCGTATATGGAGATAAAAAAAAGTTATTCAAGGTAAGCTTCGTAACCTTCAAGGTTACCTGTTCAGCGTTTTCTGAATTAGAAGGCTGAAATAATACTAATTTAGGTGATAAAAAGTATAATTTTCCTTAATACCTGATATACTTTTTGCAAATTTGATATCTGCCTAATCTGAGAATGCTATTAACACTGACATTTTTCATTTTTTTAAAAAACAGATGAGAAGAAGCATATGGTTGGAAATGTGGAAAAGCAGATGGAAGAAGCACGGGAACTGGTAAGCACGAGAGTGAATGGTATTATGTAATGTTTCTTTTATTTAGTGTAGTTCAGTGAAATTGGATTTCAAAATTAGAGTTTTGAACCAAAATATCACCTATTTGTTTAAGAATTGTAAGAGGTATCCCATTTGGCCTGATTACCTTATAACATTTTGATTAGTTACACGGTTTACAATAAATAATAATATAATAATCCTTGCATTTGGTATAGCACCTTACCACGTCTTCGAGACATCTCAAAGTGCTTCACAGAATATATTGTAAAATGTAAACTGTATATTTTGTGGGTGAAACGCGACAGCCAATTGCGCACAGCAGAGTCCCACAAACAGTCGTAGATTGAAGTGACCAATTTTTTTTAAGGAATTATTACCACCGAAAAACATGATCTATCAATTGACTAACAACCAGCTTCCTAAAATTTGAAACTTATCACTCCAAGAGGAATGGGTTTGGTGATTAGTGGCTAGTTAGGCATAGGACCTTCCGGGCTCCGGGATGGGGGTTGAGGCACTATGACTGGCCCAGTGCTCAGTGGAGGCATGCTCAGATTCATTGCAGTAGCCTCTTGTCTATTGGAGGGCTATGCCTTGGCTTCCTGCTGGAGGGCAACTCCATTGCCCTTTTAAAAAAAATTAAGCTCACTTAAAATTATCTTGGAAAAAAAGTGATTAACTTGATCATATCCCATTTGTTTTTTTGTGGGTCATTGCTGATGCAAATTTTGTAATGTAAAGTGGTACAGACTATTGTACTTGAAAATTTCAACAAAAGTATTTTGTAATAAGTCACAGTTTTGATTCACTTCTTTAATTTTTACAACAGCTTGAGCAAATGGACCTTGAAGTACGGGAGATACCAGTCCAAAGTCGTGGCATGTTCAGCACTAGAATGAAGAGTTACAAGCAAGAACTGGAAAAGCTTGATAAGGAATTTGTAAGTTCACTTGTCTGCTAACTGAGGTTTGACTCCACAAACATAACATACATCTTCTTCAAGTTTCTGTCCAATCTGATAACTTCACATCAAAGGACATAAACACCTCTTCTGGTATAGAAGTTTCCATTGGTAATCTTAAAAAAAGTGTTGTATTTTTAGTTTTGAGCTGACTTTTTTAATGTTGCCATATGATTATTTTACTGTCTATTTCAAATTAGTCTGTTTGTTCTAATCAGGGCATTCGGCCACCCTCCGACCCCTGTCCTCCAACCCCCAGCGCGGGTCCAAATCCCTGAGTGTGCAGCACCTTGGGATGTTCTCCTGCCGTGAAACGTGCATTACAAATGTAATTTGTTGTTGTTGTTATTGTCATCCTCTTTGTATAGGATTCCTCTCACTCTTTTGATTGTGGAAGATTGCTTTAGATTCGGAGTAACAAAGTGGTCAGAAATTACGTCGTGATATTTTTGAAAATATATGTACTATGTTGGATATATCTAGGCAATATAGATGTCAAAAATGGCCAATGTCATTTCTCCATAACATAAATCCAAAAAACCCCTAACTTTTTAAACCATGTAACATTGTCCATAGCCCTACAATCCAAAATAAATATAAAATAACATCTAACGTTTAACTTATTCCAGTTATTTTAATAACTTCATAAAACTACCTAATTATTAAACATGTACTTCCTTGTAGATTTTTCTTTCGATTTTTAAAAAAGAAACCTAAAGACATACATAAAGTGTCTTCAGTCTGGCAATTTTCAAAAGAATAAGATGGTGCATATACACTGTATATATTATTCTCCTTCAGACTTCACTGAGGATTTCTTACTGTTTTCTGTCCTTTTCCTACATTTCAACAGTTTTGCTGCTACTCCTTCATGGATATGTCCTATAAATGAGTGATCCATCATCAATACCTTGTGCCAGCTGTTCTTTCTAAGTTTTTTTTTAAGGAAATATGGCATGTATTTATGGTAACACATGATTTTTATGACAACTTCTGTAACAAATATGTTTTAAAAAATTGCATAGTTTCTGTCCTATTTCCCTTGTATTCTCATACACAGTGATGTAATGAAATGGAGATGATAATGTGCTAACTTTTCATTATGTATTTGTTTTTAAATGGTTCTGATCCTTTTATTTTGACCTGGAAATGATGACCTTAAATTGTTTGCAAAAATCTACATATTATCAACATGTTTGGGCATTTTACAGGTTTTTTTTTGTAATTGCAATTATAATTTTGAGGACAATTTATCAAAGCCCTGTAATTAAACCTAGAGGCTAATCACTGAAGCAAGGTACAGTATATTAAATTGGCACTCTTTGTTTGAAGGCTACACTTCATACACCTCATCATTATATATTTGTTTAAAAAAAGGCTAGAGTTGTAAGTATTACATTTATTTTTCATTTTAAGCTTCCAGGGCCAAATTGTGAACTTCAACAAATTGTAAGTGAAGTTATAGCCAGACACTTTTTGATGATTGTATATGCTGGATATATCCAGTGATTAGATTGATGGTATGTTCAACTCGAGTGTAGAAATTTCACAAATTAGACTGCTGCGCCCATTGACAAATTTTGTGAGTTTCTTTAAAACAGAGGTTTGTTTTAGCTTTGGCCCAATTAGAGCTTTTCACACAAAGACACAACAGTAGCAGCCTGCATTTATATAGCACCTTTCGTGTAGGATAATGTCTCAGATCATTGATGTAACTTATTTGATTACATGTATCGTCTTATTTCCTGGCTTTTAAACCACTTTAGATTATCAGGTTAATTTTTATCTAAACTGAAACAGACTGAGTGATCTTACTTTTAATTTCTCTCCCCACCAACCCCCTGCACGTTGGAAAAGATGGATGTTGTGCATTCAAGCATGAAATCGTATATTGATTAATTTATTGCAAGAACAGGAAACGTTCCACTAAATTATTTAAACTACGGGGATATTGTTGTGTATGGTTTAGAGTGGGAAATGAGCACTAAATCAACATGTTATTTGACACCATTTTTGACAATAGATGTATGAAATAAAGGCTATTTTTCAGGTATCTGATCACCTTTGCTTATAGTGATTACAGATCACCCTTAGGTATATTTACAGATATTCTGTCTTTTCGGCAAATTATTAGAATGAAAAATACATTTTTTAAATAAAAATGCAAGCATATACAATATGCATAGCGATTGTGAAAATTCGGTTAATTTACTTGTTTATTTGAGTGCATAAATTTGAAGCCATAATGGAAGTGTTACCATTTCCAGTTGTTAGCAGTATTTTAAACCGACATGCAGAGTTGAAATCAGTAGGTAAAACGCAGGATAATTTTGGATCATCTTTGTCCTATAGATTCTAAGAGGCCTTAATTGAGATGAAGGCACAATGTCATATTTGCATTATCTACTGATTTTTCTTTCTATTTTTCTACTTCCTTCAACATTTAATTTCTTATCTTTACATTATACTACATAGCATGAGTTTAACGTCTCAATTCTATGTTAAGGATAGATCTTACCAGCAAAGATGTTTGAGGTGTTAAAATGTATTTACAAGATCTTTTGGGGATATTCTGGCATAACAATCAGTTTAAGAACCATTGTTTACTATCTGGAATAGCTGCAATTGTGTTTGTTGCCACTCAATACTGACTAGACCAGTTTTGTACACAAAATGGAAAGAGTTGGTGAGTATTACTGAACTACTTTTAAAATGTTGAATTATTCAACAGTGGAATTTCAATAAAATTAATCCTTTTATATGAACAGATGAAAACTAAGGAGTGTGTCATACAGTTTATCCTCACGTTTATTTCGTAGAAGAGATTACTGTTTCCTGAAAGACTTTTCTATATCCCAAAGTCTGATTTTCAGCTATGAAAACCATTTTCAAATCCGCCTATAAGCTAGGGGAGTTGTGGTGACGATATTTCATTATGCAGCTCCATAAATCCAAGAGCATATATTTAGTAGCTAAGGTTTATTTAAGTGTTTCTTTCCTTGACAAAAAAGAGTAAACTCAATAAATGCTCATTCGTTTATCAGTGAAGATATTGATCCATTATAGCAATCATTGATTGCAATTGTAGCAACCTATATCTTAATATTTTGCACCCGTTTTCAGTTCTAGCTCAATTAAACATTTCAGTTCAATCTTATTCTTTTGAAGTTAGAAGTTACCAATTGGTTCTTTGAGTTTTTTGTTTTTTATTTTTCTCTTCCCTTGAATTGTCCTACATCAGTGCTGCTCCAACTGCATAGAAGGGCAAATCCTTAATAGTACCACTCTATGTCTGGTGAAATAAAAATAGCATGGATGACTTCTGTGTCAGTTTTTGACCCTCTTTAAGAAGGGAAACTCCTAGTCTATGTCAGTGTCCAGGCCAACATTATGAGCTACCAATGCAGCCTACATGTGTATCATATATCTTTACAGCTCTGCATTTTAGATTATGAAATAGTAATTCATGAGAAAAGAAAACGCACATAACAGGTTTTTTATGTTAATCAAAAATGCCCATATTCATCTTAATTTCTCAGGAATCTAAAAGGTTTGGTTTTACTGGGCTATTATGGCTGTCTGGTGTTACACCATTGTGTTATCACTGGGTGGCACTGTTTCATGACTCTTCAACTACCTTATTACAAAGATTAGCAGATTTTTAGTTGATTTTTCTATCTTCTCCCAATTCTTTCCATTCGTTTCCTGAGAGTACTTGTATCGTGGGTATGGTTCTATGGGCACTACTAATGCTTCATGAGATTTCCTAAATAACCCATATATGAACCGAGACGATGAGTGTTAGAAGGCTGTTCGACTGTGGGAGACGTTACTACTCAGCCTATCCTGTGCTCAAGTGTTGTCTACATGTTTATTTTCTACATGTGTATTTTCTATTTAAAGTTACTGGAGACTTATGGGAACTCTTGCAGATGTTTTTCTCCTCCTTAGCCCAGGGATTTTGAGACCAATGAGATTTGTTAACTTAGCATAGATCAGAAATTAAGCTAGAACCTCTCCTGTGCAGCTTAGTGTGATTCTGAGCATTTATACACTGAACAATTTGTGTTTCAATTGTATGTTTCCTTTAATGATAACGTGTTTGTGCTTGTTATGTCTAGTTAGTTAATCTTGAAGAGCAAAAAATATATTTTAGAACAATGTACAGGAAATCCTATTTCAGCCTTTTTTTAAAAAAACATTGCGATATAAATATTTATCAAATAGTAGGTTACACTGCAAGGTAATCTATTGCAAATAACATTTGAAATATCTTTTAGAAAGGCACTGTAATTACAAATGTTTGAAATCAGACATAACATATTTGAAAAAAACTAGCACTTTTAAACTGTAAAACTAATAGGCAGACCATTGATGACTTGATATTCTTAGAAAAAGTATACTATTTATCAATTAGTCAACATAAGTGTGTATACATTTTTATTCTTTCTATTTTTTTTTGAGTTTCCTTGTTTTAACTTCCTTTCAGAAGATATATTTGTGGCTCTGAAACTTTCTTTCCCGGTGATTAAAATTGCCATCTGCGTTTATCTGTAAATAGCAGTCAGTCAAGTGGAAAAATATCCAAGTCTGCTGTCATTTTGGCATAAATCAATAAACAATGACTTAAACCAGGGTGGTTCCAACTGGTGGCCCAGGGGCCGCATCCGGCCCCTGAACCCTTTCCAACTTCATTGTTTTACCTCCTGGCTGCACCCCTCTTCTCGTCACTCTGTCCACTGCTTTGGGCCTCGTACAACCTTGTGGGACACAACACAGAGAGCGACATGAAGAGAGACGCAGCGGGATATATTAAAAAGGTCTTGTTGCGTATTTTGCAATACTAAAACTACAAAACTGAGTCTCAATAAGAAACGCAAGGTAGATGTGGAAAATAAAGGATTTTGATTTAAGTGGGAAATGAATCACTTGTTTATTGAAAGTAATGGAAAATCGTTTGTCCCTTTTGTGTTAGTTTT